TTTTGATCATAAAAGCGATAAACGTGTAACTTCAAAGGAGACTCAGATTTTTTCTTTTCTTTAGACCACTCCGGCGGTCGAGGCAAATCTTTTACATTTTTCCTACTTTCTTAACTTCTTTACGTTCTAACTAACTTTCCAAGATGATGTTAAATTACTAGGACGTGACGCACCCCCGATGAAGCGACCCGTATGCTCCTTAATTCTGCCAGTTGATTCCTAAGCTGGGTGTTGGTGTCCTGCATGTCTGTCATGACTACCATATTCTGACTGGTTTATTCCTGGTGAAACTTGGTTTCTTCATCCAGATGTCGTTGAAGACGCTCGTAATCTTCGGCCAAATCGTTGTACTTCTTCAGCAGGTTAACGTAATTGTAGAGCCAATGTTCACAGAAAGCTTCCTATCAAAACTTTTATTGCGTGGATTGTTGACTTTTCGGTGTTGTTTCGTTACAATAAACAAACTTTTTAACCTTCAAATTGAAATTTGAACGAGAACCCTCATTTTCTTTAAGTTTGGACTTATCTCTAAGACAATACCACTGGAAAATTCCCGTTCAAGCTGAGGCTTGCACTCGGTCATGTGAGATGTTTATACCTATACTAACAACTTAAACGCGCTTGGCCGTAGAAGGTCTGGGTACGGGACTGGTTGAGACAATCCCATACGAAGGAAAGCATTTGTAGAATTATAAAACTTCATATCCGACTGTGTTTTGTATACTTAATAATTGACACAAGAAGATGTGTTTCAGTGGAGTTTTCTTTCTGACGCCTATTCTAAGGTAAATTAATTTCTTTGACGGTCGATGTTGGTTATATCTGTCAAGTTTCAAATTCGCCTTGGCATGAGGCCAAGAAGAATTTTATTTTATTTTCATGTATATCATTAGCAGTCTTCAGGCTGGGAAGGAGGACGAAGACGCGGACGAAGATGCGGATGGGGACGCGGACAGGAACAAAGACTAGGACTAGGATCAAGATCAGCGAAATGCCTCTACCTTCAGATCTTGAACTCGCATGCAATACACCACAGGGTTTAAGGAGGGATTTGCCATAACGATCAATGTTGATACATCTAGTATAAAAAGCGATGTGCTACCAAAACCTGCGATTGTAACGAAAACCAAAATACAGAAAAATGGAAAGTAAGTTGACAAAGATAAACAGAATATCAGAAACATGCTTTTTAGGGATTTGCGATAATGTTCCACCTGAAACGAGCGCAGTGCTTGTACATGAAGTTTTTGCTGTCGTACAGTTATGTAGTTCCTCCTGTAACAATACAGGGAAATGACAGTACAGATGAAACCCACAATATCACCGACTATCTTTCTAAATTTAACACTAAAAATTATGGAGACCATACAAAAGGCACTGATGAGCCAGCCCAAAACTAAAGCAGCAACAATATGTTTGACAGTAACTACTGTCTTGTATCTCGTGAGAAGATGAAGAGCGAGATATCTATCCACAGCGATAGTGCTCAGCGTCCAAACAGACACCAAAATAAAGAAAAGAGCCGTCAGACTGAACGGCAAAGCTACGGTACAGTAAAGCCATGCGTTCTCCCAAGCAACACCCAACATATAGGCAACAAATAAGGGCTGAGTCAATCCTGTCGCGAGATCGGAGAAGGCAAGACCGTAAAAGAGCGCTTTTGTAGCGGAGCACATCGATTTACTGCGCCAAAGAGCGATTATAACGATTGTGTTACCAACAAGGGCTGTTAATAAACTCATTACGCTGCCGGTAGCTAATAAAATGTAAGCAACGATAAGTTCTGGCGAGCAAAAATGAAAAAAGAAATATCCAAGGAATTCGAACATGAGATGTCATATTAGCCTGTAGCAGAAAGATTCCTGAAGAATATTCGGGAAGGATTGGTCATCGCTTAGGCAAACTTACTTGATTATACAGGAACTCAGGTGTCGAGAAGCAGCGCAGAAATATATTCTCCATGGCTGAGAGGTTTTGCTTTTTAACGAACGTAAGTGGGTTAAACGTAATTGTCAATCATTTCATTGATACTTCTGAGCTGTTCGATGATAATTCTGACTTACTGTTAAACCTTCAGCGTTAAGGGTGAATTCGTCAAAATTGAACAGCAGCCCACATCCTTTTGCTTTTAACGAGCATTTAAAGCGCAATTACAGAATACAGGGATGGTCATAAGTTCAAGTGTCATTGAAAGAGTCAAACGAAGTCGACAGGCAAGTGACATAGGTAGTGAAGAACAAAGTTCAGGTTCTCAGCCTTCTCTCCTTAAGCTCTACTTCGACTGTCCTTCGCCACGTCTAGCGTAATCGTCCTCGCCTTCCTTCCCCTGATGAGATAACGATAATTTTTTGCGCACGAGAACTTTTTAAATTCCATTGGACTTGATATTTTGTCTTTGATACTTGTTAAATGCTATATGAAATATCATGGTGCATCTTTTGAATGGGCAGGTGTTGCATAAGTTGGCTTTTGTCATCAAACAATTGCAATTATCTGAATAATTGTTTGTGTTCATTTTAGAGTGATAATATATAAGCCTAATATCAAAGGATGTGCTATGAATTCGGGGTAGCTTATATAGGGACATCAATTTAGAAATGGATTTTTGTTATAGTTTTCGGTACGAACGGAAATGATCACCAATATATATTCTAAGAAAGCCAGTAGCTGTAGCGCAATGACTAAACGGTTACGTTTGCGTCGGTATACTGGGAAATTGTAAGATAGCTAGTAACGCAATGACTTAACAGCTACATTTGCGTCGGTATGAAATTCTAAGAAAGCCAGAAAATATACTAGGTACAATTTGCTTTTAAGGCACAAACAACCTTTTTCAAGTGGTACTTAAAATTAAAAATCTAAGCACAAGATAATTTGGTTTTATCAACTGAGTTGAAAATGTAAATTGGCCATCATAGAGTGTTTCTTAAGCTGGACTTTCGAGCGTGGGTGCAGAAATCGGCTTAGACGACTGATAAAACCCTTCCTTTTTAATCGTTTTCTTGGTAAAGCGGTTGAGAAGCATTTTGTGTTAGACGTGCAAGAAATGAGTGCCTGCCTAAGAACGAAAAGCAACGCTTATACTAATGGTACCTTGAAACCTTCTTAAGATCCTTTTGAGCGTCATTTTGATACCTAATAGTAGTGAGGATCATTGGTTGTCATTGTATTTTGTGGGAAAGAACTCAATTGGCAACTTTAATCGTGAGACAGACAACGTGTGAAATCATGAGTGCGTAAGCGATTGTAAGAATTGTTTTGGCAGTTTTTGTGAAATATTCATTTTAACAGCAATCTATCATTTTAAAAAGCAATCTCTGTTGAAGTTGAGTACATCGGTAAAACGGAATTAGAGAAAATTCTCCAACTCGTACATTTTCATAATGGAAATCAATACAAACCTTCATAACGTATAAGTACAGCGTTTGTCTCAGATATTCCACATTACGCTCGCTAATAACAAATAACCTAGCTAGTCTCGGGGTCGAAGCTGTTTGATCATCGCATAAAAAGCTAAGAAACAAAAACAAAGCAGTCACACGGCTAACAGGAGCTTAAACTTAGGGACTTGTCAGAAATTAGCAGGGGGGGAGGGGGTGGAAACAGAGGGGGGGTCACAACTTTTTGAGCCTCAGAAAAGGGAGGGGTCATGAAAAATGGGCAGTTAAAAGGGGGAGGGTCATGCAAATATATGCCCGTGATCATGTAGAGGTTCACCCACAGAAGAAAAAGGAAGTTCTTTATTTGGCAAAAAAAAGAGAAAAATACAACGGTTTACGGAACGTTATGGATATAAACTGTGAAATACTATAGCAAGAATTTAACAAACATGTACTTTTCATTTATAACAATGCTATATAGTCTTATTGAAACTATGAATAATGTTGTTATTAATAACGTTAGTAGAGTTCTGGCTATCCTATTCATCACTGTCTTCAGCATCACCATCAATGCTGCTGTGAGAATCTTGATCATCATCATTTATCTCATCAGCATTGATACAATCACTTTCATCGTCATCATGATTTTCATTTAAGTTGAAGCGTAGATATTGCTTGATAATGTCCCGTGATTCTTTGGTGAACAATCCCTTTTCAAAGGCATATTGGATATATGGCCTTTGTGTTTTGAGGAGCCCACTTATTCCTTCATAATGAAGAGATAATGGGCCAATAGGCTCTGTAACATCATGCGACTCTTACTGAGGTGCAATGGTTTCAACAACTCTTTTGCAACAACTTTTTTACAGTGCTTGTACTTTGCCTTGTAAAATTCAGGAAGAAAAGAATTCATAAACAAAGCTCTTGTTGTATTTGCATTAGGGATGAATCCCATCGATGCAGATTTCCATGCAGGAGGTGGTCGATACGGTTTGAGAGGTCCCATATGATCGGTAAGCTGAGCGGGGTCGATCTCGGGCTGAATCGAGTTAGTAAGTGTACTGCCATTAGAATACTTCAATCCAAATTCATGCTTTTTTCGAGTAAATCGCCGTATCTCAATATCAGTAAGACCTAAAAATAATTCAGTTGTGGAGCAATGAGAAGTAAAGCTCTCCCAATTTGAATATTATCAGTGTCGAAACGAAATACAAAACAAGCTTAAAATTACCAAACTTGTATAGATCTTCAACTTGTACATCTGCTAAATGGTCAAATTTGTACACCCCGAACCTTTTAAATAATGCCTCAAACTTCGCCAAGTCCGCAAACTTCAAAAGAGTAGATATCAACTGATCATTTGAACTCACACATTCACTACCTTCACAAAGTTGACTCGCCATAATGGCTGAAAGAGACTGAAATTTCTGAGCAATCAGGCATTTTGTACAGCAGAGTGATACACTAAGTCTCGCATACATGATTTACCTACTCTGTCAATGACCTAATAAACTGTGGGCTCAAACAAAAATGGCGGACCAGCTTCCAGGTAGTGTAGATGTGGACTGTAAGCTCAAAAATGATAAAGAAAAGTTAAATTTCTCTGAGCAAAGGAGTAAAATCAGGTTAGAGTCTACTTTGACAGAAAATCTTAGGAGATCATTGCAGTCGTGCAAAGCTAGTGAGAACGAGGAAAAGCTCGAAGGACTTGCTGTGTTTTTTAGAAAAAACACTGTAAAAACTCGAATTTTGGAAGGTTTGTTGTACATTCTTAGACAGCTTTTGGCATCGTATGATGGATCTAAAGCATTTGGATATCTCCCGTATAATGACGCCTATGGTATATTTTGTGGTTTCATGGAAAGAGAAGTAGAGGATAAGGAATTTCGAAATCACCTTTTGCATGAGGAATATGGACTGTGTGTTTATGTGATAAAAGTGCTTGATAATCGCTACATTATTCTGCAAAATGATACTGTAGCTATAGACAAGTTTCTCTTGGAACTTGACCAACTTCTGTCAAAAGATAAGGCGGATAACTTTTCAAGATTTGATTTGAATGTGGAGTCATTAAAGAGAGTATTACAGTCTATGGATACAGAATCTGACAAATCTGTTTTGAAAGCCATGATTTTTGCTACAGCTTCAAGGAAGAAGGTTCAAGAACTAGGCATTAAGCCAGACAATGCTGTTAAGTTGCTCAATAAAGTTTTGACTGCATCAACTGAATGTGAAAGAGCTAATGAAGCAGCAGAGGACATTCTAAAACTACGAGATGGAGAGAAATTAAAAGTAATTGATGAAAAGATAACAGCTATTGACAAAATCCTAAGCAGAAGAGAAAGCTTGATTTCTGAAAGAAAAAAAGCAGATCTCATTGCAGAAAAGTCAAGCCTTGAAGACAGAAAAGAAGGCATACAGAAAGACCTGCAACAAAGTGACCCTCAGAGTCTTAGAAGACTGCAACAAAGGAAGCGAAGATTAGCTAAAACACTTATCGATGAGAACAGAGTGAAAAGACGAAAACTCGGTGCAGGGGCAAAGAAGTCATTGGATACTGAAGATGAAGAATTCATAGCACGTTCTATAGAAGAAACAAGCACAGCACATGGTAGACGTCATGATACTGTACTTTACAGCCATCATCGCGTTAAGAAGTGCTACTTTTTGTCATTAGCTAACTATAACTTACACAGGAAGTGGTAAAAAGCTGATCAAATCGGCTACAACTGTACTTAACAGAAGTAGACCAAAAAATATAAATTCCAGGGCAGCAAAGGCACATTGTGGGAAGTCTCTATTTTGTTCCAAAAAGCCCCCTAAGACTGAAACTGAACTAGGTCTAGCAACCCATCATCAAAGGGCACATATTCGCAATTGTAAGCTTGACATGTTCAAAGAAGAGAATAGGGCTAGAAGTCTAATGATCAGTTTTGATGACAAAGCATACATCAGGCCTGGAAGTGATGTGGGAGCCAGGAATGTCAAAAAGGGAGTAATATATGATGTTTCCGACCCTTCAAAACAAAAAGCGCTTCCCCAACATGATTTTACAGAGGCAAAAGTACATCAAACACCATCTTCTTTTAGGTTTATAAGAGGCAAAGTTGCAACCATTGACGGAGAGCAAAAGTTTATTCACGAAGACGATCAAACAATTGTAACTGTGCGTCCTAAGAGCTACATTGGTAGCTCAGGAAGTGTATGGGCCTCTGATCAACTTAAGATTAAATGGGAAGTTCCTCAGGTTTTTGAACAATCTACAATATCACCACCAAAGTTCTCATTGCCTGTGAGGAAATTTTGTCATCGTGTTCATGATATATTATTTTATTTCAAAGATTGCACACTCAGAAGTGACGTCATGTGTGTAACAAGTAACATCAATTGTCAGTTTAAAGAATATGAAATGAAAAAGCTGAAGTGGTTGAAAAACCAGCTGTCTGAAGCAGTCAGTATTTTCCATGAAGAGAAAGAAACACTCACCCACCATGAAGTTGCCAGTGGAACTGAGCTCATAGGCATTATCAACGACATCCAGGAAGTGAATGATGACATCGATAAGACCAGCTCAACATCAAGTGCAAATACTATCTGGGAACATCAAGAAAAGGCTGTTAACCTTTGTGATGCTGCGATTGCATTCATCAACAGTCTCAAGTTGCCACCACTCTGTGACCATATTTTGCAAGCAACAGATGCAGGTCCAGGGGTTGGGGTCACTAACATCGAGGTTAAGTACAGAGACATTGAGATGTCAAGGATTAATAGCTGGACTCACATGAACAGGATTCACAGGGCACCACACGATTCAGGACAAAACGAAGCGGAGCGTTCTAACGCTGCTATAGGTGAAGCTTTGGTTGATGGCAGAGCATTACACTGGGAATACTTTCAACCAACCGATCTCATTAGTGAAGAAGAACTGAAAACACTCACAGTTGAAGAAATGAAAGAGCTAGAGGCAGAAGTAGTGGAGCGTAATGCATGGAGAGTTGCCCAGGATGTTGTGTCAAGAATCGATGGCGAGCCTGGACCAGCTGGTGACTGTATGAAGGCCTTTGTTACCAATCGTAAAGAACAGCAGTTCTTTTTCAATACCGAATACATTCAGCAATACAATGCTGCAAAGTCGGAGACGAGAAAAGTAAAAGTCCCAGGACACAACTATTTCAAAAAATTAGATGACCTCATAGAATCCTGTATGACTACTGGAGAAATGTTTCACGAGTACTGTGAAAATGAGTCAGTGGATCCCACCCCTCGTCCAGTTCCAGACATCAACAAACTTCCAAAGTATCACTATCTGCCTGTTGCAGAAATACCCATCACAAATACAGACGACGGTAAAAGAAGAGAAGTGGATGATTATCACCCTAGAGCACGTTTAAAGCAAGCCCACAAAAAGAATGAAATCAATATCGAGGATAGTGCAAGTGTTCAGACCTTTAGCAACAGATACATTGTTGAAGAAAGTCTTGTGAGAAAATACCTAGCACATTTAAATCATTTAGAGATGATGAGTGGGAAGAGAAAAATGGAAAAGAAAAACAAGAATTTGAAAGAGAACACAATGTCTTATGAGGAATTTGACTGGATGGAAATGCTGATTAGTGGAACACTAGCGAAACAGCGTGTATGTGTTCTGGACAAATATATCGATAAACATAATTTGCTAGCAGTAAAGGGTAAAAACAAGCCACAGAAAGTCAATGCTATTATGGATCACTTACGGTCATTTGCTGAGAGCACACAAACAAACAAACAATGCTCCCTCAGTGTGGAAGAGGTGGATGATCATGATGAATGTGAGGTAGATGAAGGGGATGAGGCATTACCCACTTGTTCTAGTGATGAAGACTTTGTATTGGGAGAAATAGGAGAGTCGAGTGATCAGTCGGACTCTTAATGCTGTCATCGAAAATGTATGTATGTAGCATGACAAAGAACAGATTAGAAATATATTTTGAGTTTTCATAATACTGACGCACCCTAGTGTATTGCAAGAACTAGATTTTATCATTTATAAAGGAGGGGGAGGGTCATGATATTTTAGGCCAAGCTCAAGGGGAGGGTTAGCATATTTCACTCCCATTGCAGGGATGGGTCACCTAATTTCCGAACCCAAATTTAAAATTCCCACCCCCCCCCCTCCCCCCCTGCTAATTTCTGACAAGTCCCTTATCGTGACTGTTCGAAATTGTTTGGTTGAAACACAGCATTCGATTGTTCAAGTCTTCATTTTTTCAAACTTCACTTTGGTTCCTTTGAGGGACTTCAGGTTTTCCTCTAACTTTGGCAACAAATCCTCGGCTGATTTTCGGTTCGGATTTGTGCTGCTCCAACTGATAATGGTATCAGCAATCCCAATCACGGCACCCAAACCACCAAGGGCTTTTGTAAATACGGTGACTGCCAGTGTTGTTCCAGCCATTGCTGCACCCTCTGCGCCGGCCATAACTGTGAATCTACCGCCCTGAAACACTGTGTTACTCAGCGCCAATGCTTGTGGTAATGTGGCCCCCAGTTTCATGGCATCTTTTATGGCATTTAAGTGTGGAAGAATTTTGACAATATCGACGAAAACTCGCACGACTTGAACACCAGCTTAAGCAGCCATTTTGGGAACACCAACCAAAAGGAAAAGGATTGCATCGTCTTGGGAGATATCCAATCTCTAAGCAAAAATCAACATTTTCTCAATGTTTAGCATATGCTAAAACAGCTATCCACCTCAGTTTCGGTAGCTAGTGGTGGATATTTGCCTCGCCGCTTCGCGGCTTGGTAGATATCCACCATTGGTATATACCACACAAGTGAGTTGTGCTTTATGCGCCCACTGATTGCCTAACCCTATTCACCTCCAAGCAGCTGATGAGACAAAATTACGCGTTAAGAGTTTCATTTCCGATCATATTTCGGTATATTGATAGAAATAAACTAGATTTTTTCGGTTTCTGTGTGGAAAATACTAAAACAATTATTCCCCTCAGTCTTACTGAAAATGGTGGATAATTACCTCGCCACTTAGCGGCTCGGTAAATATCTCCCACTATTCACCTTCACTTCGGTAAATAATTGTAAACTAGCCAGCTAGCCACCTCCACTTTGGTGAATATGCGTTAACCATCAACTCTTTAGTCTCACCATTGAGAATAATTTGTCTACTTCCTTTAATAACCATCTTTTTGTCTTTTAAACATTTTGTCTTCTTTTTGCTAAATCATATCCTGTTTGAGATGCGATCGTCATAAGGCCAGGAGACCCAAAGTGTTAAATTATTTGCTAACCTCGGTGTTATCTTTAAACTTAACTTCACGGTAGCATTATCTTAATTACCTGTGCAAGTATTTCAGCTTGTGCATTGAGCTCCTTTTGTAACTTTTCCAACTCAGAATCTTCGGCTTTCATTTCTTCGACTTTAGCTTTAAGATTTCCTCCTTCTACCTTGTTAGCAATAAAGTCGCCAATCGTAGTAGCAACACCAGTGGCTCCGGCTACTACCAAGCCAGCAAGAGCAAGGGGTGAAGCTGGAGTGAAGAGGCCAAAAAAAGATACCACACCAGCATCGCTCCACCTGTCTTTGCTCTATTTACTCCTCTTTCTTGCGTTTTGACTTTCTCAATAAAGTCTTGTAGCCACTTAATCATTTCCTCTCGTAAATATATCATTTTTTGCAACTGATCCAGAAATTTGGACAAGAATTCGGCGTCGAATTTTTCGGACATCTTTCGCAGCCACTTGAAACTTTTAACCAATCCTATCTAAAACAGAAAAAAGAAGCTCACATCAACGAAAAAAATTTAGTTACTTCATGTATACTGTTATTTAGATTATATGTCGCACATCTATTTACATATAATTTGTGCGCTGATTTAAAAAATTTTCCTCTCTCAGCCTGTGAGCAGGCCCTCGTTATTATTGTTTCGGTAAGAGCATGAAAAATTATCGTGCGATAAATGGGAAAATTGTTTGGTCGCACGTGATCGGCTGTCACGCACGTTGTTTCCGTGGACGAGACTAAAACGGCCGCAAAAGTTGGAAAGTTCTTTCTTAACGGGGTTGGCGATGCAGAGATGACATCGAGACATTTACAAACCTGCAATAGAATTAGAAAGATTGGATAATCTACGCTTGTTCTCAGATACTGACAGCCATCTCTGAAAGTGTCTCGTAAGATTTCGCAAAATCAAGGTTTACTGCACTGATTAACAGAGCCATGTGTCGTAGAAGTATTGTAAAGTACTGCTCAATGATCTTTTCACGAAAATAAAACGAACTATTGACCTCAAAATATACCTCCTCAACTGTTGCAGCCATTATCGTCTCGTCCACAGAAACAACACGTGTGACAGCCGATCACGTGCGACTTAACAATTTCCCACTTATCGCGCGATAATTTTTCTTATAACATAGCGCGCGTGCTTGCCCTATATAAGTCCTATTGAGCCGCTATGAACAAAATCTTTATTTAAAATAAATAAGATGACGTGAGCATTTTTTTTACCTGGCTTCAGAGTTTCCGTCCTGTTAAGCTGCAGTGCAGTTTTCCTTTTCCTTTTCCTTTTCCTGATCCAACAAGCAACAAAAATAAAGCCGAAAATAACTCGCAAGTCGCACGTTTCGGAAATTTGTCGGAAGACCAGCTGCAGCAAATTTTGGCCGAAAGACATTCGCTGGGAACAAAAAAGTCACCAATTGGTCATTAACAGAATTTAAAGGTAAAATTTCCGTTTTTATTGCTGTTTTTAGATTTGTTCAACCTGGGGAATAAAGTACACAGTTGTTAATTGGGAATTTATCAAAACCAAAACAATCAAGGCCGCAAAAAATCTAAATGCGACAAATATTTTCTTCTTCGCGCAGATCCTTGTTGTCGCTCTGTTATAAAATAATTTGCTCATGCTTTTAGCTGTGCGTATATCAAGTTGTGGATGCACGCGGGAAGTTTGGAGAGTACTCAAAAAGCTAGAGTTGCTCTCGGTTGCGCCTCGAGCTACTCTTACACATTTTTCGTGCTCTCCAAACTTCCCGCGTGCATCCAGAACTCGATATACGCACTCTAAGCGTAAACGAATTCTTAAATTCAGTGCGCGATATTTTGATTTCATCGCCCGATAACATTGATTTGAAAAGTGGATAGCGTGTTCACTATGGGCCACCGTAGTATCGTGATCAGTTTGCGTAAAGAGAAACCAGAGTAATTTTCGTCACGTGACTCTCGTCAGGTGATGTTCGCCGATGTTTATCAAATCATATGAAACTCACATCAAATTAAGGCTAGGAAGTAGTAGTAAATTGCAACAAAAAGTGCGCACAAATACAGCGAAGTTGACAGAAACGGAGGCGATTTGACTCTCAGTGGTGGCGAGTTTGTAGTGGTGGCGAATTGACCGAAATCAAACTGAAAATCTGAATACTTTTGCCACCAAAAAAAGATTTCATTGATTTGGGTGGTCGGCACCGTTAAGCAAACAGAGACAACTAATCAAACGAGAACGTTTACCTGCTTGTAACTCTTTGAGGCTTCAACTATCTGGTGATCCAAGACTGATTAGTGAGGTTTAAATAACCATAACAAGGAACTGAGACTGTGCGTCATTTATCTGCTTCACGTGAACGGAAACTGATTTTGTGTAGGTTTCCTTCGGATGTTGTATTGTAAATTTCTTTTTTCTGTTTTTCATTTGTGGTTTGAATGAGTGCCATTAAGTTGAAAAAGATAAGGAGATCGAGTACAGCTACGCAAATGGTTCCGCGTTCTGCGACCGCAAATGAGTTTCCAATTGAACTGCAAACGACCCCTTCTAGAACATGGGTACAAACATACCAAAAAGACGTGTTTCGAGTGCAAGGCCCAAGATAAGTTATCGAACAGGGCTCTTAATGCCTTAACATTCCCTACAATAACACATGCATACAGATCACAGCCCTCATGGAATTTACTTTCACTGGCCGAAAGGAACTAGAAAAGAAAAGCTAAAAAGGTGCGTGCTTCAAGTTCACTTTACAAACCCGAAGCCCTTAACATAACGATGAAGAGGTTACTTTAAGGGAGATCTAAAGTAAAATATCGAAAAAGGAATAAAAACAACACGAAACAAAACCTTAACATTCCATACAATACAAATAATATTTTACTTTAAGGGAGATCTTTCGAGCAACTAAATATCGAACAAGGAATAAAAACAACACGAAAAAAAACCTTAACATTCCATACAATACAAATAATATTTTACTTTAAGGAAGATCTTTCGAGCAACTAAATATCGAACAAGGAATAAAAACAACACGAAAAAAACCTTCACATTCCATACAATACAAATAATATTTTACTTTAAGGGAGATCTTTCGAGCAACTAAATATCGAACAAGGATCGAATAAAAACAACACGAAGAAAACCGAGAGACGTTCCATTGTTCTCGTAAGAGTGCAGTGTTTTATTTACTACTCCTCTTAGGAGTAGTAAACCTAGAGACGCCAGTAGTAAGCCAACGCGTGTTACAGAATCCTCATCTACACTAATTGATTTGATCTATGCAAATTATGCAGACAGGGTAGGCTGTTCCGATGTCTCCCATATTGCCATCAGCGATCATAGCCTCGTCTATGTTTACCGGAAAATATCTTCTGATTTACCATCTAAGGGGCACTCTTCCATCTCTTACAGAAATTTTCGTAATTTTGATGGTGAAAATTTTCGAAATGAAATCTCTCAACAAGACTGGTCGTTCAATGAATCAGAAGATCCAAATATGGCATGGTCTAACTGGAAAAAACAACTTTGCGCGTTGTTAACTCTCATGCTCCTTTTCGAACTAAACTTCTAAATGGCAAAACACCCTAGATTGATTCAGCCTTGAAGAAAGGTATGCGCTGTCGCGATACTGCTAAAAGGAAAGCGATAAAAATAAAGAATCCTCAAGACTGGGGCAATTACAGAAAGCTCCGAAATCGAATCAACAATAAAGTGAAAACCACTAAGGCATTATCGCAATAGTTTTATTCAATCCAAAAATCTATATATTATCTCTGCTAGGTTTATTCGTGAGTGTGCTGATATTATTTCAGGCCCGTTATGCGATCTATTTAATAAATCCCTGTGTCTGGTATATTTCCTGACGACTGGAAATGTGCCAGAGTGATTCCGTTGTTTAAACAGGGCGAGTCATCTGACTTAAACAACTACCGACCTATCTCAGTCATTTCCGTAGTCGCCGAAGTGTTCGAGAGGATTGTGTACGATCAGTTATACAATTTCTTAAATAGTGAAGAAATCAGCTCTAAACAACAATCTGATTTCCGGTCTCTACACTCAACTGTTACTGCACTTCTAAAAGCCACCGTCTGACAGTTGGGCGTTTAATATCGATCGTGGCTACGTCGATGCCGTAGTGTTTCTCGACTTCAAAAAGGCATTCGACATGTACTGTTGATCATGAGATTTTACCAACTGAAATGAATCGGTGTGGAATTCAAGGTAAAACTCTTGATTGGTTTGAATCGTATTTGACAAATCGTACACAACGGTGCTCTGTTAACGGTTGTCTCTCTGACTTCACCACTCCTAAATGTGGTGTGCCACAGGGAACGATCCTTGGTCCTCTTTTATTTCTAATCAGCTATATCAACGATTTGCCTAACTGTCTTTCGTTCAGCATACCTAGAATGAATGCTGATGACACCCACATTACTTATGCTGGTTCTGATTTGCATTTGACTCAGTCTAGTCTATCTCACGACCTTGAAAAGCTAAGCAAATGGCTTGTGTCTAACAGACTTACCTTGAACGCTACAAAAACTGAATATATGTTGATCGGCTCCAGGCAAAGATTAAGTACTCTATCTGATACACAAAACCGATTGACCAAGTTTCCTCTGTGAAATCACTTGGAATATAAATCGATGAAAATTTAACGTGGCATTCCCACACTGATAAACTGTGTAAAATGATTGCTTCTGCAATTGGAGTCATAAAGCGAGTTAAGCCATTTGTGCCTCAATCCACCCTACTCAATAAATACAACTCACTAGTTCAATCTCACTTTAATTACTGCAGCCTAGTCTGGGGTAACTGTAGCAAAACATTATCTAACAAGCTACAAAAACTACAAAACCTTGCTGCACGAGTAATAACTTCATCAAAATATGACGTAGATGTCGATTCTTTGTTTCACAAACTCAGCTGGAAAGACTTGAAATCTGAAAGTCAAATTCAGAACGCCTTAATGGTTTTTTCAATTCTTTAAACGGGCTGGTTCCCGAATATCTCACGTCTAAATTTACAAAGCGAAATGAATCAAACTATTCTCTGAGGGACTCGGTAAGCAAACTTGTCGTCCCCTGTCCAAGAACTAATTACTTGAAAAATAGTTTTAGTTGCAACCCTTTGGAACAGCTTGCCTTGTAGCATTAGAGAGTCTAGTTCATTAAATCAATTTAAACGCCTTCTCTATAAAATTTTTTAAACACGGCATTCACAAAAATCAATTTTTTTTTTACATAGCATATTGTAAGTTAATATAATGTTAGGATTAGGATTTTTTAGGTTTTAGGATGTTAGTCACTGTATTAGAATTTATTGTACCTGATGAATATTTTACCGTATATAAATAAATGAGTAAATGAATAAATAAATAAATAAATGGACAACTCGCTATAATGGCCTCGTTTCAACAAAGTAGGCAGTTAGACAACAAGCGATGTACTGTGGAGGTAAGGCGAGGTGTTTTTTATTGAAAATTTGACTGTATTTTTACATCCTGAGAGCAGTTGTTAACATTCCCATACAAACTCTTATATTTTTGCCATGACGCTCATTACGTAAGATGATCATCTCACATGCAGCTGGAGTTTGGGCCGCCTGTGGCAGCGTAATAACTTAATGGCTATTACATTTGCGTTAGTGTGACAGGAAATCATGATTCTGATAAATGCAATAACACAATGACTTCACGGCTACCTTTGCGTCGGTATGTAGGGAAACTCTAAGATAGCCGGTAACGCAATGACTTAACGGCTACATTTGCGTCGGTGTACAAGGAAACTCTAAGATAGCTGTTGTGCTGTTTGTGAGACAAACTACTACAAGTGTTCTGCAAAGAACACCATCTTTTATTCTACCCCATCCTCTTGTACGTATATGGTTCATGTAAGCTAACACAACAGTAGCCAGTAACGCAATGACTTAACGGCTACCTTTGCGAGAGGGAAATTATAAGATAGCTAGTAACGCAACAACTTAATGGCTACCTTTGCGTCTATATATAAGGAAATTATAATATAAGTGGTGTCCAATGTAATCAAAAACAGCTTTGCCTAGCGTGGTATAGTTCGAAACTAACTGCGCAGTAAAACTTGAAATCGAGGAAACTTTCGACCGCCGAACACGGAGTATCTATGAATTGCGCGCCCGGAAGTTCGCAATAAGCCTCGAAGTCACAGATTTCGTTTTAAGTCAGTCTAAATAAACACAGAGCGCCGAGCTTAAGCTAGCCTGCAGTTCAGGCGTCTTATTAGGGCGGGCTAACGCTGCAAGCTCATGATCGTTTATCCGACCGGCCATGTTTGATTTGGAGTTAGAGTGGACGGTGAGGGTAGGAGGCGGGGGAGGGGTTCACTCCCTTACCCCCACCCCTCTCCATATTTTTACCGATGACCGCCCCCTTGGTAGAAATTTCTTTCTCTTCCAAGCCTTCTGCTGGCATTAAAATCAAAGATGGCGGCCATAATGTCAAGAAAATAACAATTTGGCCCGCTCTACAGGCTAAGCTTATGCAAAACTCGCAGTTCGGTGGAAATCGTGAAATGTCCAGCTATCTAAAAACATATCTGATGGTGAACTGAAATTAGCAAATATTTTCGACTGCCGGACACCGGTCCGGCTGCCGCTGGACACAGCGAATTTTTTATGATACGACATTCAAGCTACCGTGTAATAAAAAGTTTGTTCATTCAGCAGTTGTGGGTTCATCGTGACGTGAAGCGGTTAAAAAGGTTTAGAGAGCACTCTAGAAGCTGCTCCTCGAGCGGATCTTACGCATCCTTTTGTCTTCTACAACTGGGAAACATTAAAATTAATGACCGGTCCAAAGGAAGTCAAACCTCACCGTGCTGTTTCCTTTGGGGTCAGTCGTTAAGCGTTTTGCTACTCTTCAATTTAAATATCGAACAAACTTATCCTGATTAAAAACGTTTAGCTGCCATGACTGCAAAAACAAAAAATATATACTTTCTTGACGCAGGCTGGCACTCAGATTTGCCGCACTGATCAAGCACGAGTCGAGAGTTCAAGTTCAGTATTTTTTCTCGACGGATTTAGTAAATGTTTACAAATAGCATCGAAATAGCACGCGACTAGTTCTTCTCCAATCGACTACATCTTTGTTCAGTTGGTCTGCTAGAGAAATTGAGACAATCCACTCATCCAAAGAAATAAAACCGAATTTATCTCACTACATATTACAAGAGAAAAAAAAATTAATTAAAAGGTCACAGAGGGCAGTTATAAACAATAATGGACTTGTCGTCAGAGACGGAGACAATCTTGGAGCCTGTGGCGTTATACTTCACTCCCCAAACCTACAGTAGAAAAATCAAATTATAATAAGGACTTGCAAACCAATTAAAATGTGAATATGAAAGTGGTCTTCGCAGTAATGAGCAGTACTCGAGCAGTAGTGATAATAAGTGATAATAAAAATATTCTAGCCTGCTACATATTCAAACATGTTCAAATCCTGTTCTGGCCAGAATCTCTTTTTCAGGCCTTATTATCACTACTGCTCAAGTACTGTTCATTACTGCAAAGATCACTTTCATATTCACGTCTTCATCTGCAATTCAGATGTGTTATTTTCATATATTCACATTTATCAACTGAAAGGTCTTATCAAAAGATAATTTTAGCGCAATCTTGAAACTCCAGCAGAGAGAGAGAGGAAGGGTATAAAACAGTCATATAAGTAAAATGGATTCACCAGAGCACTATACTTCCCGAGCACGTTCGTGATATAAAAATAATAGCTACTTGGCGCAAAAATATGCTAATACACTTGTCTGTGGACATCATCTACCAGATAATGCCAAAGGAAGACTGATTGGGATTCTTAACGAAACAGTAGACAAACGTTTATCATCTTGAACTGAACAATGAATGAAGACCCTTGTCCTGTTTTACGTAAAGATTGAAAATTGGTAAAAATCAGTAAAAAATAAAATCACCCAAAATTTGGTCTGGTTATGCTTTTAGATCAAGAGATTTATATTCTCTTGCTTTAGACCCAATACCACCTGAACAAAAATAATGTAATGGATGACAAATGGATGTGGTGTTTTGTGGGATTTTCATCAATAAGGACACTTCTTGTTGCTTATCACGTGGCATATGAGTCCCATAAACATTCAATCCTGGACAATTCCCCAGTATTTCAGACATGCCTTGGAACTCTTAACAAATAGAGCTTAATTAATAATCGATTACCTGGTCATTGTGTTCATAAAATGTCTGAATACACTGCCTTGAGCCTGCATCCCAAACTTTTACTGTCTTGTCACTGGAACTGAAATGCAACAGAAGAAAATAGTTGTTCCTTAACCCAATTAAAAACACACAAATCTTTGCAAATTTTATAATAAATCTTATTTAGTTTAACACAATTGCCAGACAATCTCTTTCTCTTAAATAGACTCAATTTGTGGATTATTTTAATTACAATACAAAATGGTGAATACCTCGAGACAAAGTGTGTGTTGTCTGGACAAAATGAAACGCCAAGAACCCATGAGCCATGTCCTGACAGAGTCCCGGCTAAATTAGCATGTTGTCTGTAGAACGTGAAATTACCAAAACAAACAAACAGACAAAAAACAAAGAAAAGAGGACACAAAGAGTCATCCAGATCTAAGCATTGACATGTAAACGATGTAACCAAAATGACAATATTTTACAACCACCAACCAATCCTGCAATGAGTAGCTAAAGCATATTATTTTAAGGGTGCAACAAGTACATGCACATGCATGTATATGTACAAGTATATGTACATGTACATGTATATGTACAAGTACATGTACATGCATGTATATCTTCATCCCGCAGCTAAAATAAATCTGCAAAATCTTGCTCAGAAAGCAGAGCCTAGTATGGTAATCAGTAATAATTGACAAGGAAGAAGGAGTCTTGAATGGTACACATCATACATCTTGATATGATTGTCATCTGAAGCTGTGATCAACAGCTGGGAGTCAGGTGAAAATGTCAAAGATCTGATGGGCATGGCATGACCTGAAAGATTGATGAAAAAATGTGAAATCACTGCCGAAGTGGTTAGAGGACTATTAAGAAGAATTCATTTCAATTTCTAACCTTCTAGAGTGTGAAGTAATTTTCCAGTTGTTAGGTCGAAAATATTGATTATTCCATCAATGGCTCCACAAGCTATGTAGTGACCATCAGGACTCTGAAATTAAATATTAGAAAACAAATAATTAAAATATTTATGTCAGTAATAACAATTTCAATATAAGTAGCAGTGATAATAAAATGATGGTAATTATTATTACTATTATTATTATTATTATCACCATTTATTTATCGTTCATAGTAGTATCATTATTTACTATACTAGTTTGCAAAATCATTACTATGTTATAGTAGGATAATATATCCATTGGTATGTCCACTAGCATGCCAGGAACTACAGTTTTAAATAACACTTCTTGCTTACAGGCAAACTGGGAAATAATATATTGGAATAACTAAGTAGACAGAAAAATTAATAAGTAAAGTTTTGGAATAGACTAGGTATAGATTTGAGCACAAAAAGCACAATTTTAATAGAATCTGTATGACTAACATACATAAGCTATGCTCATGGTGAATTTTCCTCTTGTATCCAAGGCACTTTCTTTTTTACCACTTTCCACACCTATCAAGTTTATTTTTCCAGCATGGCTGCCAGTTGCTATAAGTTTAGAGTCTGGAGAAAATGCCACTGTCCATGTGTCCACTGTGAAGGAAAAAATAAAAATAAATCTTATCCTTTAGTTTGTAATCGATTGCAGAAAGGAAAAAATTCCCTATTGAGTCATGATTGATTGAAATGAATTTCATTCACTTCTCCCTGGAAATGGTTTTTTATCAAAAATCTGTGCTACTCTCACAACCAATCAAATGTAAACTATCAACCAAATTGTGCCTTTGTGCAATATGCTTGTTTTCTTTTCAACCTCTCCAAGGTGCCTTGCAATGTCCTTTTTCATTCCTATGGGCCATTACTAGTTTATGATCACTTGTGTTGTGGTTTTGGTTAAATTAAAACACTCAAACTAAACCTCTGTATGAAAGACTGATAGCTCATAAAATATAATTTTCACTATGATGAAATACACAATGATTTACTCACAAAATACTGTTTTTTGACAAAAAACACAACTTATTAGACCTTGGGTTCCAACCTTCTCACTTCAAGATATTTTAAATATTTCCTAAATCAGTAACAGAAAATTTATCAAGTGCAATTGGCTTAAGCTTAAACTGATAGCCAAGCTCTTTTACCTATTACCCCTTATACATCCACCGATTATATGGCAAGTCTTATCTTACTTAACCAATGTGGCAGCAAAGTAGGAGGGATCATCAGTCATTCTCTCTATTACATAAAGTCTGACTAAGTGTGTAATTTGAAGATATGACCATCATGTACAGAACTTAAAGTTAACACAAAGAAGGTTGCAGCATTGTACCTGGACCACAATCAATGGCTTTCAGTTGTTTCCCAGATTCTAAATCCCATATTCTGATATGACTGTCTAATGAACTTGATGCAGCAACTATCAGTTGGTATTCTCGTCAAGGATTTGTCAATTTCAGCAGTCTATCAATCAGCTCTTAGACATGCTCTTAGACATTTTAGCATGGCAAAATCCTCAGTCATTTATAGAATAACATACATGCAAAAAACTCTACAGTACTACAGAAAGAGGCCTTTTAGGGCATTGACCTCTAAAAATGACTAGCATCTAATGCTTCCTTACAAAATCACCCCTCAATCAAACTTGAAGGTCACGAGAATAAAGGTAATGATCACCAACTCAAGAGGCTCTTGATTGTTAAACAAATTCTTCTTATTAGCACCTTTGGAAATGTATAGAAAACAGTATGAAGAATGTGCATTAAGACGTCATGGTATAAAGGGTTAAGGTATCCAAGCAGGGGATTTTTACCCTTTGGAGTGGGAGTGCACTAAGAAGTGCATTGAATGACAGAGAAGTGGCTAGCAAAAAGATTGCTTGATTTCCACTATTTCAGGTTGCAGGTCCCACCTATCATGTCCCCAGTAACTGATATCAAATTCTACCTTCCAAGTAGAAAAAGAGCTTACAGATCACATGATAAGAAACAAAAACTTGTGAGAATACTAATACATGTTCCAAGTTTTAAACCTCAGTTCACTAATGAGTTGATTTGACTTAATAAATGGCTAATAATAAATATTATAATAAATAATAATAATTACCACTATTTTCTTATGAGATGAAAAATCCTAAAACCTTCCTTAGAATATCAAGACACAAGGTTGTTATTTACATAAGTTGAAGCTACTGTAGTATTTATTTAGGATACTTGTCCCAGTTAAATTAATATCCACTGACACCACACCAAGTTGATGACCTTCAAAATTAAATCTAGGTTCCAGCTTTTCTTCATTCCTAAAAACACAATTTAAAATCAGTATTATCAGTGTCAAACAATTGGTACCTTTACTGCTGCATGATAATTTTAAAGATGCTGAGTTTATTTACTTGGTAAACAGAACAAATTCATTTCATATCAAGGTCAGTTTTAGACCTTTGAAAAATATCACAAGCAATACAATCCGATTAATTTATCAACTGCTTGAGTGTTTTTGATGAGATCAGAGATGTCAACAGTATCATTTTTGTCTTCTGCTAACCAAGGTAATTTTCTTAAATTAAACTAAAGCAATTTTACATATGAGAAAATGTTACAGTCATGTTTGTAATTACATTAATTCTGATAAAAAATCTTACAATTCTGGAGGGTAAAATGGACCATAAAAATTAAACAATCATTATTGTTGACTAAAGACCTAAATTAGAAAAAAAAGGTTTAGCTCTGAACAGGTTAAATGAAGACACATTCAATGAACATTTCCTTACCATCTCCAGCATTTTACCATATCATCAACAGCACCACTTATAATATTCTCTATTCCATCTTTATCACTAGTTCCCCATGCAACTGTCCAGATACTGTCCTCATGAGCTAGAGAAAAATAAATTCCATGTTACACATTACACGAGTCTACTCTGAGGGTGCTAAACAAAAACTGGATTCTGTTATTAACCAGAACTGTTAAGTCACATCAGACAAATATTTTCTACTAAAATCTTATCCATTAAATCCTTAGAATTTTTTAAAAAGATTATGGAAAACTCCTGAACAACACCCCTTCATTGCAAAATAGACCAAGATAAATGTAACAAAAGATATTTTCACCAAAACAATATCTAATGAAATTTTACCCATTAAATCATAAGGAATTGTTTAAAAGATTATGGAAACTCTTTGAAAACACCTATTCATGGTAAAATTGACCATGACAAGTGCAACAAAGGATGTGTGTACCAGCTAAAGTAAAAAATAGGTTCATGATTAATATGAAAAGTACAGGAGGCAGCCACAGACAGATAACACTAAAATATGTTTCCTTTCATGTCTATTTAAGATTGCTGATAAAATTTGATAAGATCACAACAAGGTCCAAAGCAGGAGTTATAAGTATATAACTGATGCAACAGGAAACCACAGGCACAAACACCTTTAAATATTTTGATTTCAGTTAAAGAAAAGACATAATTCTGTAAATATTAAGGGTATTGGAGTAGAATTGTAGTCAAAATATTACTTAAATAACTCTTACTTTTCCAATTCTCTCTTTATTTTAAAGAAATTTTAACATACTATGACATAATACTACTCAGGAAAGAATACCTTGCTCTTGCTTGTAGCAGACACTGTATTGAGACTAGACAAAGAAAAGAACGGTGTCATGGATGAGGAAGTCTCTCAAATCAGCGTACATGAAACGTTCCAAGTTAACAATGCAGGTTAAACAGTACTCCGAAACATGCAAAAACTTTGGCTCTGTCATAATTATATTACCTTTCAAAATTTGCATCAGCACCTCACTTCTTTAATTCATGAACATGATAAAAGTTATATATATATATATATATATGTAATTATAAGTCAACAAAGTTTTTACGCTCATTAAAAACGAAATCAAATTGATTGTACATCTAGAATATAAACATCAAATTTACATGTATTTCAGGAAAAACCTCATAAATGCAACAGATGCATGCAAAATTGAACGTTAAATAAATCTAGGAGTATTTTACCCACCATGGTTTAAAGAAGACGGGAAATTTCAAGAGGAAATCGCGTTCGTCTAGCAGGCAGCCATCTTGAATCGGCTCAGGCCAGCGTTTACTGCTGTTAGGCACGCTCTGTAAATACGTGCGTAGTGTAGCGCTGTCTCACATTCTACAAAGATGTCGTTTGCCGGGAGAACTCTGAATGTGCTTGGCCGATCCGCCATCCGTACGCGCTGTACGGCTTTACAGCGTTACCGTGGAGACTTTTCGAATGCACCAGGAGATGTGAGTATGCCATGATTGTAATTATAATGTAGCCTCTTGTGAGTAATTCGATTCGTTTTCCCATCATTGAACTACAAAATTTCGACGGATGTGTAACTCGAGCTTATATTGTGATCAACGTTGATATAGCTGTAACAGTGGTGCTGTTCATAACAGTCTTCTTCCAAATTTTAGTTTTTGTGGTTCATACGTTTTGTAAGTTGTTTTACACCCAGACGCCGCTTCTTCTTAACGCCGGATTCTTGCGTGAAATCCTGATATTTTAGCTTTTCAATTGATATTTACTGAAGCTGATCTGGGTTGAAGATCAGTCGATGTTACCGACGATTAACCAAGCGCCACGGAGGTTTTCTTCGTAATGACTTCGAACCGATTTAAGTCATATCATATCGGAGTGAATGACTCAATTGTGTTCCCAAAGGAATGAAATAAATGAGAGACGCACTGATATATTCACCTACACAGTTAATTAACCCTTAAACTCTCAGATTAAATTTGTAATCTCTTTACCCTCAACCATACAATTCTTGTAATGTTAGTTCAGAGAATTTAGTATTGGATCAACTTATTATTCCCAAATTGATATTTTTCTTTATTCTCATTCCTTATCTGGTTGATATTGTATTGATATCGTCAGGATAAATTTTGTCTTGGTCACTCATGGGAGTTTAAGGGTTAACTACTCTAGGGTTTTCACTTGTAAGAATATGATAGTGGAGTCAGATCATCTAGGTGAGTGTAGTTTAGTTTAGTTGTGATGTTGTTGGTTGTAGATATGATCATTTGGTAAAGTTAGGTTATTCTGTTCAACTTGTTTGTGATGTCAGTGTTGCGAAAGTTGTTTGTGTAGTGTCAGTAATAGTTGACACCTGTTGAAGGGAGTCTGTTGTAAGTTAGTAAACCAGTTTTCAAGAGTCCATCGCTCAAAGTAAATAGTGGCGTAGGATAGCACCACCAAACTATAACCCATACTAATGACTGAGTACTTGTATTGTGATATGCAATTTGTCATTATTCATGTTTCTAGAATATGCCTTTCCAAGTAAAGAACAAGCCTAGGCTTCTGGCAACCATGATCCTCTATCTAGGAACATGCTTTACTCTTCCTTTCATCTGTGTGAGATTCCAAATGGCAAAGCAGAAAGGTGATTGATGTTCAAGAACAAGGCAAAGACCTGGAATGAGTGAACATCTGTTGGCATTATTAAATGTGAACCTTTCCTCTTGATATATGGTTTTTTTCAATGTTGTAATATTGTAACCTAGTAATGTCTAAACTCATAATTGTTCGCTGATTAGTGGTTTATACTGGTTTTATGCTTCATTAAGTATCATTTAAAAGATGTAACTTGAATTGAATAAACAGGCTACTTTGGAGTTTATATGTTTGTGAACAATATTTTCTAGCCTTTGAAAGTAATACTGTGCAGTGGGGACATTTAGGCACAAGTTCGAAAACAGGCTGTTCCATCTTTTTCTTACACAAAATGGGGGTTTATTTTCTCCCTCTACGCAAAATTAAAAAAATACATTCATAGCCATAAAATGCGACCTATTCACCTTGAAGAAATCAGTGAATTACCCCCTTATGTTGAGCATTGAGTATTCCCTAGTGGGTGCCAAGATTATCATCTCTTTAAAAAAAAGGCCACAGCCATGTTTTTTGGCATGTTTTACAAAGAACTAACACTTGTACCAGCTTCCTTTACCAAGAACACACTTTTAATATTAACACACTCATGTTTACAGCATCAAATAAATCTTGTGGCAAGAGCCAGCACTTTTGACAATTTTTCTTGTCTCTTTCTTAAAATTGTTGGAATTGGTGCTTTTACTCGTGTTCCAAGGGGGGCAAGGTTGTCATCCACAAGTACAATACAGTTGTTGTCATATCTTGGAATTGTGTGATGCTTTGTTTTCCTTGTGCCAATGACAACTGCTTTATTGGTCTTTCCAGCCACAGCAACTCTTATCACATCCCCAGGGTCAGCAGTCTTCCTTTTTCTATAAAATCCTATTAAGTAAGGTTTGCGATTCTTCTTCACACTTTTCCCAAGAGTACTATTATCAACAACTTTGAATGTGGTAAGTAAGGTAATATTTCTTTTCTGAATTGAGCCAAGAAGGAGTGGTGACAGAGTAACTGAGTGGCATCCTGACAACAGATTTGTTCCTGAAAGTTGACATTTAAACAACAGATAACAGTCAATGAAAGTTAAAAAATCACAACATGACTTTTCTACTCTTGTTAGGTCTACATATGGTTATCTCAGAAATTCAGGGCTCAGGTTTTCCCACTCAAGTGCATGTTGTCTATGGAATAATCTAGGTAACTCATACAGAAACATAATTTCTCACTCAAATTTCAGAAAAATGCTACAGAATAATTTTATCAAAGAAAACTCTTCACTAGAACATTTTAAGATTAGTAGGACTTTTTGATTTTTATACTAAATTTTAATAATTTAGTTAGAAGTGTAATAATTGGTAGGATTAGTATGATTCTTGTATGTGATATGTTTTTGTTTTTGTGTTCTGTTTTTGCTGGGGGTCATTATGAAAATTACCAGGCTACTGGTAATAATGTATTTCACCCTCAATAAATAAAGTATTTGTTTATTTGTTTGTTTGTCTGGAGAGTGTTGCTGGAGTTGTACAAAATACTGTACTAAAGGTCAAGATATGAGAGAACACCAGAAAACCACAAACCATATGTCCCTGATGCTAGCAGTCTCATTAATCTTTGTCTTTGTGGGCTCTTTTTTCCCCCAGAGCACCAGTAACATCAATTTGTAACAAAAACCCACAGCTTGATATTATGAATTTCATGGTTACAGTTTAATTATAGCTGAAAAATTGAGTTGAGGTTTCTCTACTCTAGTAAAAGAATCTGTACCTACCAAGTAAGTGTGTATTCCAAATTTGTTTTGTTTGAGCAAACAGTGGAGATGAGCCTTGGAAAAACTGTTAAATTGTGGAGTAGAAAAGGTCAGGTCACATTTCAATATATAATTATGTCTAAGGAACAATGTGCTCCTTAAGTTTTGTAGACTAACAGATACAAGCAGAAAAACATTTGAAAGTTTCATCTAATATGGAAAGATGCAATGCAATATTGCCCACCTTATACATTTTTTCCAATGGCTAACTTGGTAAAATTTCCTCACAGCCCCATACTACATTATGCATTCAGTTCTTGGATAGAGAAAACAATGACAAAAACAATACATCACCACTGGGAAAACAGATTTGTTTTACAATAGTATGGGGCTGTGCGGAAATTTTATCCAGATTATGATTTCACATGTTAAAAAAGAGAGAGAGAAAGAACAATAGCCATTCATGATCATAGCAGTGAAAAATTTCTCTATCGATCGTTCCGACGTTTAGAATAATAGAATAATGTTCTCACCAGAGACTTCAGCTGCCCGTTTGAGGAAATGGTTTTGGAGGTAAATTTAAAGAACGCTGCCATGTTGCCTGTTAACGTTGGCGTGGGTTACGGGGAACTGGGACTTGCTCTCGAGTTTTCGAGTTTGGAGTAAATTGTTATGTATGCTACATTTTGCGTCCTAACTTGAAATGCTTTAAAATCAATTCTTCTCACAGCTTATGAAAGATTCTGAAAAATGTGAAGAAATACTCACGCATAATAAGTTATATTCAAGTCAGTTTTTTATTCACTTGGAAAGAGGACTGTGCCTTTCGTAGTTATCCAGACTAAAATGAGTTTCCGCACCGTGGACGTTACATGTAGGATACATGATCAGTTAATGGAACCTAGTCCTTTACGACCTTCCAAGGAAATCCGTGCATATTCCAAAGTAATTTATGGACTTCGTCGCTGGATTTCAAGCCTTTCGTTTGTTAATATTGTACTAAATATATAAAAATATGGAAAATGGCTTGAACTTAAATTCTTCAAACTGTGGTCAAAAGGAGACGAGACAAGGTCTGAACGCTTCGCCAATGGATATGAACAGCCTGCCTCAAGTTGTGCTCTTGAGTATCATGTCGTATTTAGATGTGAAAGATTTGGGCCGAGCTTCTTGTGTTTGTAAACGTTGGTATAATTCAACTCTAGATCCAAGCCTTTGGAGAATACTGAAGCTCCCGAAAAGGCAAAAGGTGGACGATGAAGTTCTTATTCGATTAACAAACTATGGATCGACTGCTACTGTTTTAGATGTTTCAGAATGTGCTAACATCTCTGAAGAGGGTTTGATCAAGGCTCTGCAACAGTGTCGGTATTTAGTCGAATTATCTGTTGTAAGATGCTCGGCTGTGACTGATAAATGTCTCACTGAAATTGGACAGAGTTGTCAGAACATTAAGTTTTTGGACATAAGCTTGTGTCGTGTGACAGACTGTGGAGTCAAAGAGGTGAGTTTAATTTCACATTTTGCGCACAAATTATTTTTCAACTTCTCTTTGTTCATTGACCCCGGTTAAATGCAATTTTAGGAGTTCAAAGTTTTATTACATTCCGGTTATTACTGTTTTTATTTTTTCAGCTTTGTCAAGGTTGTGTCAAATTAGAGAAACTCACGATGGACCAATGCCGCTCCCTTACTTGTGAAAGCCTTTTTGCAGTTGCACAAAATTGTCCAAAAATTAAAAGCATTTCTGTAGAGTACAACAGTAAATGTGAAGATGCTGGGGTCTGTGAACTTGTGCAAAGATGTCCACTGCTTGAAAGACTTCATCTTAACTCCTGTACAATTACTTCGAAGACAGCACTCCACATTTCACAATACTGTAGGAATATGTCTGTTTTGGATCTCCGTTGTTTTTCAAGTCTCACTGATGATGTGGTGAAGGAAGTAGTGTTTGGTTGCAAATATCTTAAAGTCCTAAACTTAAGTCTGTGCACTAATGTGACAGATTCATCTTTAGAATATATTCTTTCAAATTGTGCTTCTTTAAGAGGATTGTACCTGGTGCACTGTGAAATTACTGATGATGGTGAGTAGTTTAACCCTTTACACCCTAACATCAGTATGCATATTCTCCATACCATTTACTATACATTTCCTTAGCACTGAAAAGGAGAATTTGTTCAACAATCAAGAGCATCTTAACTTGGTGATCATTTAATTTGATCATTTAATTTATTCTTGTAACCTTAATACGTAATTTAGGGGTGATATTGTAAGGAGAAATAGCAGTAACAAATAATTTTCAAATTTGTAGATGAAAATGTAATCCCTGACACTTGTTTGAAATTACATATTAAGTTTCATGTTTTAAAAAAGTACAGCTGTAACATTGTACGTGGTGTGACAGTTTCAAAGAAACACATTTTTCACAGTGAGACTTTAAAAGGGAAGACCACACAGGAATGACAAACCTTCAGACCCAGGATGTATCCTACCATAGTAACTATTTGGTCACATCAATTATTCACCAAGCTTGTTTGTAATTCTATCATTTAGGATTGAAGGCCTTCACTTATCACACTTGTAACCTGGAGAGATTGGACATAAGTTGGTGCAAAAAGATTACAGATGAAGGAGTCAAAACTGTCTTAAAAGGATGTCCTCACCTTAAACATTTAGGTGTGTAACAGTACCAATGCCTGGTAAAGTTTCCTCTTTAGTCTAGAAGTCTACAAGTGCCATTGAGGTTTTGACTCGTGTTGGTGGACATCATGAGTATTTGGCAAGATTTTCCAGAAATGTTTTTTGCATGGGTTTGACAGACTCTGAAGCTATAAAGGGTAACCTGTTTTGAAGCATAATTGTTCCATCTTTATAAGAGAAAACTTGTCGACTGCATTTTGTATATTATGGCCTTGCAAATGTCTGTAAGAGACAATAGCAGTTGGAGCAAGAAACAGTTAATGCATTCTTGTCCATTATGTTACTTGGGCTTTTTTTTTAATTTTTTCTTCGTAAAGTTATTCAATAGGATAATTTTCAAAACTGATATCTGTCAGGCAATGATAAGGATCTCTGCATGTGGGATGTAAAGAAGGAAGGCTACCTTATATTATCATTGCAGGTGTGAGGAGTAGTTTGTTAAATGGCAGTGTGGGAGTTCAACATTACTTCCATTGTTGATTTTTGTGTTTGCATGATTGTTTTAGGACTTGTCAGATGTGATCAAGTCAATGAGAAGACAGTTCTACAACTGAATCAACACTATCCTCATGTCTTCCTCAGCACTGTTACAACAGAGATGAAGCTCATGTGTGAGAAAGCTGGCTTCCCAGACCTTTGTAAACAATGAAAACTTTTGCAGTAAGGCTTTTTAACATAAGGTTGAACACTCACTGGGAGGAAAGATTTGGAATGATCTGTTTTCTGTCAGATAGAGATGGCCTATTTCTTTCTAAATGCAGTGAAAAGCTCAAAAGCCATGTTTAGGGCAAGCATGGATGGCAAGGTATACATACAACAAATTTATTGAATCCAGGAAAATTCTCCAAGTCACACAAGGGGACTTTTTGCATTGACTCATCATTTATATAAGAGGTTGGGCTGATAAGACCCATCAGAAAACAAAACATAATCTATGAACTCTCCTAAGGATAAGAAAAAGAGACATGACTTCTCTAAAAACACACTTTAAAAAAAGATAGCCCCCACTCCCAAACAACAGGCATACGCATTCAACCTTAAATACTTATAGTAATAAAAAATCGCACAATCTACATATATGAGTAATAGAAACTAATGCAAGCTAATGTGATTATTAAGTTTTTGTAAGTCTGTATCACTAGATTTATTATAAAGGAAAGTCCTCAGACAGCAAATCCAATGAGAAGCATTTATTTAAGTTGCCCCACTAATCTTGTTTTGGTAGACTGTGACTGTTCCCCACATTAGCTTTAAACAGCGATAGATGAACTCTAAGGGCTGATTATTTAGTAATACAGGAAGTTTAACCCAAAGCATAGTTTCTTGTAAGAGATGGGCCTCAGGTATTGTCCATAAGACGATTGATTTAATTAAATATATGTTACTTCCACTGTCAGCTTTTAGCCCTCTTGACACTCTTCACAAATACGAATGATCAGATAAAAAGGTTTGACTAAATTGAAGATCATTTAGAGTATGGTTTTGTTAAACAACAGCTGAACTTTGTTTAAATAACCTGTCATTAGGGTTTCTGAGGCTGGCAATCATATACCATTCATGCAGGGAGTACTGACTGCTTTTGTTAAAAGTAAAATAAGATAGCCCCTCCTCTTTGTGAGAAGATTTCCTGATTAACTCCCAGACCCCTCCCCAAATGACTGTCCATTCCTGCCAGCCCACTCCCTGGCATAAAATAATGAAAGGTCCCCCAGTTTAGGAAAGTTTGAACGCAAAGGCTCCTGGGTTTTTTCTTTTTAGTGTTGTTGTAAATCAAGAATTCTTGCTTTTATAAATATATATATTAATTTACTTAGTTGTATAATTCTTAATTTTTATCCACTGACATTGTACACAGTTTTTACATTTTTCTGATGGTTCATCTGTTTAAATAGTTTTTTTTTCTTCAATTGTTAATTTTATAGTTGTCCGGGGCACCCATTTATATCAGCTTCAGCTGATGGGTTTACCTTGGTTAAATGTGTTATTGTTATCAGTGCTATTATTATTTTATTATTATTATTATTATTATTATTATTATTATATTTTTGTTATTATTATATCTTATTTACTATTATTATAATTATTTTCTTGTCATTCAGAATCTTTGTAGCAATGAGATCCAATAGTGTTTAAAACACTTGAAAAGTTTGCAGATAAAGAAAATAAATACATTATGGTATTGTATGCTGTTAATAATTTATCAACATTTTGGAAAATAATTCCCATAATTCTTGCTGTTCCAGGGAATGAAATTTTATGATCATTAACAACTTGAATAATATAATTTTTGTTAGCTCATATTGCACTAAAAATTTCCTGTATGAATCAAGATAAAACAAACTCATTTAGGGTTTCAAATGACTCAGTAAACTGCAAATGCAAGGTCTTGACAGTGTAGACTTTAAGTAGAATGCAAATGTAACTCTGCTTTCAGGACAGCATTTGATATGTCTAGGTGTACAGCCTAGTGACACTTGATTTGGAACATTTCAATGTGCAAGTGTGTAGACCTGGATGTAAAACAACTGTCTTTAAAATTTTAAGAAATGAAGTAGTTTGCCAAACCTGGAAAAAAAATTGAAAACTTCGGAAAGGAAGCTTGTACCTTGGAACCTAGAGGCAATGAGTGCTTAGTTGGTGAGAGTGATAAATTTCATTAAGGATTTCTCAGGAATGACCTTAGGTAGGAGGGCATAAAGAAGTAATCCCCCATGACTAAAGTGCCACCTTGAACACTGTTGGAGCGGTTAGGCAGCTTGCGTTGAACACCTCTCCCCAGATAACCTCAGTCTTTTTACCTAGACCCTTGTGATTCTGTAAAGACATGGGTTAGGAGCCACAAAATGTAAGCTACTGGTTTCCTTAGATGGGAGGTGGGGATTGGAGGAAGGGGTTTGCAAAGAGCCAGCCTCTCTGTGATGTTAACCAGCTCAACATCTGCCCACAACGGTCTTGCGGATTTCACGTCAGAGGCAAAAATGACTGCTAGAGGAGAAATTGATATGATGATTTGGGCCTCATCTGATGTGAACTGGATTGAAATTCACTCAATTTGGCTCCTGTCATTTACTGCTGCATTCAATGTGTCAAAAACCGAGAAACAAAAAACTATAGCGCTTTCCTATGTCGAATTCGTTGCGTGCTTGCGTTTAGATCTTATGCATTTGTTGAAAGTGCAAACTAAGTATATGTGGGTATCCTTGACCTTCTTTGTTGGAAAGCACCTCAACCCACCCCACCCACCCCTGAATGACAAAAGTCCACGCGTTTGTAGTGAAAGCTTGAGCAAGTCGTCCGTCGGACTGCTAAGTTCTAAAAATGGACAGCCTTCAATAAAAACACTTTATTTCTTGTATAATTTTCACAAATACGTAAGCAAAAGAAATAACTGAAATAAATAAAGAATAATGTCGGCTCCCTTTGGCCGATTATTGTAAACGCTTAGATTGTTTGAATTGTTAAATAACAAGAAGTCGTAAAGAAGATGGCAGAGATAATTTCGCTTTTGTAGATTTAAAATCTTTCCGTGATTACAGGAGTTATGGTGAATTCCACGAGGCGTACTTCACTGATTAAACCACGATTTCAAACTGGCTAATTTTGCTTTCGAAATGTGTCAGTTAATTGAAGCCGTTTCGCGTGAAACCTGCCAGACACACCGGAGCTGTGTAACAGATTTCCTCTTCGGTCTGTACTGCAAGTTATGCAACCTAACCTCCCCTCCCCTCCCCTTTTATTTCATGGGCCGGTTGCTTCGCCCTTAGGTCTTAAACCTGACGGAAAAAAAACTTCATCTGTAACTTACCCTAAGGACCTTGAACTCAGTTAGTAACAGGTATTTATGTTTTCTCTAATTGTTCCTTAATAGTAACTTTAATCGTTAATCACTTGCAACATTGACTGAAGCGTTTACGGTGCATTATTTGGCCATGAAAAAATATATTCCTTTGATCCTTTGCTGCTAATAAGTTATTTTTAATGTATTTACCAACAGGTAAGTCAAGAAACAAACCTATTTCTATTTATATCGGAAAGTACTCATCAAATAAATATTAAATTGTCCAAATTACCACGTTGTAGACACGAAGTGCCTACCATGATGATTATAAATTATCATTTAATACTATTTGTAATAATATATGAATAAATTCAATAAATAAACCTTTTTTTGCATTTAATTAACATTAAGCATCGTCTAACTTTATTTTCTTAAGCTTCACATTACTCTTGATCATGACAAAGATTGTTACCATGGAAAAGTTACTACGTAGACCTTATACTCTGACTATAAACCGCCTAAAATGGTAAATATGGAAGTAATAAAAACTATCAGTGTTTCACAGAGCTTCCAACCGTACTCCCCCATGGTTTTCCAACGACGTTCGTTTTTAAAAAGTCACACCTCTCCTTTAAAAGTATCTTACTCTCTGCCCGTATAATACAACAGATCGAACCAATCAGGACGCCCTTAAATTCCTAAAGAAACCAATCAGAGCTCCATGTGAAACAGCGCGGTTTGCAACTGTTAGGAACGGCGGGAAAGGTCATGAACACAGAATTACGTGTCTCGGCTTATTCAGAAATGTGAGCAACAAGAGGTAGAACGAAAAAATGAGGTTCGAGACGAATTAATATATCTAACCAGTAAATAAAAATCGTCAAAGTTACCAGCGTCGTGCCTGTAGTATGATCGCTAAGGTATGAGTAACCCTAAAAAGAATTATTGTCGATTATATTGTTGCTAAAAACTACATTTTTCAGCCTACACCTACTTGGAAAGTCACACCACAAAATAGACCGATACTCCTGGATTCAAACCATTTGCGGTATTACTTTAAACTGTCAGCACCAATTTTTTTTCTGCTGGCCAAGTTCCATGACTGAAATTCTGAAGACGATTTAACTCATACGGAGGATTCTTTCAATCGCTGCACAGCGCATCCAACCCGTCTTCTGGCTGAATAATTGGTAGGATTCAAAATCGGCCGCCTATAAAATCTCCCAGACCGTAATGAAGATCTCTTATGGCTATCTTGAGCTGCGACTGAAATAGGAAATTAATAAATAAATCAGGGACAGTCAACATTTCTCGTCTGGTGCGTGTGTGTGGAGGCGGGGGGAGTCAGAGGATCGGGGGGAATCATATGGTTTTCAGGGAAACGGATGGGGGATCAGTCGTCGCAGGGTATAAAAGGAGGGAACTTAAGAAAATTGACTTCCAATAAGGGGGGGATCATTAGTTGTATTACAAAGCCTTAAAGGGGGATCAGGCAAATTTTTACTACAAAGCCTTAAAGGGGGATCAGGCAAATTTTTGCTACAAAGCCTTAAAGTTGGATCAGGCAAATTTTTGCTACAAAGCCTTAAAGGGGGATCAGGCAAATTTTTGCTACAAAGCCTTAAAGTGGGATCAGGCAAATTTTTGCTACAAAGCCTTAAAGGGGGATCAGGCAAATTTTTACCACAAAACCTAAAAGGGGGATCAGGCAAATTTTGTTGCGACACAACCAAAATCGTCCGACTAAAAGATAATGATTTGTCCCTCGCTGCAATAAAACAACTCATAATTATTTATAATTATATAACTATCCACGTTCTTAAAGCTGCATCATCGTGTTTTCACGTTTTATCTAGCACGAGTCGTGTCACAAAGGTATGGAAAGGAGAAAATGTTTGCTAAGCCGCTTCAACGTTGTAAATTGCGGAAATAAGGAAATAAAATCTCTTTGAGATAAATCTGTATCTAGTCTATATTTCTCAACAAATAAAAAAAAGTTTACGTTTGCTTTTCACGCGGTAACCATGTCTGTTTTCAATACATACCCTCGTGGTTTCTTTAAAATTCCTTTAAGCGGCACTTTACTCTTTTTGTTGGCGTCTGTTTCTTCCAAACGACTCTTATGAAGCGCATGCGTAAGTAAGCTGTCCTCTGTAGCCTTTGTCAGGTCCTTTTCAAACTTATCCATAGCACTCAGGTGCTGTGCTTGTAGATAGAGACTCTGCTCCATGGCAAACCGAAGTCTTCTTTCAAACTCTTCCACGCGTTTTTTCTCGTCCACTGGGGAAGTAGAATGCTTGCTTGGGGCTACGTGATCCATTTCCTTAGAACGATCATCATGAGTAACTCCCTTCTTGGCGCCTCTCTCCAAAATATGACTGAATTTGTAAAACAAAACAAACAAACAAATCACATATACTATAAAATCCCTTTTCATAAGACTGGCTGATCTTGGGAGAGGGTCCGAAGGTCAGGATTCAACCCCCCCCCCCCCTTCATCAGACCTTCCCTGCCACCAAAATTCTCGCAACGTCAGGATCGCATGCCATTGTTCGATGTGAACAATTTTAAGTTTAATCGCCTTGAAAAATGTTTTAGGCCGTAGAGTAAATAAAATATCCTGGATTTCTGGATTTAAGTTAGGACCCTCCCCCCCTCGCCCCCCTTTCCAACCTCTCCATGCCAAAAATTCCAGGATCTACCCTTGCGAAGATTGAAATGAAGGTCTGTTATTTTTTCTCCTGTACATCTACACAGGACGCGTTTGACATCGCCAATCTCTGCAATACACGGAATGCTTGTCAGCTGTGTCCCTACATAGTTCTTTTCACAAGCTCACCAGAGCTTAAGTCTGTACTTGAGCCAATTGGCCTATGCACTCTGAGCTTATCCCGGTTTCCATAGCATGAAGCTTCTAAAAGTGTTTCTACCCTCCCCTAGTTCGGATGCCAGTCCATCACAAGTCTACCCCCCCACCCCAGCATTTCATTAGACTTCCCTGACAGTTGGCCATTTCTACTTCAAACCATGAGGTCATCACATGGTCCACTATGCTCACCAAAGAGCTCTTAGTAACTCAAACGCCAGAGCATCCGGCAGCGAAAGAAAGAATGATGAAAAAAGAAAACCTCATGTAATCGACTTTGTTCTTGGCCTTGACCTCAACTTAACTATCAAAATATCTTTCGATATGATTTCAATTAAAAGAAAAAAAGAAAAATATTTCCTTTTTTTAATAAACAGCCGCTTTTCTCATCTCTTTATGAACTTTTATCTTCGTCAAAGAATTTCTTTAAAGAATTGCTCATCATATATAGCCCCGTGATGACCAAAAATGAGCTCAGATTATGATCATAAACGTTACCTTAGTCTAATCTGATCCTCTTCTGCCAGTTTGTTAGACAACAGAGGAGTCTCCTCCTGTGGCTCTCCACTCGCCGTATCTGCGCTTCCCTCGTCACTAGCCTCGCAATCGAACACGACGTCGACAGTATAGTAAATGGACACCAATAGACAGAAGCCGCCGAGCAAAAGCAATACCTACATCGAAGAACAAGATTTTTTGTTGAGATTCACCATTGACCATAACTGACATTTATGAGGAGGAGAAAAAGGTAAAAAAAAGGGAAAACAACAGACTAAAACTCTAAGAACTCGATGAATATAGACGCGACTACTTAAAAGGAAACGAAACATAGCACTGATAATGTGGCATTGATATCATATCTGATTGGATTAGCGCGGCTTAAATCTAACAAACCGTCGTGCGATTTGAACCAAAAAAACTAAAAGTGAAATTCCTATGAATTCACGTTATCTACTGCAAGCTCTCGTCAGATTGTCATCTTACGCATCAAAAGAATAAGAAAAATCATGTTTCAAGTATCACAAGTCTACCTTGAGCGTTCTCTCGGACACAACATCTTGTGGTGCGTACAGCGGGGGCCTGGGCGGACAAGGTGGAGTATCGTTACTGTGAAGGTACTTGCCACTAGAAGCTTCCTCCACCAATCTGAAAAAAAAAAAGAATGCACAAGTTACTCATAAAGGAAATTGTTAAAGAAAATCATCAATTCCTGATAGTGAGTTCCTCTCCCGAAGTTGTGTTCATAGGCTTCACGCGTGTTTAAATTTGAATCAGTTTCTACTTGCGGCAGTCTTAAATTGAGTGTCGAAAAAACCAAAACCAAAGCAATCACAGAGACCAATCAAAACAAAGATTTACTGCGTCATTAGCCAGAAAAATTATCACTGGTAAAAGCTTTATTTGGGCCGAAGATTCTTAGCAGGAGCCAATCTTTGTCTCTTCTATCATTTTAGCACTATTTTTTAAATAATTCGTAAATAAATGGCAGTGTCCAAAACTTTTCATTTCCTATTTACGAAGGTGCCGGATTAGAGATTATTCTTACAAGCTGCGCTTCGATTGCGGAAAAAAAAATGTTTTTACCTCTGTCTTTTCTGTATCTCTTCTGGTGTCATGGAAGAACCGTAGAAAGTCAACTTCCAATCCTTCAGGAAACCTCGGCTGTGATCAAAACCTGGAACAAGGCGAATTGATTACTGATTTACGCAAAGTCGATTGAGGGTTGTGAAACAAAAACTTTTGCATTCATAAAGATCCAACCAAGATTATCCAAGATAACTCACGTAAAATACAAGCTAAGCGACTTGAGCACGAAAAATACAAGTGACCAAGGCCTGATTTGTATTAGATTTGTATCTGATTTCTTGTGGGTGTGGTGCGAGTATTTTGTATGCCCAATCAGAAAGCGTAGTGGAGTACAACCCCCCCTTCCCCCCCCCAAAAAAAAAATTTTCGGATTGTTCTCAGCAGTTGTCAAAATGTATTTACATTAACCTGCGTAGCTGGCGGTTTTGCGCTCTAAAGCGATGAGCGGTGAAGCCGCGACAGGTATGGAACAGAAGATAGCTTAGTCTTTCCACTCGCGGCTTTGCTGCTCATCACCTAACGCACACGAAACAGCCAGCGATGTAGGCCACCAAAACAACGGCATGCACTTAGCACACTACAATCTAGTAGTGGGTAAGGAAATATAACTGAAAAGGAATTTATAAATAAACAGTAAAAGTAAGGCACTGAAAAGAAACGGTTTGACAAATAGGATCAGACAGTTGATGCTACTGCCTTGCCTTCACAATAAAAGGTAACGTGACTAAAAGCACATAAAACATACGATTGGTTCATACCATTATCAATAACGATCAGCTGCCAAGTTCCTTGTGGTTTTTCGCCCCAGCATCGAACAGTGGAAAACGTCCAGTCCACGAAACCATCCGAAGATCTACGTTGGAACAGATATTCAATGTCATAAAAAGTAACTTCGTTACCACGAGTTATGATCGGACACCTTACGGCCATTGCAACAACGATACACCGATGCCGGTATAGTCCTAGATTCCACTTAAAAGAAAAATGGTAAACTGGCATTGCAAGAAGATACTTATTGGCGCTGGTTCATGACGTCCGTAATATTTTCGTTGAAAGCACGCGGGAGGTCTGTCTCATTTCTCGCCCCAGACCCCTCTAGATCACCAGGGAGCAAAGCGGGTCAGTTCGACTCAGGCTTCGCGTGTAGCCCGCGATATGCTTTTACAGCAGGACCATTAATGAGAGCCTGCTGTCGGGCTGATTCTGAACATACCTATCGTGTTGTCTTGCTGTTGCCAGTTTGGATGTCGTTCCTTCAGCGGACACTAAACTGACCATTAAGTTTCCACGATGCCGATGCTTGAGATTCACCTGGAAGCAAAAGTAGAGTAAGACAATTCTTGCCAGCTTAGAGACATAATTAAGAGACCTCTCTTTTCTCATATTTTCCCTATATCATTTGATGCTGAAAAGGAACTGTATGAGATCTGATGGTTTCTTTCAAGATATCTTCTGACACAGAATTAAAAAATTGTTCTTTCAAGGAAACTGGTCGGTGAGAGGAATCAAAGTGACGCTATAGTGAACTCGTGGATATACTGTGCAGAATATAACTACAGTGTACAGTGATTGTACTAAATGCATATGATCCTGGAATTCCAAGAAACAGAATTGAGCCGTCATCCCCACTAAAGTCCTCCCCAGCTTAGCCTGCAGAACCGATGTAATTTTTTGCATTTCACAGGCGAACGGAGACAAGCGCTAGGCGAGCGCGAATCAAGATTCACGCGCATGAGGAGGAGCGCGAAAATCATTTCTTTTTTTTGCGTTCTTCCCCTCACACGTGACTCACACTTCGCGCTCGCCTTGCGCTTACCTCCATTCGACTGAAAAACGTCAACAAATTACGTCGGTTGTAAAGGCTATCCCCAGCTGATCCGCCATATTTAACAATCAGTCTGCCATCTTTAATAAGAAGCACGCTCTTGCCAGATTCCTAATGCAGGGCTAACGACACGAAATTTGCAGATCGAATCCCAACACTACTCATTCCCATGCTTCGCACATCATCGAGTAAAAAAAGGGAAAATGAGCGAATTTTACTTACTGTGACAGTGACGTGTTCTAAAGTAACCACCTCTCCGACGTTGTCTTTAGACACTGGTAAAGAAAAGAAATAGAAGTGTTAGTTTTAGTTTACGCTAACATCACAGGAAGCATAGCGAGAACCACTTGGATTGAGTTGTTTCTAGCGGCAGAGTTTCAACAATGTTTTACAAAAGAAACAATTTAACTGGTGTACATACCGTAGTACTTTTCTATCAGTTGATTGGTTGATGTCGGGATCTGTTTTCCAACATGAATAATGGGTGTTGACCAAGATGTCATCCAGGGCACTGCCTTCCATACCTGAAAAAAAAAATATTGCTTTGTTGAAAACAAAGCTCTGATAAACTTACTTTCAGTAAAACACGACCAGATGTATCACTTTATATATTTTACCGCGCTTGATTAGCTAACGTTGAAGAGCGCCGGACTTCCGTGCAGGAGGTCGAGGGTTCAAGTCCCAGACCGGACCAACACACACGGACTTAAAATAAGCGAGGAGAATGTGCTGCCTTTGCTTTTACATCGGCAAACAGTTAGACATTCTCGTCTTCACAGATAGGGACGATAAGTCGTAGACCCCGCCTCCTGTCTCTTCTCGCTACTGGCTAACAGGGGACATTAAAGAACCCACACACTTCTTACAAAGAGCACGGAACATAGCCCCCGGTGTTGTGGTCTGACCTTGTCATTGTTTATACAGGCCCCCATTTAAACCAGCTCTGAGCGGAACTGGACCAGCCTGTGTAAATATCGCAAAACACAAATACAGATACAAATTTTTCAGATTTTAATCTTAATGAATCGCCTATCCTTGATGAGAGGGTTTGTCCTGTTGATAGTGAATGATGTACCTCCTGAATACCTTCCCGTGATTAACGAGCTCTACTTCATGGCACAGAAACACATTTCACTACCTAACCCTTCATTCGATAGATCTACACTTTTACAACAAAGATAAATACGTGAATACCTTAGCTGTGTTAACCAGTCGCCAAGAGTCCAGAAGACCGAATCCATACTTGTGGCTATGGTGATACTTGGCTCCATTTGTATAATAATCACTGTCGTCCACATCGTGCTAAACACATGAATATAACCATTATAAAAAAAAAACAATTCGATAAAAGAGCTATAAGAGGCTAGCCTTTAAGTCTGCGACCCGAAACTCAACCACTGTCCGGGGAAAAAGCCCTCCTTTCTTGGCCCGAAGGGATGTCGTTTTGGATGGCGAACCTCGTTGACGGCCATATAAACTTTTACCTTACAGTTGTACAAGACACTCACAACTCAGTAGAACGTTAACGCAACAGAAAACCAAGGGGCTTAGATTCGATAAACTAAGGGGACATTACACCCACTTCTCGCAAAGAGAAGTGTGAAGAAGATATAACATTCCCCCGCCGTTCCATTAAAAAGATTCTATTGAAAAATAGCGAGACTTGAATTCCTTATAAAGATTTTACGCGCTTCTCTTTCTAGAATTACTGGTGAGGATCAACTCGTCACAAAGGGGTTCGTTATACCGTCCACAAAATGGCAGTTTTCGGTGAGATAAATAATCAACCAAACATTAAAATTCCTTTATACCTTGACAGCAGTAATGGCAATAATATGTTGGACATCTCTCCATGACAAACATGGTCTACAAAAAGAACAATCCTGGTCAATGATTCGATTATTTCAAACAGCAGAATTCCGATCAAAACCTCACCTAATTCTACACAAAAATCTCAATCGCGTGATAAACGTCCCAGTAAATAGCCCATCTACAAGTGAACTTAGCGCCCTCCGAAAATATTTATTCTCTTTCTTTTGAATTCACCTTACAATCCTCCTCGTCCCCACCCCCCCCCCCCTCCCCTGCAATATAAGCCTCTCAAAGCCCCTATTGAGAAAGTATAGGTTCAGGGCTTCTATTGAAGGTTTTTTAAGCAGTGTCATGGGGTATTTGCTGTTTGTTGTTCTTACCTTGCTTGTAACATGAGGGCGATCATTCCAGCCGCTAAGGGCGCCGCAGCCGAGGTTCCCGTATGTTTGTCTGTGCAACCCGTGCCAGTCCCTAAGCGCCAATCAGTTGTCACCTAGCAAGGTAGCATCAAATATATAGTCACCAAAGGGAGTAACTACTGCGCGACACTACCCGCGGAAATCCCGAAGACACGGGCAGAACAACAAGTATAAACCGTTTTTTTTTTTCATTGAAAAGAACTTCAACAAATCGCATTTCGCAAAAGCGGCCATAAGATGAAGCTCAAATACCTTACAGTAGGTAGAAATGTACCTCCGGCCTGGGTAGCAATCTGCATTGTTTTTTTTGTTTTTTTTGGAAGGGGGGAAGGGAGGGATACCAGAGTTTGCAATCACGTTCTGAAGGAAAGAACAGTTTATAGGCTTTGCATACACGCCATACACGTGGCTTGCACAGCAGCCTGTTGAGTCATACGGGAATCTTGCGAAAAGTATCCTTATCCCTTTGCCCCAGCACAACAGCATAATAGCACCACTTTGTTGTAGACAGGGTTTGCATACGTATCTAAACACTTACTATGTTCCTCTGCATGCCTTGTCCACTGCTGTAAGTGACTGCCAACATGGCAGCACAGTGTTCTGCATAATATGGCATATCTCCTAACTCGTCCACAGCACCTACAATTAAATCATTGACAAAATTTTTAATAATGAGACAACTGCGCAATTGGTCATGATTTGCTGTGCCACATTGACGACGCTTAGTTAAGGTAATCTTTTCCTCTTTGTTCCACGCTCTTCGCAAGACAAAAAAACCTTTCTTAATGAAGGCTATTCTTTGAGACTATGAGCGGTCCCAATTAACCAGCTTCGCGATAAGCTTTCCCAATTTACCAGCTTTGCAGGTGAAAGCGAGTCAATGTTTTCAAAAGCCTCCGTTTCCACTTGTACATACAAGAGACGGAGCCTATTAAAAACGAAGCGTTTTCAAAATGGTCAACTTTTGAAACCGTTCTCGAAAGGCTCCGCGTTTCTGGGCGCTTTAGTGTGAAAGATAGTCAGACAAAGATACATAAAAATTATGTGGATAGAGCTTCATCTGTGCACAAACCTATTGTAACAGTGTAAATGGAGTTGGCATATCCATCAAAGTTACAGTTGTCTTTGAAATGTCCTCCGTTGCCAGATGCCACAACAAAAATACTGCCGTAACCTTTCCTACCAGCTAAAACACCATGAGCGAGAGCAGCCTATGAGGAAAACAAAAACAAAACGTAATTACTCAATATGGTATGTGTTATCATAATGATAATTATAGAGCAATAGGAATAAGGGATATGTAAAGCATGAGATATGTAAAGCATGAGATGGAAAAGGACTTGACTTAATAGGGAAAGATATTTTTTTCCGTAGAGCACGGGAGTACAAATTTCATATATTTTTATTATTTCTCAATTATACTTAAGCACATTAGTTTACGTACCTGTGCCAATTGATGAGGTCCATCGACAGTTTTTCCATTATCATCAGGCCCCCAACTGCGAATAAATGAATTTCAGTAACTTGATAGGTGCTTAAAGAAACGATATAAACTGGACATAAAGAGGAACATTTCCAGCCAGCACTTTGCCTGTCTAACACTTGGAGACTGTAAGTGTATTTTTCTCTCCTCTTACGAAAAGCTTATAGAGTTTAAAATCTTTGTTTTTAGTTATTTTTCCACATACCTGCAGCTATAGATGTCATTAATGTGCATCTTACTGTTGAATGCCATGGCCTCAAGGCTGTCCGTCATTGGACCGTCAAGAATTCGTACACCTACCATTGGTCAAGAAATTCATCAGATTTGTCAGAAAGAACTAAATTTGGTGATGAAGTGAATTTGTGGAGAGCTCAATTTACTCTCAGATTACCACCCTCTTACCAGCTGTCTTTTTCAAAACTGATTATTAAACATGGAAAGGAAAGAACAAAAACTTATCTTGTAAGACTTATTTGGCAATAAAGCCATCAAATTGTACTATTTAGACAAAACGGAAAAAGCCTATGCTTTTTCAAAGTTTCAAAAAATTGAAAAACTCATTAAAAATGTGATTTCTCTCTGAATCATTTGCTAAAAAAAAGGACCATAATGATCATGCAATTAGCAGAGGTTAGTCAAGTTTCAAAATTAACCATTAAAAAATGAAAAAAAGGACCATAAAAATTTTTAATAACCAGTAAAAATGAGCCAAAAAAATTTTAAATGGGAGAAAAAGACAGACAAGAAGCCCTCCAGAAAACAAAAAGAATTCAAGCAGAGGCTGATTGATTGTCCGTGGTACAGGGTATTCTGATTTCATTGTAATTGACTCTAAATTTTTCAACTAGATCATTAAGTGATCTTCTAGTTATTACCTGATACTTTTGCCCCATAAGCAACACCTACAGCACAGTATGTGTTCGGCACAGCAGCAATCTCACCAGCACACCTGCCACAAAAGTTAGGAATTTTGAATTTTATATTTGATGGGTGGATAGATAAATTCTAGCATGAAAGCTCCTAGCCTTGACTTAAGCTGCAAAAGACAAGATGCAAGATGATTCCAAACCTTTATTTTATCTCTAAATTATCAACCAATATCATATCAATACATTTTAAATTATTACACATTTACACATAGTTATTTATGGAAAAACTCTCACCCATCTAAAAGCCTCGCTAACCCTCTTTAACTATAAGGGTAACTAGCTGTAATACATGGTTCATTCTCATGAAAACTGTCTTGAACAAAATCAAGGTACAGTGAACTCAATGGGTGCTATTAACCCTTTCCACCCTAACATCAGTAAACATAATTCTCCACAAAAGCCTCACTAACCCTCTTTAATTATAAGGGTAACTGTCTGTAATACGTGATTCATTCTCATGAAAACTGTCTTGAACAACATCAAGGTACATTGAACTCAGTGGGTGCTATTAACCCTTTCCACCCTAACATCAGTAAACACAATTCTCCACAAAAGCTTGAACAACTAACATTGAACTCAGTTTAACCCTTTTAACATCAGTAAACATATCCACAAAAGGGTAACCCTCTCTAAGGGTAACTGGCTGTAATACGTGGTTCATTCTCATGAAAACTGTCTTGAACAACATCAAGGTACATTGAACTCAGTGGGTGCTATTAACCCTTTCCACCCTAACATCAGTATGCATATTCTCCATACTGTTCCCTATACATTCCCTATGGGGCTGATGAGGAGAATTTGTTTCATAATCCAGAACTTCTCTTGTTGGTGACCATTTCCTTTATTCTCATTAACTTATGTGTGATTTGGAGCTGATATTGTAAGGAGAAATTAGATGCTAGTCACTCTAAGCATTTAAAGGGTTAAAGTGACTTAAGAGATCATGGGCCCAATCTACTCTAGGTCTGGACCAAACAACTGCAGTGTTCTCATCATTGTTTTGACTCAATAATCACCTACGGCTGTACACTGCATACCTGCTTGTCAAAACATTATTCTGTGACTATCAATTAATTAATTATAATTATTAAATAATGATTATTAACAAGAACTGAGATTGCTCTGTTTGATACTCAAGACTTTAAATTACTAAAGTAGGCTGCACTATCGTAACTGCTTTATTTATCTGTACTTCTAGCCAAAAGAAGTTTAATTTCCTATATTTAATTTGTTAATTTTTATTTTATGCATGTGTCAACTTATTAATGACGAGAATCATGGCAATATTTATTCTAGTCTACCTGGTTCCATGATGATTTAAGCCAGCCTCATCTGCTCTTGGCATTGGATCATCATCATTGGAGTTGATATCCCAGCTGCCTTCTGAACTCTGTATCAAGGTGTACAAGATAACTTTAACCACTTTTTAATTTAATTCTTATTCATAATTAAATTCTCTCAAAACTCATTTAGAAATAATTTGATTTATGACACATTTGGTGGAAACAAACTTCAATTAGCCTTAATTTTTGTTTTTATGGATGATAGATCATGATTAAATGCTGGTGCAATCAAAACTATTTATCAACAACTTCTTAAAAATTAAATTTAAATTTGCATTCTATGCATTTTCCCAATAAGAGTGAATATATGCATAATACAAGAGAAAACATTATTTTACAGTAAAAAGAGTATAGGCTACAGAAGCTTCTGAAGCTTAGAAATTTTTAGTTTACTCACAAATTGCAATTTATACATTATGAACTATGGTTATTTTAAAGGCATTAAGTTTAATATTCAGGTCACTGAACACCAAGGTATTTTTTAAGAGATTGGTTGAAAGCAATATTATTTGGTAAAATACGTATATTGATGTTAAGAAGAAGGACATTCCAGATCTTAATAACCTTGTAAATAAGAATTAAAGAGTTGTGTGTTATTAAAAGACTGATTCCGATGAGTGTGGAATATCTAGTTATTTCAACAACAGAGAATTCACACAGTCATAAAGGAATTGAGAGGGTATATAAGCATCTTCAATACTCACATAATTGTCAAGAATATCAGGATTGGTCCATTCCACACCTTAAAAACAAGTGGATAACACCAAATGAATAGTAACAGTAAACTGTATGTAATGTAAAGTTGAATATTTTCAATTTTATAAATCACCACTAATATTCCTCCAAAGTATTTCCAATCATGATTACTCACCATCATCAATAACAGATACAACTATTCCACGTCCTGTGATGTTATTCTCCCAGACACCAGTAACATTGATATCATGTCCTATGAATCGTAAATTGTCCTGCCATAAAAAAGTCAGATATGTTAAAATTAAAGTTTATATATTACTACTATGTCAAACTGTGCAAGGTAGATAAAGGAAATAATGGATCTCAGAAAATTTTCATTTTATCTAAAAAATTCTGAATTTGGAGTATTTAAGTAATTTCTACTGTTTCTTTATACTCAAGCTCATATTGACTGTGTAAATTGGTATTATTTTCTGAAAGTACGTAACAATATGCAACTCTCATTACTCTTAGATTCAGCAAACTTTCATACATGTATTGTTACTTTGGAGGAGCCTAATTTTGGTGAGTAATTTTGACCAAGCAGAGTGGCCATGGTAAATATAGCATGTATTGCATTTTATCGATTTGGGTCTGTAGTGACAGTTATTGGTATAGAGAAATATCGTAAAGGCGTTTCTATACTTAGCTGCTCATTATCCAAGACACCCTTTCAATAAATAACAAAGTTCAATATTGAGATAAGTCCTTGACCTTTAATTTGAAAGTAGCTAAATCTAATGAACACTCGACGGACAAAAGAAAAATTTCTACTTTCAGAGAAAACCTGCATCAAGTTAACCCTATCATAAGGCATTAAGATAACGACTATCAAAAAGATGTTAGTTTAACCTTTCAAATGTATTGTTTTTAGAAAGCTTCTTGCGATAATCTAAAATCTATTTCAAATAAATTATTAATTAGGCCTAATCGACTCTTACCAAGTGCCATTGGCTTGGAAAATACTGATCCTTAAATTGTAGGCTTCGCTTATAACGCATTCGAACTACTTCTTGTCTTGACCACTCGATACTTGGATGTTTGGCTAAAAGTTCCGTAATGCTATTCTGCATTTTTCCAAGAACGTGTTCTTTGATTCCGCTTTGATTGAAGAAAGTATTATTATGTATGTACAGGTAATGTCCTTTGAGACCTCCAATTTGCCCGCGATTTACGAGGCCTGCCTCGTCCGCGATGCGGTCTGCTAGCGCATGGAGATCAGATAAATTAGAAAAATGAACCAGTGGTATTCGAATGGCCCACGATGAAGAATAATCCATTGAGTTTGTCGTTCTGTTGTGTACGATTCCATTATTGCTATAACATCCACAAATCAATAGAACAAAAACACGCCAATAAAAAGCCATAAATAGCCGCCATCCTAGCAGCTTAATGGGCATAACAAGTAACTAAGAGGCTACATGAAACATTCGCCAGCATTTCAACCAAGACCACGAAGACAGGAAAGGAGAAATCTAGAGAAATTGTGGCGATTCCCCTTTCCTTTTTCCGCCATTAATGTGTCTGCAGGTAACCAAGCCTGCCTTTGTCTGAAGATAACCGGAAGTCATTTGAAACATTTCAAAACATCTGCCCCCGCACAGACTCTTGGGAGAGAGACTGCAGTTCCAGTCTCACTCGTGTCAAGCCAATATGGCGGATGCTTAAGTAAAGAAGAAATGAGACAACTTTTTCGCCGATTTTCATCATATATTGCCATGAGTGCCTATGAAGTCAAACACAATGTGAAGGGTCAGGAATTTTACATTGCTTTAGAGAAAGGTTTGTGAATCCCTAGGAAGTGTATACCATACTCTCTTGGTATTTGTGCCTTTTGCCTAAACATGCAGGCCGTCCTACTAAAGCTTAATTTCCTTATATCTGTCGAAAATATATATGAATAAATAAATAAATAAATAAATGAAGAAAGAGAGAGATACATATGATCACAAGTTTATCTAACCCATGATGTGTTGCCTAAAACATTCATCATTAGCCAAAATTTCAACCCCTAAGCTGTAGGCCCATCCCAGGCTGATTTGTTCTTGTATACATACATATGTATACAGAACCTCACCCCCGCCCCAGCCTTTATCGCACCCCATGATTACGGACTTGGTTGCGCCAAAAATCTGAAGTGTAGGTTTTGAAATGTTTGTAATTTTTGTCAGGAATACTTGGCGTATTGAACCATTTCTTTGGCATATGCATAAGATGCACCCGCGCGCATGGAGCAGAAAAATTGTGGAAAATTCCCAACTCCTTATTGAATTAAAGAACAATCCACACAGTTTTGTCGGAAAGGCCCTTGAAAGACTATTGGTGAAAATTGATTTTTACCCTTTACTATTAATGGCACAGGTGTTCAAAACTGTCTTCAGTCTTAACAAAAATAGCGAGACATCGTCAAGGAAAATGTCGCCACATATCGTAAATGCCCCTGGGAGCAAAGGTTTTTGGTAAAGAACTGACATATTTCACATAAAATTGTTATAAATATCTGTCAATCCCCTAGGTTTCCTTGAGGTTAGACCTAGGAGGAGCCCTGTGATGGAAAAATGCAAAATTTTTTTAAACCTATTTTTATTAACAATTCATGTTCAAGAACCCCTCTTCCACCACCCCTCTTTAAATGCTTTATTATCTTTTACATGCACTTAGGTAAGGCTGTGCTACAGTATGAAAATGAAGGAAATAATACCATGAATATGTACCACACAATGGTACCATCTGAGTACAGAGGAAAAGGCATTGCTGGGCACCTTGCCAAGGTCAGTGGTTGCTAATTAATAAGCGGAAATTTATTTTTAAGTTACCAGTTCAAATAAGACTTCTAGAATCTGGTACAGGTTCGATTTGAACCTCAGGACTGGCAAGGGTTGAAGTCTGCTCACAAGTAAAGTGGTTCCCCCTCTCCTCTCACTAGCACTTAATCTGGTTTCCATGGCATGAAGGGGTACAGCAAGAGTTAACCCTTTAACTCCCATGAGTGACCAAGACAGAATTTCTCCTTACTATATCTATACAATATCATGCAGGCAAGTGATGAGATTAAAAGGAAAATATCAATTATGAGATTACTAATTGATTCAATACCAAATTCTCCAAACTAACATGATGAGAATCGCTTGGTAGACAGTAAGGAGAATTACCAATGAGATCTTGGGAGTTAAAGGGTTAAGGGTCTTGCCTGTGAACCCATTTTGATATGAGTCCTGGTCATGGCTGTAGTCTAGTACAGTGGTTGCTAATACCCCCTGCATCTTTCATTAATGAACAGACTTGATGTTTTGCCTTTGCATTCTTCTTTTGAATTTGCATTTGACTGGTCTTGAAGAGTAAGGTAGCCCATGTTTAAGCATTTACATTTAAAAGTCAAACAGCTTCTTCTAGCCATATACCGGTAATTATTGATTCCACTCAGCTGAGTTCCTGGTCTCATTCCCAGCTCTTCTTAAAAGTGTCCCACAGCATTATGTGACATCCTAAAGAATAGCTACAAAGGAGACCACTTAGGCCAACAAATTGCATATTTTTAAACCTTCAATTTCAGTTTGAAGGCATGTCGCAGTGATTATATTTTACATGCAACTTTGAAATAGGATTTACTTTTATTTCTTTTTATATTTTCCATTAGGCAGCATTTGATTATGTAGTGGGTGAAGATTTCAAGATGAGGCTAACATGCACATATTTGCAGAAATATGTAAAAGACAACCCATTACCTGAGTATACATCGCGTGTTGTTTGATAGATTCAACATTTCACTCAGAGGGAATAACAATGAAGTAACATGTATGCTATAATGGTAATTGATCCATCTAAGACTGCAAATTGTAATTTCTATCAGAACATGGCTGTTGAACTCGCTAAGACATAGTAAAAGCTACTGGCCATTTTAACAATTTTAAAAAAAATTTTATCAAGAATTTCTACAATTTAATGAACCAAACATGCATTCATGCAACTGTCCTATTTATTTCAAAATTCAGCTCAAAGTGTCCTAGCTGTCAGATACAATGTTTTTTATCTTAAAGCCATAGACACTCTTGTAGCGAATCAATTGTCAATAAAACTGATTTAAATATCATGTTCATGTTGTGTGTTGATGGTATACAATATGAATACTCTTGCAAATTCCCATCTCTTTTTCTTAAATTATACAGTGTTGTTACAAGTAATATGGTTTTACTAATAGAGAATTCATAATTACTATCATTATTATTATTCTCAAAATAAGAACTCTTTTGGTACAATATATTTTTGACTCAAACTGATAAGCTTTAACATTCAGTACACATAGAGACCATAATTCAAATGGAAACAACTGAATGTAAATCTCAAAGTACTGCATAAGAAAACAGGGCTATGAAAGAAAACCAATAAGTAGACATGTGCCATTCTTCATTAAGCATGTGGAAATCTGGCTATGCCATTTCCATAAATTGTTATACCTATGTCTAAAAGGACAACTGAGATATTAAGTGGCTCTCAATGATCAAGAAGTGATTTAGATGAAAGTATGAAAATTATATGGTGACATTTTCAGTTGGAACTGAAAGGAACTTTTTGTGTGGTAACACAGCCTGATATCCAATCACTTGAGAGGAAGAGGAGGAGGTATTCTTTATCTTCCCTAGTGTTTGGATGGGGCCACTAAGCACCTAAAAAAATTCCTCTATTTTTTTTAAGTAACCCCTTCTCACACACATGCCCAATAGCATAAAACCTTGAGTTGCTGTACTTCCTAATTCTTCAACAATATATCAGTATCAATGACAGTATCTGCCATTAATATTGTATCTACGAGACATCCTTTACTTTGACATATGTTCATAAAACATGTTACCAACCTTTATATCAACAAAGTAAATTGAAATGACATATCCTTTAAACAGCTTCTTTACTCTTGCTGTTGTCTTCTTTTTTTCAGTTTTTGATACTTAATACTGTACAATAAGTCTGATTATGTAATTACAAGCTGTCAGAACTGCCTCAGTAGTAACCCATCCTTGATGTAATTCTTATTAAAACAAATTCCTGCCTATATATTTGTACTAATTATTTTCTTAAATGTTATGAGAGGTACTTAAATGTAGAATAAATCTGAGAAAGAATCCAATGAAATGTGATATGAATTTCTGGCAAGAAATCCTAAACACATGCTTTTTAAATTTTTTTTCCTCTAGATTTAGATGTTTCACTACAAATAACTACAAACCTCTTCAATTTAAACAAATAATACACTTGATACCTTAGTTATAGTGGGGGTACACTTTAATCAGCCAAAAATAAAAACTAGACTGCAGAGACATTATCAGTAATGGCTGGTTAACATTGCTCTGGTGCCTCTGATAGAATCTTGCTCTAACTACCATCTCTTGGGATTATATATCATGCATGACCCCTTTTGAGTTGACAACTACCTTGGAAAAAATTACACTTGAATTTGCAGGGGTGGAGGGGAGGGGGGTTTAGCAATTAATGCAGTAAAGGAGATAACCCTTAGATTGCCATTAAATAATCCCAACCAGTTGTCATGGTCAAAGTGGAATGTGAATTGGAAAGCTCCAGATTGTTTATAATAAATCTGAAGAGGTGACTTATCAGCCATGTTGCCTCCATGCAAGAGAAAAAGAGGAAAAACTAACTAACTAAGACCAAGAAAAAAAAAAACAGGACAAGCTGAGTGTGAGCAGAGAAGGCACGATGACTGCATCACTGCCAAAGTAGATGGACTCGCAGATTATTTGGTGCAACCACAGTTGGCCATTTTTTTTTTGTGTTGTGGGTAATCACATGATTGCAGTCTTATCCCAGCATCTATTTTATCCCAACCATCCTCATCACCATTTATTACCTACAGTTTTCAGAGAAACAAAGTTGTTGTTCATTGTAACATTATAGACACAGAGCTTACTTTAACACTTTATGAAAAATGGCAGTAAGAACTCAAGAAAATGCTTTTGGTGAATTTTTAATCTTACCATATCTGGGTCATTTGCATACTTGACGTTTTTAGCAAGTTCCTGGAAAACCTATCAAAAGAAAAGAGTGATACATAACAAGTAAACATTAAATATTAAATACAAAACTAGACACAGAGTATATGTACCTGGTACATTGTCATCACCTACATGCTTGGACAATTGTAAAATTATCAGAAAAAATGATTAATTTAAGATAGATCTGTCATTGATTACTGTATAGTATTGACTGAAAATGTGCAGACAGGGCAAACTTGACAAGAAGACTACTCACAACTCTCCAGTAGAAAAAAAAAAACAAATGTAGCCTTGCTGTGAAATAAAACATAACGGATTGGTGATAAGGAAGAAATAAAATTAACTGCTTTAGTTCACCTCTTGGACATTCTTTTGTGTTTTTGCACTTGTTTCAAAGAACTTCAACCCAAACTGTCTTGCAAACTGTTCACAAAAAAAATTGCAATTTATATCACTTGCTTCGGGAAAGGCTCAATTTACCCCATTATCTTGAGTGTGGTCATTGTTCTAAACATCTCTTTGAGAAGGAAGTACTAACTCATTTCCTAAACAATGGCTGGTTATTGAACTTATCTTCAGGATACCATGGAAATTTTTTATTATCACACATGTAGAAACTTTACCATAAAGGATGTGCAGTTTTTGAATGATTTTGGTGGTACATGAGGTGACCCTGATTATTGCCAAAGCCTTGGGTTCTACATCACTTGTGTCCTGCTTAATTCTCTTGATATTTTGTATACTCTGCACATATATTTCAACACATACACAGCAAGACTAATGTTAGATAAGATGTTGTTTCTGTGGTTGTTTTTCTCCAGAGGACTATGTCCTTTTTCCTTTTGCTGATATTACTGAAGCAGAATGCTATCTTCTACCTTTCATACACCCACTCTGAATACCCATCTGCCAATCTGACTACAAAGACTTGAATATAGAGTATACCTGGGTAAGTTGGAACTTTTATGTAAAGTAGCTGTATAGTATTTTTAAAATTGGCCAATCAAAAAATTAAAAAAAAAAAAAAAAAAAAACAATGTTGTTTGACCTCCTTTCCAGTTTGAGTGTCCACTTCCCAGCTTTTTCTGTCATAATCACACTTGTTCCCCAAAAGTATTACTTCTTCATACATCAGGTTATGCTAAAAACAAACATTTACAATTCATGTAAAATGCAACTTATAGCAATTTGGAAACACATCATTTCTGCCTGTTAAGCGTGTTAGATAGTGCGGTTTGGCCCATGTTAGACCATATCCTTTCATTCTTGTACAATTAAAAAATTTACACGTATAGGTATGTAAAAAATGTGCATAATCTAGATAAATTTCTATGAAATGAGTAGAACATTCTCTTCTAATTCTATACATTTCCTTGTAAATTGGTGCTTATCAAGTTATTATATTGTCATTTATATTATGATATAACACTTTCAACCTGATATAATCTTAATTGTTACTCTTCTCCTTACATTCTTTTTAAGATAATCATGAATGCAGTAAGTTATTACTTAATCAGTTCTGAGAATTAATTGGTTTAACTACATCAAAATAATCATGTGCTAGTAATTTTCTGTGCTTTTAAATCAAGGATCAAAAATACAGTTAATTAAAATTTTAAGACCAAATTAACATTCTATACAGCATCAGTCTGATACAATTACAAAATCAAACATACCTCATTCATTGTCTTTATCCAGTACTGAAGTTGATCAAATGAATGAGCATTTGTAATGTCATAAACTAACAATATACCCTGTAAATTTTGAAAAAACAAAACATATGCAATCATACATCAACCAGGTACATGATGTAAAATGTTCACATGTTAACATCACGACTTAATCAGTGACATGTCTTCACTCAAACCATAAGAGCTCAGGACATCACCTACTAAAATTGCCTCACTCTCTGGCAAAAAAGAATTTGGAATTTCATTTTCACCACAACTTATCATTTTATTAAGATCAACACCTTTAGAATCATATTGAATTTGTGCAGTGTTCAAAACAGAAAATACCATTGCATAGAAGCAGTCATGAAACCCTAATTCGCTATTATCTTTGCTGAAAAAATTTATGACCATTTGGTAAATTTCTCATTATAATTGGTAGTTTGGTTTTTTAAGGGTGGCTGTTTTCTTGTCTTTCATGGCTGTTGACACATTTTCACAATGAAAATATGTGAACAGTGGGCAATCAATTTTCTGTCTCTGTCAACTCTTGCACATTCAATCATGCAGGGTACAATATGAAAAAAAAACTGTCTCAAATGTGATTAGAACAAGCAAATTTGGATAAAATGTGATGATGATATACAGACCTCACTATAGTCTATATATACCACCTCACTAGTCACAATTCTCCCTAAGCATTACAAAAGCCTCTGTTACTTTAACAAGTACTCAAATAGAAAGCACTCAACTCACCTTTGTACCCCTAAAGTGCATGGAAGTCAGAGTTCTAAATCTTTCTTGACCCGCTGTATCCCTGATGGACAACAATTAATATTCACACAAAGAAGGAGTAATGAATATTCACTTAATTCTATTTTTTCTTCTCTTTTTCTTTTCTCTTGTATATAAGTAAATCAATCTATTGCCATCACAATGGAAATGTTTGCAAAACCTTAGTGATTAACATTTAATCACCAGCCCAACAACAAATTATACCATCCTTAAATTCAAAACAACAAGTGAGGTTTACAAACCAAATCTGCAAGCGAACACGGACTCCATCCACATTCGTAACCACTGTTACAAAATCAATTCCTATTGAAAAATAATAATAAATTATTTATTGCAGTTATGTATTAATTTGAATTTTTAAATAGCATTACTCTGTTCAACACACTTGTTATAAAACCAAGTCATTATTTCACAATACTTTGAATTCATAAAAACTAAACTTAAGAAGTTAAATCCAACTCACTCAAGCCATCAATACCCCTTACAAATAAAAGCTTATTACAAAGACCTTCTAACAGAGTGAAGAAACTAAGCTATCATCCCATTCTACAGAATAACACACACACCAAACTTGTTATGACATGTATTTATTACAGACTGAAATAGATGAACTCAGAACCAACTCACCAATTGTTGGCAGAAGAGCTGCCCTGAAAGATTCATTTGGTTTAGAATAGCATTTTATCAGTGATGTTTTCCCAACAGCTGACTCCCCAATGATTAAAATTTTGTAAGTAACATCGTAATCTTTTTCCCGTAATGACATAATTCATGTTACATCTACAGCTGCAAAATCTTTCATGTCTTACTAAACAGGTATTCAACACAAACTGAGAATCTCTCTTTGGAGCATGATCTATGAAAAAAAAATACATCCACCTTATCAGCAAAACCGTCTTCCCTTTATAAATACTATCTCACCTTTCCCCTTGTCTAATATTGGAATGATCACTTAAACTTCTCCTTTAAAAATCACTACATTGGTTAAGAAAGTGAAAACAAAACAATAGTTATTGTACAATGTAGCACTGAACACAAATTAATTTTGCTAGACAGTTAAGGAAGACAACTTTCTCAAATTCTTTTTCAAAAAGCAATGAAGAAAAGATGGAATTGTCATCCAAAATTAAATGAAATAAATGATATTTTTACCAATGGATGAAAAACCAGTAGGTAAATGATCCTTTCATGTGACTGCTCTTCAGGAAATTGAAGAAACAAAACCTGAAAAAAATAAGGTTCTGATATTATTCAACCTCATGCCTCCAAGAAAGTACTTGGGGATTACTACCACCTAGCTACATAGCCACATGCTAGGAGCCAAGCAAATCTGAGTTGGTTTTTCTCTTCCACTAAGAATATGATCACAATTCAATGAAATAAATCACAATTAACCTACTAAAATTTGCCTTACTTCCCAATTAATTTCCTGAGGTTTATGAAATAATTATCTCATACATTCTGATATTAACCTCGAGTGGAACAAAGACCAGTGCAGGAAATCGTTAATATCACCTACTAATCTTTCAGTCTTGCACATCACGTGAGTTAAGTCACTCGTCAATCTCGTGATTTACCAATGTATCAATATACCATATGCACAGATCACAAGGTGAGCATAATTCAGATACGTTTAAGCAATATTGCATTACAGTCTAATCAAACATGAGTAACATGCATATTGATTTTGATGATCGATTGGATGCAAAGCGACCAAATGAAGCCAGTCTATGCACAGTGTGACAATCCAATACCAGGAAAATAGAAAACTACAAAAATAATTAACATAGCAGACCGAACGTGTGGAACTTCCGGATTTTCCAAGAGAAACTATCGAATATCTCCCAGTATCATTCGATTCTAATAAGATTCTGGAAGGTTATGGCTACTTCATGGAATAAATCTATCATCAAATCTTACTTATTAAGCAGAAATAAATGAAAGAGGAGTTAAGATTTGCAAAATGATCAATTAAAGGGATATTTCCCTCTATCGCCCCACCTTGAACAGTAACTGCGAAAGTCCAATATCCCAGAATCCATCGTGAAATGCTAGTTCCAGTGTCTCGCTAGTAATCACGATCAAAACCAACGAAAGACTTGTCAGAAACGCGTGTACAACTGCTGAAGATGCCCGCAAAAGCTACAGTGAAACACAAAATTGCATTGGTTGGAGATAGTGGGGTTGGAAAGTCCAAGATTTTGTCATCCTATCTAGGAGAACGCTTCAATCCCCTCTATGTACAAACTCGAGGTGAGATGATTGAGTTTTCGTCGCAATAGTGTTCTTGTCTGCCCAGATTACAATATTCATGAAAACGCCAGTTTTGTCAGTGATGGTTGTAAAAATGCTGAAAATTCCTTTTTACTCCCGCAGAAAGAGAAACAAAGAATACTGTTGTAAACTTTGGGAGAAGAGTTGTAGAACTTCAAATATGGTAAGAGTTAAATTCTATTTTCATGAATTTACGGAAGTCGGACTTTTTCAACGTTGCATGTTCACCTTTCTCTCTCCAAAATTGCGGTTCAAAATCAGAACCACTTTTCACCTAGCGTCATGTTTAAGTTATACTAGCGCCACAATGAGCATCTATGATCGTTACAAATTTTTTGAGGCAGCCAGATGTCGCATCTGTTGGAAAAAAGGAACTTAATTTCAAAAGCGTAAAACTGTACAAATTTTACGTATTTTTTCAACGTTTACGTCTACAATTTCAAATTGTCTTGTAAGTTTGAGTGTTTAGATGACGTATCGTGGTAATATTACTTTCTAAGATTTTACATTGGACCTTCATCACGGGAGTTACTACATCACGGGCGACGAGCGGGTGAAGGAGAAAATGGCGAAATACAAGTGGTCAGCGGGGAAACAAATTTAATAACTCTTGTCGTCTTGTAAAGCCAAAATGTTAACAGTATTCTTCGCTAAATAAAATGTTAGGCAATTTTTCAAAAGTGTTGATGGCACATATATCTTTTACTGCTGTATTAAATAATGGAGGCATCGGAAAAAACATTGGTGGCATTCGGAAAAGCACCAAGAGGAATTTATATTTACGTAACTTGCAAAAAAACAATCGTGTTGTAAAGCCAAAATGTTACCAGGTTATACTTCGCTACTTAAAAATTAAGCAATTTTCTAAACGCTTTGACTGGAACAATATTTTTACTGCTATATTAACCAACGGAGGCATTGGGAAAGGCATCAGTGACACCGGGAAAGGCATCAAGAAGAATAATATTTACAATATGTAACTTGTTGTATGACGAAAATGTTTTCCGTTCAAAGTGTTTTTTTCCTATTTAATTTAACAAATGAGCTTGGGATGAAAACTTAACTTTCCAATTGAACAACAAGTGAAATGTTGTGCTGGGTGTCTCTGTCTCCCACCCCCATGTCTCTGCAAAAGGTATATCCAGACACAGCCGTTCAACCGTTCGAAATTTTCCTTTAGCCGTTCAGCCGTTCGACTTCAACCGTTCGAAATTTTCCTTTAGCCGTTCAGCCGTTCGGCCCAAGCTCCAGCTGTGAGATAATCATCTTGAATTTTGCATAACAGTCATGGCAGAATTATAAGAGTTTGTATGGGAATATTTACGACTGCCCTAAGGAATTAAATAATACGTCAAATTCTCAAAAAAAATAACTCACCTTAATTCTATAGCGCAATGCTTGTTATCTGACCGCTTACTCTGATGAAAAGGACGCATTTTAGCAAGTTGTCCATTTCAAGGTTTTCTACGTTCATAAGAAAAGCCCAAGGCTGAACACTCCATTTCTAAGCCGCAGTTTGCTTAAAAATAACGCCTGATCTGAGAACTGAGCCTCACGGGGCGTCAATAAAAGAACCATGGATCCCCTCAGAATGACCGGGCAAACCGGTCAAACAATACAGGCATAGTTACAAACTCTTGATTGATTTCTTTTGAGGGGACCTGTGGTTCTAAAACAATTTATTTCTGAAATAACTGACGGTATGGTCCCCGAAACGCGAAATAACAGTTGTCCTGTTGGCAAAATTAAGGGTATGTCAGATAGAACTAAATTGAATAAAACCCAAGATTTCAGAATGACTGGGGCGATTGGGTCAAACAATAGCCTCTTGATTGATTTCTTTTGAGGGGACCTGTGGTTCTAAAACAATTTATTTACGATAACTGACGGTATGGTCCCCGACGAGGCTCAGTTTGAAAAGGAGGTAGGGTTACCGAGCTGGTTTTCAACGGGTGTGTGGCTATTACACCAAATTTTTTAAAAAATCTTTAAAACTAAATTGGTGAGCAGCACTTTGCAATCAGTAGTTGTAAAATTTCTTTATTCTCCGACGCATTTTGTCTAACTGTTGTAGACTTCTTCAGTGAGTTTTACAATTTAACACTAACCAGCTGTATTTATAAGCCATAATTAGCGGCTATACAGGGGCCAATGACCATAAAGGCTCGGCTGGACCTACAAATAGGAACAGGTGAAGTTGTGAAAAATTTGAAAATTTTTAGGGGCAAGGTGGGAGAATTCATTTGGGGACCACAGTTTTGGTTTTTTTCTTTTTTCATCATGCACATCATGCAGTGTCTAAAACATAGCAGTTTGCATGGACTAAGTAGGGTAAAGAGCGCCAACAAAACAAATTGCAAGAGTAAAAAATTTAGCAGACCAGCAAGTAGAAGAGAATCAATTCTTTGTCAATTCAATCTGGTTCGATAGTCATAAAAAATTGCTGGCTGATTCTTTAATTGAAAGGGAAAGTCAATCACTAATAACGCATGCATCTAACAGCTCACTGGTCACAATACAACTCCTACTTACCTCGAAATCTGGCCCGTCATCTTGCCTTGTTACTGCAATCCATTCAATCTCAATAAATGGTGCAAAAGAAAGTTGAAGAAAGACAAATTCTCATCACTTTTATTTCCTTTGTCGTTACTACAGAAATTAACACAGCAATGATCATGGGCCATGCTTGCTTGTAATCTTCACTCAAAACACTGTAATGTAACACAAAACCTATACCTTTTGCCAGTCCAACCTCGATTTGGTGCACTACACAATCCAAGATGGCGCTGTGATAAAGGTATAACTTGAAGATGGGCTATTTGAAAAATAAATGAACACACAACAGAGGGAGGTCTACAATCAACTGAGAGTGCTTATCGGAATATTCAAATAAAGAAAAACTATTAAAAATCTCTTTTATTTTTGAAATGTGGCACAATTATAATTACTCTTACATTTATTATGAATTTCACCGGTGGAGAGCTTGTTTCTCCTTGGTCTTTTGGGGATGATATTGTCTGATTTATTTTATCATTTGTCTTGGTGTTTTGATGATGATACTGTCTGATTTATTTTATCATTTGTGCACTGAACTGTGGTAAATACAGACGCATGGTTCAATGTTTTGTACACTCATTGACAGCAATATTCGTCTACACAGTGGTCAAAATGCTGTGGACTCACAAATCATAGCCAAGTGAGTTCGCAAAAAATTTCCAATCACTGTGACAGAGTGCAACATTACTGCTAATTGTGGTATAAAAAAAAAAGGTTTTGATGTTGTTCTTTGCTTTGCTCATTAGGGACACACCTGGTAACGATCTCTTCAGGACAATGACAGCTGCATATGTACAAGAAGATGTTCAGGTAAAGGAGATTAAAAAAAAAAACCAGTTGACATCAATAATGTACTGTTGAGGACTGGTGTTTAAACAGATACCTCTGGAACAAAAAAGGTGTCTATGGCCTAGGCTGTAGATGGCATTTACCATTTTAGTCAATTTTTGCAAGAGCAGAAAAGTACCTTGTTTTTGGCTGGTTTGAACCCAAGGGTGACATACACAGTTGCTTGCAAAATGTGATCATCCAGTGCCAATGTCTGACTGAAATTTAACCACTTGAACACAATCTGATTTATCAAAAGCTACTAGGTAACAACCACTTTCATCTACCAACTTTGATGATCTCACATGTCACTGAGAGGTTATCAAAAAGTTGTTTATTGTCACCAACTGCTTTATTTGTGAACTGCCCTGAAGTGGATGATGGTAGCATGAGATCAGTGTTCAGTGTAGTAAAAGAAAATGATCATTTACTTTAATTTTCTTGAATTCAGAACAAATAAACATATTTCTTTTGAGGTAATGAAGATAAAAAAGCTCGTCTTTGAGTTTTGTTGGTTTGTTTGTATGCTGCTGTTATTGTTTGCAACATTTTCTAGAAGCTTAAATATTCAATTGAGTAATTGGTTTGTTTGTCCATTTACAGGGTGTGGTTGTAGTGTTTGATGTTACAAATTATGATAGCTTCTTGAATGTTCACCACTGGGTCAAAACAGTAGAACAGGTAAGGATCAGCTGACATACTGGGAGAATTTAAATGTGGCAAGGGGCTTAACAATCTCCAAGCTAAGCTTATACTCCCTACTAAGTGTCAAATGATGTCCTCTGTACAGTTTGTAAGCAAGCTCCTTGCAATATTAGCAATTTACAGTGTGTTTGTAATCAATTTGTGAGGATGTAGTGGTAAGTAGATATTGAAAATAAGTCTTAAAACATATCATTTTGGTGAGCATGTTCTTAAAAAATTGATTTGTGAGAAATCGCAACACTGCATGTATGTTGCTTTGTTAGTTTTGCTCATCGTGCTTTCCCAACAAAAATGTGGCAGGGTTCCACCCCCTGATGGTGGGTATTTTACAACTCATCCCTGATTGGTGGCCAGTTTGAGTGAGACTGGGAGGAAATGAAAAGCACCATGATCATAACTACTTCAGATCAAATTCATCTTTATTGGATTTTTTCAGTTCAAATAAGTGTCAAGGTTAAAACTGAATGTTTATTGAAAATCTCATTATTATTGTTGTGGTTTTTGTTATTATGATCATTATATACAATATATGTTCAATACTGTTCATTACTGTAACACTGTTCATTATTGTAGTATGCAAGACAAGATAATGTTAATTTTGTGTTTGTTGGAAATAAAACTGACATGGAGGAAAAAAGGAAAGTTTCAAAAGAACATGGAGAGGAGGTAGGAAAAACTTGAGTGCAGCATTCTCCCTTATTTTAAGCATGACAGATAAAATAAATTTTCAAACCGGTAAAACAATCCTTTTACCTATTGAATTTTCAAGAATTCCAAGCAATTTTAAACAGTAATAAGAGGTACTACAGGCAGTAAATGTTACTGGTTACTGCCTGAAAAGGAGAACACTGTGAGTATGATGCAAATTAATGCTGATCATGCCAGATTAACAACTTTTGGATTAGATAATTTGGGATTCAGAAATGGGACAATTCCAAAGTCCAAAAGAGTAAAAACACTAGTTTGATCCAAACATGAAATTGTCAACAATTTGTTTATTATTTTATGGTTAAAGGGGAAAGGCTCCGACCAAAGGTCCCTTTTAATGTATGCATGGATATATTTTTAGACAACACATGCAACTTGAATTGTGTCAGTAGAAGTTTCATAGGAAGAAAGAGCTCGCTTCTCTATAATAGGATAATTTGGTTTTATCACCTGAGTTGATGAAGTAACATAACTAATTGACAAATGTTAACAGTTTGAAAACTGACGTTTCAAGCTACTGACAAAAGGCTATTGCCCAAAACGTTAACCTTTAAACTCTTTACGGTGGCCAATTTATGTTTTAAGCTCAGTTGATAAAATCAAATTATCTTGTCATACTCCCCAACTGACGTGGTACCATAGTTTTTTTTTTGAAACGTACTCCCTTTTTCATACAGTAAATTTCTTTGTTTTTTTTTTTCAGTTGGCAAAACAAAAGAATGGAGCCTACATTGATGCAAGTGCAAAAATGAATATCAACATAGATCTGGTAAGCATTATACTTTGCATTCCTTAATTATTTATTAACCCTTTAACTCCCAGCAGTGATTAACACGTAACTTTTCCCTATTGCATCCATACATTATCCAGCAAACAGGTAATGAGAGTACTCAAACTTATCAGGTACAAGATATTATCTTGATTGAACGTCAAATTCTCATCACTGGTTTACAAGGAGATGTGTAGCAGCTAGAGTAGGGAATTAACAATCAGATCTTGGGGGTAAAAGGGTTAAGTTCCCAAGTGATGATGGGAAGGTACACTTGTTCCGACAGGTGAAACATCGCAAGAATTTCTTCTTATGACTATTAACCGACAATTCAAGGTGATAATGACAATCAGGCCCAAATCTGCTAGTTTATATCTCATTGTCCTTGGAGGGTGTCGCTCTTGCGGTGACGAAAAAAAATCTAATTCATAAGATTCCAAGGGGTGTCGCTCAAAGACGCGGTTAACGAGGTGTTTGGGGGCTATTTTACAGATTGAGATTGAAGAATAACAGACCAAGGTTGACCGTTTATATGAATCTTTAATCTTGCAAGTAATTGACCACGAACCACAATCAACGATCAAAATCACGATCAATCTCGCAATCAATCAATCAATCAATCAGTCGTAGACGGAAACAATAGGACATCAGAGCTCTATCAATCTAATGAAATGTTACGAAATACACAATCAAAAATCGCGTGTAAAAACTGGGCCTTAACGCTGATAACGACATTAAAATGATAATGGACAATACAAGTAAACCAATACAAACTCCGATAAGTACAATAGTTTCGGTACAAAAATTACAAGACATTTGGTGGCAGGTTAACAGCCCATCGTTCTTATCGAAATGGTGGGCGTTCACTTGCATCGCATTCACTTGCATCTGATACAAATTTGGCCTTTAAATCTCGAATCAATTGATAATACGGCAATACAACAAAATATCTGTTTGTATACTTTCGCCCAATGCTGGAAAACTAAACTTAGAAAAACAAAGTGATAAAGGTACACCTGTATTGGTCCTGCTTGTGCCAAAGGTTCAAGAAACGAAAAGACGAAAGTTCACAAATACTACTCAAAAACTTATGAAGAACTGATTACAGAGACACTAAACTCGCTTTTATATTCGCGTGGTGACGCTGAAAGGTCCGATTACAAAACCAGTAGAAATATAGACAAACAGATAAACATTGTAACTCTCTTCGTATCTAGGACCATTCTGAAATTATTAAACTAATCAATAATCAATTAAATAAAAATGAGTCATCTGGCTAGGTGTCCTTAACAAAGGGGACAAACCTTTTGAAAAAAGAAGACAAAAGAGGAGGTAGATGATACCCATTCATCTTGTAAATTTATATTCACCAGAAAATTAGTTTCAGTTGTCAGATTTTTTGGATAATCACAAACTCCTAATTATATAATTAACTTCTCTTTGATATATGGCATTAATCGTGGATTTCTGTTTAAAATACAAGTTTATTTTATTGAAAGTTCTTGTAAACTTTGACTTCCATGACTGTTACTCACTTTTTACCTGTCCAGATATTCCAAAGCATGACAAAGATTATTTTAGGTATAGACGAAGGATCAAATACGGTAAGAATACATTATGTACCCTTCAAAGTTTATAATATGCTGCATGCATAAAGTTTTACAGTTTTCATAATTTGCATGTTTTTAGACTTGCTAGTAAGCAAAGCCATGAACATGGCATGTAAAAAAATTTGCACTCCAGAGCCCAAACTAAGTGCAAAGCACAATTTTAAGATTGAGGATTTCCAACTGAAAGTAAAGGCTTTCTTAAATTCTTCTATAGATGTAAGCTGAATTCTTCTATAGATGTAAGCTGTGAATTTGAAGAGTAGTCTTCATTTTTTATTTATTTTTTTTTTTGGCCTTTGAATTCAGTATTACACAGTGAGACCACTTTCTTCCATCACGACTGCACTGAGATAAACCTGTTTGATTGGACTTCTTCCTTGTGCCCCTCTAAAATTCAGGCATAGTTGAGGATATTTAGTGTTTTCCAACCTAGGGAGCTCATAGACACTGTACCAACAGGGTTGTAGATAAGAGCCGGCAGCCGGCGAAGGACGCCGGCTTCTCCGCAAGGTTTCGCCGGCTACTTTCATTGCTTCGAGAACCGTACAGAGATGATGTTTATCAGGTCTAAACTTGGGCTCAATAAAAATATAAATTTGCACTGCCTATCTTTTCTGAAAACATAAAAAGACTTCTGACTCAAGTTTAGTTTAAAAACGTTCTGATGGGGACTGTCTTTTTGACAAATCTTGCTACGGTGGCAGGAAAGTACGAACGATATGACGTTTTGTCCGCCATATTGGATTTCGAGACCCACAACCGTTTACCTTTAAAAAGCTCCGGCTACCTAAAACCCTAAAGAAAACCCCGACCAAGTGTGTCTCCAGGTACAAGCATTATAATCTTAATGACTGAAATGACACCTGAATAGTGTCCAGAATCCAGAGTTTTAGCTGATTTAGCAGCCTTCAATAGTCCTCCACTGAAGTTAATCGTTATATTGTACTCAAACCTTGCAAGTATCATGCCTCAGGAAATTCTCTTGAACCTGGTGTATTTTCTTGATATAAGAGAATAAGCAATTTTGAATGATGTAAATGAAGATGGTAAATTTTAAGCCTGGTTGGTTTGGTGAAAGATGATGTTATTCAGTGAGTGACTTATGTATATTCGGAAAAAAAACTTAGAGTGCTTCCACTAGGTCTTGACCCAACGACTTTCCAATTGGTACTTCAGATGCACTTCCACTGAGGTAGAGGTCCATGGTTACGTGTCTACAAACAATTAAATTATTGGGACAAATATGCTTTTATTTATTTATTTGTTTATTTGTGTTTATTTTTCTCTTTATACGTATTTATGTATTAATTTAATATTTATTTGATTGTTATTCTTTTTTAATATTATGATGTTTTTAATTATTTTTAGCTTCACTTTTGTCTCTTTTCAGTATAATGACCGAAAATCTGGAGCAGAAGATTCTGGAAACTACAATGGAAGAGTAGAACAGAAGGGATTCTGTAATTTTTTGTGATAATAGTATCTGCTTGTAATGAGTGTATTACGACAAAAATTTTTTCAAGCGCAAAGCAAATTCAAACACTAAAAAAAGAAAGTAGTTGAAAGGTATTGATCTAACTTCAAGCTTTGAATCGAATGAGCTCTATTTAATTTTCATATCGTTAATTCTCGCTGAGATCATCGTCCAGCCTGATTTTCAAACAGTAGCGGGTCGCTCGCTCCGAACTCCCTCCTCTCTAAAGTAGTCTTTGAAAAGCTGATCGAGACTCAAATTGACTATCGTTGATCGTGAGAGCAAATTAGGAGCCGCTTGGGATCTGATAAAGGTGGACAAGAGAGGGCTGATCTCGCGCTTGCTTCACAGGCTTCGTCGCTTAACAATCGAAAAACTGCGATGGGTAAATTTCATGAACCCTAAACTATTGTTTTGTTTTTGGATAGAGTAGGCTGGACGATTCTCAGTGAGGGGTGGGGTGGGGTGACTTATTTTATGAAACAATCAAACCAGGTGCACGAGTGTTCTTTTGGAAACCACTCTGTTTGAAAAATGACTTTATGAATTCACTGTAAGTTGAGACCATGGATTGAACTTTGGGTTGAAAATATAAACAGTTTATGATCTCTTGATTTTGGTTATGAACAATAGGTCACAAAATTGCTGCCCATCATTCATTTTTAACATTTTCACGCTCAAGCTTTAACGAGGTCAGCGGACAGTTATCTGTGGTAGAAATAAAAAAAAGTTTTACCTTTTTATCGTGACTCAACGAATTAACAAATGTAGTATACATTGTATACTTGTGTGATGATTTTAGGTTTTTTGATAACGTTTACAGCACGTAAAGTTATACCGCAACCTCAAAGATAATATTTTCGGTGGGAAAGAGGAAGGAAATTTTATAGGAATCTTTTTTCAAGGCCCACGTCAAAGTGTTCAAGCAATGTTGCATTATTAGTGATTTCCAAAGCAAAGTTAGGGAAAATTTTGACATTCACATCAAAAAATGCATAGTTAATTTCATGACTGCATAATATATTTATCCTGTGAAAGCGAGACCTAAGAAAAGAATGAATTTAGGTGAAGCAGAAGGAAGGGCTACCTGTTAGGTGGAAGGAGAGGCGGTGAAGGGGGGGGGGCAAGTGTTAAAGTAATTTGGTGCAAAACAATTATTTTGCGGAGTAATATAAGACAGCTGTTATTGATGACCTGAAAAAAACTAAAAGAAAGAAGGAAAGAAAAGAGGCTGTGCCAGTTTTAGAGGAAGTGCTACATGTTAATGCGTGGGTGATAAACAATTTAAGTATGTAAGAAAAAATTGTAGTGTGGTAACTGGAAGACTTGATGAAACTGAGTGTCAATAAACAATCAGACTTCAAGTCATTCGTGCATGATGTTAGTTACTGTGAGTCAACACAAACATTTCCAGTAAAGAAGAGAATGGTGTGCAAAGTAATAACTCTTAGAAGTTACTTCTACCAGAGGCTTCTTTCAAGCACAAAGCACAGGCACAAAATGAAATAACATTCGCTCGGGATGAAGACGCGGGAACGTCGCTTTTTCTTCCTTTCAGTCATTAGTCATTACTACGTGCCAGCTTTTTCTTACTAGGGCACAGGCAAATGAACAACTAAACAAAAATTCTGATCTTGAAGAATAACAGGTAACATTTCCAATTCACCATAAGTAAAGGTTTCTGCAATAACAATTTCTTTCTCATCAACATTAGTTTGGGCATGGTATACTGAGCTGGACCTTGTTATGATAGAAATTACTTCTGATTCGCAAAAGAATTTTCAACACAGTGGTGTTATACGTATCAGACCTGGTATCCAATTGTAAACAAAGCTTCTCCGACAGTGTGACGGCCAACGATTTCCAAATCCGCACCTCACTGAGGTGCGGATTTGGAAATCGTAAAATAGAACAGTAAATAGAGCGCTGCTCGTGATGTGCATGAGAATGAATGTCCTCAGCATGAAAAAAAAACTGGAAAGTTCACGATTTACTAATGGTACAAATAACTTGCGTAAATTTGATCAACTACTGTTACCATGAACTTGGTGAGTGTCTCTTAGTCTCCAAGCGTATTTTTCCTCGTAACGCGTCCAGAAATGTGGAATCCTCAGCTTGTCGCATTATACCAGTTGTTTCTACTTACAAAAGGATCAGCACATTCTTCGGGCTTATTAGATTTTACCACGAATGAATTTCCAAGCTGCAAAACGCGTAGTCCTTCTCCGGGAAACCCAGAATACCACTTATGAGAGAATGGGAGAAAAGCCGATAGAGTTCTCGATGGCATAAATATCAGGTCTACCTCACAAAATGACTTCTTCAGTCTTTCCTTGCTTTGGACAAACTTTTTTAGTCTTCCCACAATCAATTGATCTCTGGAAATTCCACTAAGGATTAATACTATCTTCGACGCCCCTATGTTTTCCATTAGGTGCGCCCACGAAAACCGAATGGTAATTACTACCTCGTAATTTAAGTCTAGCTGTTTGAAACAAAATCTGCCAGTTTGCATTTCAAGTTAAGCACAGTCAATTTTTCCTCCTTCTTACCCTTTGATATGGCTTTGTCGTAGTCTCCGTTCATTGAGGGTTCTTCAGGTTCAGTAAACTAGACGTGGATGCAACTGAAGAGACTCTCCTGATCGTGTTATTATCATCAAGGTTTGTGTCAATTTTCCTCAAGATCAAAAAATTTGTCGCTGAAGTATTAGTAGAGCATGCTCAGAAGCGCCTAACAAGCCACGCAAAATAGTGGGCAATTTACAATCAAGCTAAGCCACGGTTTGTATGCCTTGAAAAATGTAGCCTTAATTTCTTATAGCTTTGTGGTGCCTTATCCTCCCCATTTTGTAAAAAACTAAACTGTCGCAGTTTTCCGCAAGTCAGAGGCAAATTTTAGGTCACGCAATCACTTAAAGAAAACGACTCGACATGTCATAAAGTAGTCCTTTGAATTTTGTCAAATGGTGAAAGGAAGATCTTTTCAGGAGTATGTCATAACGGCCCAAGGCTATGCTCATTTATAAAGGCAATTAAGAGTTTTCTCATCCTTTCACCTGCGCATCTGCGAATCCTTTATTTCGAGGAAAGAACATAAAATAAATACACGAGTGATCACGCGTGTCGCGTTTAGCGCCGTTTATTCCCCTCCCCCCACTCCCAGAAGATTTTATCTAAAAGCCACTTGACATGGTAATTTCCTGCCCGGACATGGCATGTTTGCATTATTCATGACAATCGAAGAGTGGTTGTGCAACACAAAGGATAAGATGTGAAGACTGAGAAATGGGGGCCGAAACGGATCTTCATAGGTTGGTAGATTTGGCATTGCGCTCTCCGGATGCAGGTGTCGTGAACTTCAATCATCTTCACTCTCTTCTTCACGCCATTTTGAATCACATCGGCTTGAGTTATGACCCGCAGAATGGAGTGCTAAATACTCAGTCAGCTGCTGCTCCTGATGAAGGAAATGACAAAGGTACTTCATTCGAGCAGTTAAATGGACCAGGTAAAGAAATTTCCGACGCTGACAATTCCAATCGTGATGATAATCGCCTGGTTCAGACAACAATTCAGTTGGACCAAAGAGGCCACTTCGACAGGTTTGATAAGCTTTTAGTTTGCCACACTTTTATTACAACTATAGTTGTTCGAATATGCATATGTAGCTTAAGCTGTTAAAATGGTGTTTCTGTGACACTTTATTGTTCCATTTCATCACAAACACCGTTTTGTCGAGCGGTATACAACAGCGAAATTTGTAAACCTTGATCAGCGAACCGTAAGCGTGTCATGATAACAAGGCACTTCGTTCTGTTTATCACTTTACCGGGCATTACTTTTAGTGTTCTTTTGACAGATAGTGTTGTGGATGTTATAAATTATTCAGATATCGCTTTAATAGCGTTTTCACGACTAAAAGTTAACGATCTAAAATGGTTTGTCGGTGTGCAGAGCTGACTTTTCGAGAGCATCTTTTCACGATGAAGTATTTCCCTTGTAATCGCGCGAAAATAGCTCATATTCTTAAGCGGATTTTCACTAATTGCATGTTACATTCATTATCAACAATGACGGTAAGCGAACAAAATCCAGCCATTTTTACATGCAGCCGGAGGGTTCATTCTCTTTACGTATTTTGATTAAAAGTAAAACCTTGAATTGATCTCCTTTGTTGCGTGAGAATTTTACTGGACAACTCCTCAGAAAGACCGAAATAGTTAAAAATATTCAACAAAACGCTACATTCTATGATTTGTTGACGGTTCAAAGTATTTGTCGTCGTGGAAACGAAGACATTTAAAGTTAATGTTTACTTTGTATTTGTTCAGTTAGGTGCTCATAAATAACTTTACAGTGAAATTTCAATTTTTCTTTTTTTGTTACTTTGCTTCAGTCTTTCAGTTTTGATTAGAGAGAACTCCGTTCATAATTTCAGCTATGCAGATGTTTTGGGAGAGGTTGAATATTGTAGCAACTTTGCAGGGGGCTTATTAGGTTGACTTTACTTTCATTTACCTAATATTCATAAACACTTGACAGTGTTTGCAGTGGGACGAAAGCCAAACTATTGTTCTCTTTAGTTATTTTTGCAAACAATGGTTGGTGGAATTATCTGTAAGTTTCAGCAAATCAAGGTAGAGAGTATGACTAGACTTGCACTTGAATAGGCTTCAGTTTCTAGACTTTCCTTAAAAAAACCAAATCATTTATAGAATTTTGTGCCATTCATGGTAAGTTGATGAACTTAACTGAGAGGAAAAAATGCATGTAAGGCCTGTTAAGCGTCTTAAATATGTAAATGTCATTAGTCTAAAAACCTGGAATGGTTTCGAATCTTTGTTTCCAATTTCTTAAACCAATTACCTATACTAGTTTGAATCAGCAATGCAGTTTTTCAACTGTAGCCCCTTGTGGACTGAAAATAAATAGCAGTTTGAGAGATAATTCATCACTCTTAGTTTAATTTTTAGTACTTTTAGGCGATCTTATTACCACAGTATTTATCTCCTGCATGAATTAAAAATTAAAATGAGCCAAATTAGTAGTGTAAGGTTATTTTTGATGCAGAGGGCAGAGCAAGTTGATTCACCACTTCATTAATCCATCATCCATTTTTGTTGTTTCCTCGGATTTTGAAGCCACTTATTAATTTGGAAGTTCTATTTACCTTTTTTAGCACATTTTGTGGATTTTTCTGGGAAGCACAAATTGTATATAATCCCTCCATATCACTTGGACATGAACTTCAAAGCCATTCTTTAGAATTATTTGATAAGCAATCTGAACTTTGATTTGATTATTGTGAAGAATATTTTATTTTATGTCTGTTACTCTTGTTTTGGCAATTTTTGATAATGAAGTTAGTTTGAATTCAGTTTGCAGATGAGGCAACAAAACCTTGAGAATAAAGTTCAAGAACTAGAGGACAAATTAAAAATCCTTGATAACCTACCATCCACTCAGTTTATAATTGAACAGGCACAAAAAAATTCAACAAGTGTAACCCAAGATGATGGATCCAATCAAAATGTGCTTTCTGGAATGTGGCAGTTTATGAAATTTAACAGCAGGCTCCAGGCTACAGAAGAAGGTATTGATAGAATAATGACAATTTTGAATGAATTTCTTGGGGGTGATGGAAAAGGAATCAGTAGAGTCAAAGATGAAGTGGAGGATATTGCCAGTGAACTAAAAAACCTGAAAGAAAGATTTCTTGGTCAAAAGCCATTTGAGGATGATAACCTTGGACAGAGTCTGTCTGCAAGGAAATCCCATGATGCGGAGAACTCTCAGTTACTGCAGCAAAGGATGCATTCTCTTGAAAAACAACTTCAGGATAAATTTGTGACCAAGGATGACTTGTCAGTGTATGTTAAATGGCCTGCCCTAGAAGAGGCTTTGAATGTAAAGAAATCAGACTTTGAAAGGAAATCTAAAGAGGAGGGTGGTGTTTTAGGAAAGGAACAAGGCTTTATGTTAGGAAATGGGCAGAGCAGTGTTTTGGAAAAGACATTTGATCATCTTGAAAGTGAAAATAAGGCATCAGATACAGAGTCAGATGGGCGTCCACAGAGTGCTCCAGTGCCATCTACCCAGCAGACTCCAGTGCAGACACCTGAGGTCCCTAAGACAGCTTTCACAAGGAGCACACAGGTTTGACTGTAATATGTATGATACATTTTATGTTGGCCTATCAGAATCAATTAAAGCCAATTTTGTTGTTAAGTGAATACTGGTTTGAAAAGCTGATGGTAAGACTAGACTTGAAAATGTGTTCTTGAAAATTGTTTACATATGTGCATTTGTATACACTGTACTTGTATGCTACTTTAGTTTTGGTAAAGTTCAACTGTCAAATGAGTGATGGTCATATCATTCCAGGAAAGAGCTAAACATTTGCCTTACAACATTATTTTCACTAAACCATTTTTCTGATCATCATCATCATTAGGTCAAGCTTGCTCGGTATTCCATGACACACTCCCTCCACCTTTCTCTGTCTTCCATTGCAATTGGTACTTTTTCAATTCTGCATCCTGTGTCATCCATCAATTGGTCAATGTAGGTCTTTTTTGGGGCGTCCTCTTGGCTGATGTCCTTGTGTTGGCTTCCAGAGTAATACATCCCCTGCTTGTTCTTCTTTACTGCACCAACAATGTCCTGCAAATCTCATCCTTTGTTGCTGTAGCAATTTACTGATTGGTGGGATGTGGCCATAGAGCTCTACATTTGTGGGGTGGTCCTTCCATGATCTGTTTAAGGCAGTGCATAGCATTCTAGTGTTTGCTCCATCGATTTTCTTTTCCAGATGTGTTGTTAAGGTCCAGGAGACTGAACCGTATAAAAGGACGGTCTCCACTGCTGTTTGAAAGAAGTTTCTCTTCAGGTTGTCTGGGAGGTTTGATTTCCATATCTTGCCCAGTTCATTTAGAGCATCCCACACCTTTCCTAGTCTGATGTTAACATCATGTTTGATAGAGGCGATGTAGCTTCCCAGGTATTTAAAATCTTCCACTTGCTTTATCTTCTCACCATTGAGACTCTTCATCCCTTCTGATGCATCTTGATTGAAGCAGATGAACTCTGTTTTATCTGCATTGAGGTAGAGCCCTATCTCCTTTGCTATTCTTTCAATGCTATGCAGCAGGAATGTTGCATCTTTTAGGACGTCAGCCAGCACTGCTAAGTCATCAGCATAGTCTGCATCTGTTATTTTCATAGCTGGGTAGTGTTTGCTTGTCTGTTTTGTGAGGGTAAAGCCAAGTTCATTGTTCTTGTCTAGAGCTTTACATAATAAATAGTCAAGACATATAATGAATATGTATGGGGCTAGTGTATCACCTTGGAGGACTCCAGCACTGATATCGAAGAAGTCTGTGTCTCCATCAGGGGAGCGAACCATAGAGCAGGTGTCCTGATACATTATCATGATGGCATCTACTGTTTCCTTGGGTATTCCATAGGTGGAATTTTTTTTTTTTATTTTTCTGATACTTGCAGGTAAATATTCAAGAAATGCCCTTGGTAGACCACCCCTCTCAAGAGATGGTTGAATGTCTTAGGCAGATTGGGGAGCTATCTGAGAAACATAGTGTGGTAGAGAAAAAAATTACTAATGTCATGGAAGCTCAGGAAGAAATGGCTGGAGAGCTGGCCAAAGTGGAAGAGACTCTGCCACAGAAAATTAGTAAAGAAGATTTAAACATTCCTGATGACCTGCAAGATCAACTGGCCTTGCTGAAGCAAGGTGTGTGAAATAATCTTATTTTTAGCATAACCAATCTTTCACCTCATTGTAGTCAACCATCACCAATTTTTTGATAATTACATTTTAACAATAATCATTATTAACACTATAATAATTTGGTGTTAAAAAATTATTCTCCAAGACATCATCACCTGTTATAATCTCACATTGAATACACTCTAGAATGGATGCAGTAACTTCACAGTGAAGTAGCTCTTTTCCATAGCTCCTTCACTAAGGTGGTGGAGACATTCTTTCATTTACCATATATGATGTAGTTTATTAAACTTAATTTTAAATCCTGACCATTATAATTAAATTTGATTTGTTCCTATTTCTTTCTAGCTACATTTAGAGGAGTCAACAAGCAAAAGAAAATTCAAATCAATTAGTTGAAACTATGATTTTATACCTCATTGATTTTTAACATTTGTACATGGTGTTAAGATTTCGCGTGTAGATGTCAAAGGACTGACTTACATGTCAGCTGATTTAAATATCATTTCAAAAAGGTTTGGAATTCCTAAACACAAATCAAGATTTGGTAGCACTGGCAGAAATCAAGAAAATGGCTCAGGATAACAAGGAGCATGTTGAAGCACTTAAGCGTGAACTGGCCATCCTTGCACGGCAGAGCAAACAGCAAACAGCTTTTACAGGAGTGGTCAGCCAATCACCTGTTGTGGACAGCAGTGTTCTTGATGCTCTAAGAGAACATTTAAATGAGCTCCAAAATCAACAGGAAAAACTTGCCATAGCAACCAGTAGGCAACACTCTGAGGTTGTAGGAGATCTTTCCAGAAAACAGGTTGGTGTTCTGTATTGAGAGGCAGCATGGTTAAGTGGGGGTGGTTGGACTCTCTCCTCCAGTCCCACTCCAACCATTCAATGCATTTTTCCGTGGATAGTCCCAAGCTACCCCTAAACCAAGCTTGTAAATAGCAAACTGGTTTTCCTCCTGCCTGAAATCATGTTGCCGCTGATTTGTATTATCTGTCAGTCTGTAAAAATAGTAATATCATGTCACCCCTACAGATCATGATGTTGGTATGAAGGTGTATGCTGTGTGAGTTATTTTAGCCACTTGCAGAGCTATTGAAGCAAAACTCCACACTTAAGAGAGCACTCAGCTGTTAATTACTCCCTTTTGATATGAATCCATTCCTGTTTTCTGCAGGAACACATTGAAGCCTTGTACAACTATGTTGAAAAACTCCAAGAGAGCAAAGCGGATAAGGAAAATGTAGCCATGGAAATGGACATTAAGGCTGATAAGGCCTCACTGGACAGTAAAGTGAATATATCAACATTTGATAATACGTTTAGCATGCTCGATGAAGGGCTCAGAGAAGCACTACAGAAAATGGATGATTACATGAATGAAGAAATGGCATTAAAACAAGCACTGAAGCAACTGTCTGTTGATATGTCAGAAAAGATGGATGGCCAAGCTTTCCAGGCACTAAAAAACTACCTGGGTGAGTCGAGGGTTGTACATAATCTTTTTTTCTTCATCTTATTTATATGAGAATCCAGATTCCAGCCCCAGCTTTCTGGAGGCTTATTAAGCATGCAACTTACCCATGCAATACCGCTATCCACCCAACACTAATTGAATAGGTAAGAGAACATTGCCACAAAAACTTCTTAGAAAACAAGGGGTAACCTCTAATGGACCCGCAATCCATCCAAGGGTAGTAATGGTCCTCCTTGTCACTGAATGCAACAGCAACTGGGGTAAATTCTGAAGGTGTAGACTACTTCGTACGCTTGCAGAATTGATTAGAAATGTTATCCTTCTGGAGCTGCGCCATAAGTGTAAGAATGGTACCAGTGAACTGTAAGGGACACTTGACAAAATACAGAGGGGTAACCTTTGATGGACTAACGTCCCATCAGGATGACCACCAACGTGAATTCCCTGCACATACTTTCACTTGTTGTTTGGTGACTATGAAAAGCATTGAAGCCCGAATCACACGCTTTGTCGGAAGAAGAAAAAATTGCGTTTTGGATTTCTTGTGCGAGGAAATAAATTATTGTGACAAATGTATCAATTTTTTACTTTAGAACGGCGTATAGCAGATGTACAGAAGTCCAGGAACATGATTGCCGCAGAAGCAAAAGTGGATTTTTCGGACGCAGCTGGCTTCCGCAGACCAATCAAGTTTAACTGTATCTCATGTAGTAGACCTGTGGAACTTCCCCTTAGGGGACCCCTCCAGGCCAACCTGCCGGCCCCCAGAGGGGTTCGGACAAAAAGGTCCAAGGGCCCATATTTGTCCTATGAAATGGACCAGGTGAGCATTGTTGTTTCTGCTTACTCGTTTGTTTGGTTGGTCGTTGACTGATCGGGAAACTTCGTAAGAAACCCGTCATTGGCTCATTCCACTAAACACAACTAAGGTTTGAGGAGTCTAGATTGAACGAGTTGTGCAGAAGTATCAGTTACTCGTTTTGGTGCCAAGAAGAGGTATCATATGCAGTTACCTGTCTGGTGCCAAGATTTTAGACTAATGAAAGTTCAACGATAAAGATTTCCATGCATGGGTTATTTTTCTTTCCTCAGCCAGAGGAGAAAAACAAAAACAATTAAATTCTCGGCACATACATGTATAAATATAGTGACAAATATGGTTTTGTTAAATTTGACACAAGATACATATAACATTGTCCATATCAAAAAAATGTAAGTATCGAATTAACCACGCACCTACCCCTCCCCTAACTCGACAACAGTAAACTGATAACGTTGGGTTAGGGGAGGGGTAAGTGCGCAGTTGCTAAGATACTGACATTGATCCAAAATTCTTGATCAATTTTTTTCTTTCATTGAATGTAAAACTTTCCTTCGCTGTGTGTAGATTCGTCAGTATCAACGTGGTCACTACAGCGGTGGTAAGGCTGAGAGAACGTTGAACGACATCATTTCTGGTCGACCATGCGGCGGGAGCCATACGGTGATGTATTTACCAAAGAGACGGACGAGACCTACCCAGCTGAATCAAGTGTTAGGAGGTTCGTTTACTGTGATGAGTGGATGGCACTAGCGGAATCTGAAGTATCGTTGGGAAAGTGGGACAACAAATATCGTTAACAGACATAAGTTTACTCCCCTTGGACGTGCCTTTCGTTTGGAGAGTTTGAAATATTCGGGGTCAGAGGGAACGAACTAGGGTTTCCGCTTTGTCTTATGATATGATGCATGAAAGAGACACTATTAGCATGTGTTATAACCAAAAAGAATGCCTGTGATCTGAAATATTTATCCTCAAGAAATACAGAGTTTTCTCTACACTTGGTGATCGCTGAGGTGCTCCCGAAAATTCTGCTGTCATTTTGTTCAAGACAGGTTCACGATCTTTTCTTACAAGGATTGACATTTAGAACCCTATCCAAACCGTTCAAGTTTGTTTCTTTATTTAGTTCTCTCACAATATCCCATACTTTACTCAGAACTTTATACTTCTGTGGAGTGTGACGTGATCATTAGATTGCAAACCCTCATGTTTTTCAAACTTTTAGGGCATGACGATAATCCAGATATCCCTATCTGGGGGAGAGAAAAATCTGTCATTGACGTACTGAAAGGATCTGATGGACATGTTTATAAAGGCCGGTTTAAACAGGTATGTTATGGAGAGCCACATCGACCCTCTAAAACTTGCAGGATGTATATTAACTTTGTATGTTTTTATTCCTAGACAATCCCACCCATTGGCAAGAACTCCACCTCCCCCCTGCATGAACACGAAGTGACGTCCCTTAATAAGGAGGATTCACAAGTGACGTCATCACACTCCAACTCGGGCCCCAACTCTCTGCGCAATATAGTAATGGGAGAGGTAAGGCAAGCACAGAGCAGCAAATTGAACATCTGACTTAAGATGTCTTTTAGAACTTCACAATGGCTGTGTGGTAGAGATCGAATCTAGTTTTGAATCAATTTTTTAATTTCTCGTTTTAATCTCCTCAACGTATTTTAAGTATGAGAATGTTGTTTAGCTCACACATTTTGCAAAGTCACGCATTTTCCATTTTGCTACTCAAAAAACTAAACAACTCACATCAATGATTATTCACGTATCTGTAAAAAGAAAGCGGTAAGACTGAAAAAAAAAATCTGAAAAACTTCTGAGGGATAAAATAAGTTGATGTCGATTGTGTTGGAATCAGTCTACGAAAACCACGATGATAAAGTCAAGTGTTACTCATTGTTGTCTTAAATCAATTTTCTTTAAGGAGTAGCACGTCGTATTATCGGATGGTTAAAAAAGCGACAATTTTTTCTTGTCCATGATTACATTAATGGTAAAATGTCATCAACTATTTTCTCCAATGATCACGGAGCGCAGATAATTCGGATCATCATATTGAAATTTTTTGACAATGGCTCCCCGACCAACGACCGTGACACAATTTAGCTTGGATGGCTGGAAGTTTTACGCATACTTTGAAGCGTTGAGCGGCGAAGAGATGGAAGGAAGCGGTCAGTCTTGCATGGCTGCCAGCTTGGTTTTGAGTTAAAACAAACGTCAAATATTTTCAGCAAAAGTATGAAGTGTCTTTGTGCTTTACAGCCTGCAGAAAAACCTCCAAAAGAACAACAAGGCAGTCCACGAGAAACACAGCTGGGGAATCAGTCACGGAGCACTTCACCAAGAACTCGCATGAGACATATTGTGAAACGACACAGCTCCGGCTCACCACCTGCTCCAGTGCCTTCACCTTCTCCCCCAACCGTTCGGGAGACTGAAGCACAGAAAGCTTCACAGAAACAGGAAAGACAAGGAGAGGTAATTTCCCTTAGCTGCTCCTTTGTATTTCTCATGATTTGGTTTCAATCATTTTTTGGAAATATTTCGGTACTTCCATCACAATGCTGGGTATCTTTCATGGTGCCTAGACAATCCATTCCTCGAAAGATTTTTTGAGCATGTGACGTTTTTGGAAGTATCTGAATTAAAACCACTTTCATTCCATGTCGTAGCTGATTAAGTTCAACCCTTGATTTGAGTCAACACTACAAAGCTTGCGATGGATAAAATGGTGTTATTGTAGCATGTTTGCTTTGTGCGTATATTAACATGTTCTCATTCGCGCACCACAGGACGCCCAGTCAAAGTTATTTACGCCAGCTGTTCCAAGGCCATCCCCCGACGGAGCCAGAGAAAACGACGACGGAGATCCGGGTGGAACCAGAAATGTTACGGTAGGATTCAATGATGACGTCGAGTAAACATCTTTTTTATTGTATTGATGGACATTATATTCCTTACTATTCTTAAGGAACCTCAGATGCTGCCTCCTCGCCCGGAACATGAAGGTGGATTCAAAACAAGCAACAAGTAACTGATCGAAACTCGGAGAAGACCATAAGAGAGATTCAAATTGTTTCACTTTACATTTATATAGTATATTCCAGAGTCTTGTATATATCGTATATTCCTGGAGTTACTGACTGATTATATAGTACAGTTAAGAAAATCATCCTGAAGAAAAAGATATTGTATTGATACGAGAACAGTTATTTTACTCCAGAGTCTTTCATAATCGGTTAGATTTAAACAAGGTTTGTACCAAGACAAGCATTCTAAAAATAGTACGGACATTTTTTAACTAGCTTTAAATACTGAAAGAAATTATGGGATATGGAGTTGAAGTTTTGGAAAAATTGAAAGAAGTACTTAACAACTACTTTTCTGCTCGAGCCATGTTGTACTATTGATAAACCCGAGAATGTCTTAGGCGTAGTCTAGGAAATAGTATTGAACTTTGTTTATAAAGGGTGCTTAAACCCTGGAGAAGTTCCTTACGAGTTGAAAAGTTGATTGGGAAAGATGTTACATAGTGTTTCAATTGTTCAGTCGGTAAACCGCGGCGCAGAGCAGCAGAGGATAGGGGTGGACTCAGGCAGCATCATCAGCTGCCCCCTCCCCCCCCTTACCTTTCCCTCCTTTACCTCCCCCCCCTTTACCTCCCCCCCCGGTTTTATTGCAAGGCAATCTGATGCAGTTGCGCTGCTGGTTATTGACTGCAACCCTAGAACAAATTCAATGATACATTGACATTATGCAAATACCATAGAAATTATTTATCATTCTTACCATTAGTACTATGATTTTGAGGGCTGGCCCGTTTGATTTATTATAGAGGTTGTTCATATCATCTTAAAAGAATGGTCTTAACCATAATGAGAGTGTTATTTATTATCTGATAGTCATTCCCTTTTGAGAGAAGGATTGATGGATTTTTCCTAATATTCACAAAGGAAGTGAAAAATAGAGGTATAATTGGCCGTGTTACAGGAGGAAAGGAGTTTGTTGAAAGTCGTACTAAATATTAAGCGCAAGGTGTAAATTTGTTTGATCAGTTGTATTGTATTTCCCTCAAGGTTGTGAAAACGTTATGCGTAAACTCCATCCTATAACTTTGGCCAATAAAGATATGCTGATATGCAGCTCTTGGGCACTCAACTTCTCTCTAATTTCTTCTAAATAATTTATTTCAAAGCGGTTAGTATGTATTTTTTAGTTAAAACTCTACTAAGTCAACCAAGAACATCCTTTCAATGATAAATCTTGCAAGTTAGATCGGCTTGGATCGAACAGGCTTGTTCACCCCATCAACCTCTCTCCCAGGCTGAAGACGGCAAGAGAGGAGACACCCTGGAAACGAGTTTGTCTCGTTGTCAACGTAGTGACGAACCTTGTCGGAAGTATCTTTCCGAGAAACTCTTTGTGATATGAAAGAAACAATTCTGAGAATTTTCTTCCTCTTCCTAAATGCTCCAGTTTCCCAGAATCTCGGACGATGACGTCAAGTGCAACGATTTGACTCCTTAAAGGGAGACGCTAGGGTGACAAAGCACGCTGAGAAGGAGGAACTACATTTCCCGTCACTCAAATCAGACAGTAGTGTCCCCAGAAGCGCCATGGCGGAAGCAAGTGCGAGTTCTCCCACTAATTCAGGGAAAATAGCTCTAGATCATGGCAAATTTTTTAAATACGAGTCTATACGCATCGAGTGGACCAAACACTTTGAGAATCATTACTTTGATGAAGTTCATGTGGTGAAAGGATTCTTCAAAACTTTTCACCGCACTCACAAACGATTTCAGTTTGTAGTCGCAAAGCTCTTCGATGAGACAACTCATCTTGTAGTTCGCGCTGATGACTACCGAGGGATCAAAGAAGAATTGGAGCGGAGAACGAAGAAAAGTCTGCCTGAAGTTAGCCATGTCTCGGGCGTGAAGATTATGGAAGATAGAAAGTCTTTCCTTGACTTTGAGTCACACCGAGAGTTTTCCATGTCCCTGAAAAACGAGAATGACAAAATAAGACAGAGGTATGTGCTGTGAATGTGAGGTATGTGTTGTGAAATCGAATATCTACCTCGAATATCTGCCGTCCAAACTTAATTTCATGAATTTCAAAGACTTACTCATCGCTGATTGCATAAATTCTCATTTCTAGTTGAATATTTAATATTAAGATCGTGTACTTAAACTCCTTCGTTCTTAACGGTAAATCACGCTCAATCGATTACTCGAAACTCTTATAATATAAATCGTAAAATCTTTCTGTGGCGATATTTTCATCGTTGACCTTCACCGAAAAAAAAAATCTTCCCTTTGTTTACATCTCTAAATCAATTTCGCCTGTACCTTTCGAAGAAAACCGCTCTGGAAGTTCTGCTATCTTTTCCTAGAAAGAGCAAGATATTTAACGAGCTACCTCGTTCAAGTCACGCAACTTTCGTAACCATCTTGGACGAAATTTAAATCCGGAAAAAACAAACCATTCGTACCTGGTTATTGAATAGATCCAAGAGAATATAAACAATTTATAATATTTTGATAGATCGTATACATTGGTCGATGAACAAAATATATTTTCAAATTCACATCCCGGCACGGTTCGGTGAGTTTCTCAGAAAATACCCGGAGGTGATTGCGTGAATTGTAATCGATTCCCTCGAATGATTTGAATGAGATTTGAAAGACAAACATGTTTAACCATATTAAACGCGAAATGTTTTTTATCCAAAGGCTCGTGTTTTCTAATCGATGACTGTTAAAATGATATTAAATATTTAAAGGTAAGACTTCAAATCAATGGAAAAAAAGAATACTCTACAAAAACATCAAGGGCAAATTGTTGTTTGGAAGAGATAGATCGCTTACCGTCGTGACCAATGAGCACGGCACGAGAGTGCATGCACGGGCCTAGAAGCAGCGCATAACAATCAAATAAGTGGAATTACATTCATTGATGAACCGAAAAATAAAAAAACTCTGATACTGAAGTAAAGCTCAAATTCAACATGATTTCCAAAGTTAAAGAAAGCGGCAGAAATCGATCGTAAGTTTTCCTTGACTCGTTGTTGCTTGACGCCTATTAGTTCATCAAATGAGTAGATAAATACATAATACCTCTTCTATAGCTGCGGTTTTTTTTTTCATATTTAGGAGGAAAGAAGAAGCGAAGAAACACGCAGATATATTCCGTGACTCATTGAAAAGCAAGCCTTGCCCACGCGTTTTGGCGTTTGATGTGGAAACCTATGAACACGATAAAGTTACCGTCCTTGAAGTTGGCTACGTCATGGCACAAATTGACAAGCCGGAAGAACAGGAAGCGTTCCATTACATCATCGAGGAGAATCTCCACTATTCAAACAAAGACTACGTCCCTGACAACCGCGAGCGATTCAAATTTGGTTCCTCAAAGCGCATGTCTCTTGTGGAGGCCGCAGAGAAGTTCCAGCAGCATATCGCCGACGTAGATTTTTTGGTGACCCACGCTGGCCATAATGATGAACAGTACCTTGCGGGGTGTGGCATCTCTTTAGAAGGAAGGCAGATATTTGATACACAGATGCTGGCCTCGGCTTTGATGACCGGTGGTCCTCAGACTTACAGCCTCAAACGATTGCTGGGTGACTTGGCCATCGAGTATGAGGAGGATATTTTACATAACGCAGGGAATGATGCAGTGTACACACTGAAGGCGTTCCTCAGTCTCAGCAAGAAGATTTAGCCTTCAAACTTTTCCAGCTTATTTACAATTTAGTATTGTACTTTGAACTATGCAGCGAACCGATTTTAAATTTGAGTTAGTAAATATTACATCAAATTTTACATGGAAATGTATACAGCTACACTGAATTAGTATGACTAAGCAGAATCTTACTCCTTCCCCAATACTTTGCTTAGCATCCCTAGAGGTCAGATCTACCCAGGATTTTCAAAGCATGTACATGTGGATGGATCTCAATCTGAAATGCAGGCATTTTAAAATTTTGCATCAAGTAAATTTTATTCGTGGATATTTGCACATGCTGATTGCACCTCGATAACAAATCGGGGTTCTCTGAACTAGTTCTAACGTGACAAGCACAATTTGTAAGAAATGATAGTTTTATTATTAAACATATTTAGACTTTGGCAAAATATGCAATGGTTTCATTTGCCAGAAAACAACGAACAAGGTTATTAGTTTCTTATGTAACTGCTGTGCTGCGTCATGGGTTGTTAGCTATTCAACAATTACGAGATTAAAACAGTTACCTCATCACGGAGCCTAGTTTTGGTATTTGCAGATGTACCCGTAGAGAATCAAAAATCTATTCGTTTGCGCATGCCCTGCGTTTGACCGCTGTAGTACTTCATGACGTGTGACAATCCTCGGAAACTAATCGCGACAAATAATCGTGGTTACGTGGATCTCAACAGCTGGTAAGCAATCGTTTCAGCTTCGCTCGTTGTAAAACACGTTATTTGGCATGGATAAACTGACAAAGACCAATAAATGTCTTTAAAATATGATTATAGGAAGTACAGAATGCAATGGTGTGTCATCTTTCCCTGGTACAGAACTCCTTTCAGCCAAATTTGATATGGAAGGGACCGCTTTCCTCCGGCTAATAACTATTGATTAGAGGATGACGGCTCTTGAAACGTCACAATTCAATCCTCTTTGTAATTCTATCAATTATTAACCCACAAGTGCGTGTTCATTGGTGGAAATAGACATCCAGAGCTTTGATTGGTAGATATTAATAATATTAATGTATTAATTAGTATATTAATAATAGCTAGTATATTGGCTAGGATAAGCATACCTTTTATGGCTAATTCAGTCGCCTAATTAGTTTGGAAACGCCATACCTGTGCATATTCCATACATCATTTTCTTCAGCCATGGCCAGCAGAAACGCAAAATCACCCGGCGACAGAGGGTATGGTCGTTATTACAAATACGAATCTATTCGCATTGAGTGGAGAAAGTTTATCGAAGAGAACCACCCCCGTCAAAAGCCCATTGCAGAAGATTTCTTCAAGAACTTCTTTCGCAATCACCGTGGTTTTCAGTTTGTGATAGCCGAAGTTTTCGATGAGACAACTCATCCTCTTGTGTCTGCAGAGAAATTTGCTGACTTGAAAAATGAACTGGAGAGGAAAACCGGTCAGAGTTTACCAGAAGTGTCCAACACCTCCGATGTAAAGATAAAGGATGAACGACGATCCTTTTCTGATTTATACGCTTACATCAATTTTTCCAAGTCCCTTAGAGCAGCGAATGACCAAATTAAAGTCAGGTAAGCGGTCTTAATACAGGTTAGTACAGAATAATCTGGACTAACGTGTAATTTCTTCCCGTGTAAATTTGAAAATGAACCGATTTCACCGATCACTTTGGACCTCGTACAGGAATTAAAAAAAACAGCTCACATGAGTGGATAAGATGACTCGACAAAACCATGAAAATATAAGTAACCAGATTTTCATTCCGCACCTCCTTTTGACTCGAGATTGGTCCTTTTTTCCTTCTGTTGTTCGCGTTGTGCATGATTTGTTCTTTTCAATAAATATAGTTAAGAAATTCGAACATTTGAATCGCTTTGAATCACATGATTTACAGTCTCGCCATTTTCCGCCTGGCAGGGATCGTGAAAGCTTTCCAGATGAAATACATTTGTGCACTAGCTCCCTAACTCATAATATCGTCAGCAGCGACTTCTTTACATTCTAAAAACTTTGCCAAGTTTACTCTTAGTCGGTATCGTAGTCCTTTTGGTCGACAAATTTATTAATATTTTTTAAGAAAGTGCTATGTGGGCAAGAACAGAATATGTTTACGTAGGTCGCAATTATATACAGTGGGCCTGTTTTCTTGGAACTACACATATAAATCACTCATCAAATATGTATGTCGATTATGAAAAAAGCAGTTTTTCTCAATTTAACGATAAAAATTTTTGATGATGTATTAAATAGGTGGGGCTGATAAGTTAACTTTAATACTCGATCGCAAAGTTTGTCTTCAGTTAGAGTTGGGCTTGGATTTGTTAAGCATGTAGTTCACCTTTTCTAAGAAAGTTCGAAAGCGTAATTCCGTTTGATACTGGTGTTTCCTGGAAAGCTTCATCGACACAATTTTCTTAGAAAGTGGCATTGGTTAATTAACCATTCGCGACAGGTCGTTTAAGAACTAAGATAAATGTCGCCATATATTTCCTCAACAAACAGTATGGGACATTGAATAAAGGGGTAAGTTTCTAAAGAAACTGTGGTGCTGCGTCGGTGGGAGGGTATAGCAGGTAATTTAGTGTTAACAACTGAGTTGAAAACGTAATTAGCCACCGTAAAGGGTAAAAAAGCTGACGTTTCGAGCGTTAGCCCTTCGTCAGTATGGGTCATTATTGCATCTTATTTTGAGTCACTTTGTGTTGCAGAAAGGCGCCTTTGAACAAAAATAATCCTCATTGTAATATCTTTTTAAGTATTCAAACATAGAGGAATAAACAAAAGCGGTAAGAATTGGGGCAAGTGATGGCGGAGATTGACACGTGGATTTTTGTTTAAAGACGAACTTGTCCGGTCATAGTTCTGTAATTCATTATGAAGCGATCCCTCATATGACGTTGATTACTACTCAGAAAGCAACCCGTCGCTGGCTTTACTCCTGATTTGGCCGGAAATAGTGGATTTTATCTCAGCAAAACGAAATTCATATTTTAGTTTCTTAGAGCAAGTTGATTGAATTAATAAACAGTGATATTTGCCGACTTTGTTATTTTGATACCAGTCATCTCAATAAATTTAATTGTCTTTTATCATTATCTCGTTGCAGGAGAAGGAAAGATGCAGTGGAAAGTGTCAGGGAACTCCGTACTTTTCTGCAAAGGAAACCTAATGCTCGGGCAATGGCGATTGACATCGAAACATATGAAAACGATCACAGCAAAATTCTCGAAATTGGCTTCGTCATCACTTCCCTAGCCAGTCCTGAGGGGAACGAGCAAGCTTATCATTTTATCATCAAAGAAAACCTCCATATGGTGAACAGGGATTATGTTTCCGACAACCGAGACAACTTCAGATTTGGCACCTCACAGCGCATGTCCCTTGCAGATGCCGCTGGAAAGTTCTCGCAGTATATCGGGGATGTAGATGTGCTGGTGACTCACTCGGGCGGACATGATGAAGATTACCTTGCCAGAAACGGCATGTCTTTGAAAGGGAAACCAATGTTCGACACTCAGCTGCTTGGCCTAGCACTGCTGACCGACGAGAAAACCTTGAACGTGTTTGGTCTCAAGCGCCTGATGGATGACCTGGGTATTTCGTATAACGAGGATATTCTCCATAACGCTGGAAACGACGCCTACTACACCATGAAATTGTTCCTGGCATTGACAAAGAAAGTGTAATGAGAATTCTAGAAGCGAAGTGAGTTTCAGACCGTTGGCAGTTTTAAATTGATCAGGATAAAACGGCAAAGAATAAAATATTGCATAATTGGAACATTTAACCTTAAGCTACGCTAGATAAGAAAATTATCTTCACTAATTTTTTTCTTCAATATGATTTCAATGGCAATTTCAATTGACCAAGAAAAAAGAGCAAATAATAAAATGAATTTTCAATTTATATATGTTGCACGATAATACAGCATAACTGAAACATTTGACCTTAAGTTATGATAGATTAGAAAATTATCTTCACTAATTTTTTTCTTCAGTATGAGTTCAATGGAAGTTGTGGAATAGTCTGATTGGTCTTTATTATCTGACCAACAAAAGTGATCACAGTCAACTCTCCCCTAAAATGCGACCACCATTGAAACAGGAAAAAGAAGTTGCCTAAGGGAGGTGGCCTTTTAGAAGAAAATTATATGCAAGATCCATCAATTACTATTATTTCTTTTGAGAAATCGTTTTCTTTATAAACTGTAACTCTTCAATTTATTATTAACAATTACGATGGGCACCTTTGCATTTTGAAATATGTTCCGTGACAAATCATTTCTAGCCCTAAAAATGGTCACAGTTGGAGTTCAAGCAGTAGTTGCTTTGGAGAGTTCTAGGAAAGAGTATTTGATCAAGAAAGAGTCATATCTATTGCAGTGGTCATTAAGAGAGAGTTGACTGTAGAACAAGAATCAAAAGGAATCTTAGTCATCATTAGTCAATAGTAAGATTTATCAGAAACATGGTTATTATTTGTTAATACTGGTTATAATGAATAAATGAGATTAATAAGAATTACTACCATGAAATTTGAGCGAGACCTAGATATTTTGTATCTCTCCATTTAAGGTCAGAAAAGGAGCAGCTGAACTTTAATTCTGCATTTTAAAGACGCTTATAATTAAAAGGACACTTGAAATGCTTGATTCGTATCATGTGTAACTTTATTCATCGTAATGTAGCTGACAATGATTCTTCATCTGACATCAATTGATTAGCTGATTATATCTTGTTTACCAACTTACTTCAAGGACGTGTTGGGAAAGAAATTGATTGCATGGTTATAATTAATAAAAGTAAGCATTTTACTGAATATTATATATTTACCCGTCTCCTGGGATGAATAAAAAACCTATATGATCTTAAGATGGCCTACAGGTAATTGGCAACACTCCTCATTGTGGCTCTAGTGCAGGACATGACTCTGACAGCTCTCTGAGCAACATTTAAATATTGAATTGTGTCTACATTAAGTAACCCGTGGTTGAACTTCGTGGTGGGCCTTGGTTTACATTTAGGGGAGTGGGTAAAGTAAACAAACTGTATTATACGCAGTTGGGGGTTATGTAAGATCATCTTCTGACAAAGACGGGGGAAGAGGTCACATCCATACTTAGTCCCCACCCCCATTTTAAAAAACCAACAAAACCGGCGCAGAAACAGAACAAGTACTTACTTTACATACATTGAAGGTATTCAAAATTCTTGTTCTAGGATTTCCTGTTTTGGAAACCTTCACGTAAAAAACAAAAGCAGAAACAACAAATAAACAGAAATTACTGAAAGGGTTTGATATTTTATTATCAGTTTTCTTTACAAGCACATTCTCAGGATGTATTATACAGGACCACAAAAGATGATATATGAAGAATAAGACGGCAAAGGAAAACATCCACACTATCCAAGAATTATTCATAGCCTCTGCAAATAAAATTTAAAATGTACATGTTAGTATAACGAGAATATTCATTTTAACACCAGTCATAAATAAAAAAATTAGTGTCCACAATTAAACACTGTTGAAACTCACTTGACCATTGGAGCAATTTCCCAATTGGTTTGCGCACTGGTAGCTGGTTCAATCACAACACCATCACTTGTAATGACTGCAATTTCGTACTGTAATCAAATAAACATCCATTGTTAACTGCTTTGACTTTGGACACAAACGAAAAGTGACACCTTGTAGATTCAACATTGTACAAAAAGTAATACAAACCTTGTTTAGTGACCTAGCATCTCTGTAAAACAACACCTGCAGACATTTAGTGATCACTTGCCTAGCCTCCTCTAGAGACATGCTGGGATCTTTTTCAAATGCATCGCGAAGAATTGGCTGAAATCAGAAACAAGAATAATCAAAACTTAAATCTGACAACAAAGTTTCCTCAACAAAATCAACCATTGAAATTGGCTGGCCTTGCACTGGCAGTTACAGATAAGTGCAGGAAAATTCCATATTCGATGTGTGCATTCCTTTTTCACACCTCCCAGTTGGCTTAGAGGAATTTTTCTATGATGGAACAAGTAAATTTAGAGGAGGACTTTTATAGACCCCAAGTGAAAAGGAAACAAACAAGGAGAAAAACAGAAATCTTTGGAATTGACACCAGACTGCAATGCCATACCCTGGCCAAAAAGAGGTACAGTTTGTTGAAAACAATTTGAATTTTACACAAGGTACTTTAGTAATACTACATAACTACACAAACTTAAAAAACAAGGTGGTATATAACATAATCTGAAGCTTAAAGTCCTCCAACAGGAAAACAATTCATCAGACAATGACATACATGTAGACTTTATCACTGACTGCATTGCTTTAGGCTTGTTATGAAACAAATCTCAAAAAAGAAAATGCAATCGCATTCCTCCACAGGAAGACAAACCTAAAATTTGCCTCGTTCCCAACATGTGGCTTGGTAGCTCAGTTGGTAGTATCATCCAACTAGTACTTGGGAGGTTCAAATCGTGTTATAACCTGAATTTTTTTAAGCTTCTTTTCTGCAATTGCTACAACTGCAGCACACCTGTGGGGATCACTGCTTTACTTGATTTAAACATATAAGTTGTGAGGCACAAGGAATGTGGTAGAACCCCTCTATACATGAGTTATTATTGCTTATTATCATTATTATTTATCTGCTAACTGGTGGCCAATCAATGTTTCATATCAAGAATAGGCCATTTTACAGTTGTGTAGTTGCCTAGCCTTTGGTTTGGAGTGAGGCTGAAGGTGACCCTAACCCTAACCTTAACCCCAGAGACCAGTATCTAGCATGATAACAAAGTAATTTAAATTTGAAAAGCAGCAAGGTTTGTATCATAACAAGGTCACCCTTAGCCTCACTCCTGTTCATAGGCTTGGCAAGCAACCAAACATGAAATGCAATACATGTATTTCTCACCTGGGCAAGATATGCACCAAACCCAGTGGCTATTGTGGGTGCTTCAAAAGCTATGCCAATTTTGTCAACACATCCCAGGAAACTGTTGACCACACAAGAAAAACAACTTAGGTCACCAGAGTGCTTATTCAAACGCCCTGACAGTGAAGTACTTAGTTCAGCTGCCACATTAAACTTTTTAATGTTACCAAGCAACAAAAAGCATTGTGGATTAACTTTGAGTAGGTTTGTTTCTTGTTCACACCATATCCCAACCCATGAAAGGGGTAGAACATAAATTGTTGGATTTACTTCTTTCATGCCACCCAAAAGATAACACCCAGCAAAGACAGATGCGAAGTTATCAGTAGGCATTCCCCTCAATTGTATGCCCCATCCAACCAGAAGAATGCTGCATTTACTTGAAGCTTGAAAGAAAAAAAATAATGAATTGCATATAATTCAGGAAAGTATACCATGCTCAAAAATAAAGGGAAAGATTTGAACTAAAAGCACATTTCTACTCTACGTGATACTTAAAGATACACTTTACCCCAATTGTTGTCAGTGATTTAAGAAATAAGAGTTTGAAATAAATGCCTCTTTCAAATAAACACTGCCATCAAATAAAACCCACATGAGAAATGCCCAAAATTTAATCAGCGCTTCAGCATTTAGGGAGGCTTCATAGGGTTTTTGACTGCCCAAGATCTGGATGCATACATTGTGCAAGCTTCAAAAATGTCAACAAGTAAACAAACATGGTGTTTAAAAAAAGTATCAAAATACAGCTTTTCTAATGGACTCTAGGGTTTCCAGCAACTATACCCATGATGTTCATGGGCCTTCTACGCCTAAAAAGAGGTCAACAGAAAAGTTAATACCTGGGGAAAGATTGTGAAAGGAAGACAGATTTGAAAGTTTATGCATGCTCAGGTGTCAATCTTGGCAAATTTCTATTTTATGATGTAATGTTTTGGGGTAAGAAAAAGGAGTGAGATTTGTCACATTTCTTTTAGTAAATTTTTTCAATAATTAACTCAGTCCTGACCACATACAGTTCATATCAAATGACCTATTTTTGTTACAATCTGTCAAAGCTAGTCCAACATATTTAGAAATATGACATATTAGAGGATATTGGCAAAACTGTCTGAACAACCTTACATTTTATAATTTTATAAGGTCAGGCTATATAATTTTCACAATGTGGCTAGGAATGAAGATATTTCACTCAAGAAATGTCAAGATATCTTTAGAGGTATTTAGGTCAAAAATTGGAATATATCTGCCTGTCATTAAAGATGTTTTCATGGTAACATCATCAATCTAAAACTTGACACCTAGAACAGAATATTATATTGCTAGCCAAACTGGTAAATCTCTTTACCCTTTAACTCCCATGAGTGACCAAGACAGAATTTCTCCTTGCCATATCAACACAATATCAACCAGATAAGTGATGAGAATAAAAAAAAAAATCAATTTGGGGATAATTAGTTAATCCTATGCTAAATTATCTGAACTAACTTTATAAGAACTGTATGGTTGACTGTAAGGAGAATAACAAATTTGAACTGGGAGTTAAAGCGTTAAAGGAAACTTGAGATAAATCAATGACGCTATAGGTTTCCTTTCATTACTAATGCTCTGAAGGGAGGTTTATTTCTATATACTATAGGGAGCCACATTGATAAGGATGGTATTCAAACAGTGGTTCTTGTTGCAATGAATCATCATGGCTGTTTCCACATGGATGAAAACGCTCTAAATTCTTACGTATACAAATGTTCCTATAGTATGCGATTTGATATGTTGAGACACATCTTCTGACAGACAGCTACAGCAGCAAAGATAACTTGATTTATTTATCAACAGGCTCACCTTTCACCATTGTGGACACCACCAACAACAACTTGATTCCACAGGGGATCAAAACGTGTGCGCCTATATATAAAAAAAAACAACAACAACAACAAAGACACAAAGATGTAAACTTGTAACTGCAGGAAGTAACTTCGGGATTAATCTTCCAAAGTATGTGTTTTCTCACACAATTATCCAGAAATGTTATTTAAAGAGTACGAAATACCTGTAATACATTATTCTTGTTAACCAAGAATATATGGACTTTGGAGTGTAACCATGGCCATCATTTAAACAGGCATCATCAATACTGAAAAAAACAATGAAGAAATGCTCAGCTCTCTTATTGTGCAATCAAGAAAAAGGATTAAATCATTTTGCAATTACAATGTAAGAGAATTATTTATTTCTCAACAACAGCTCAACTGATGAAACACAATTGGTGGTTGTCAAATACCACATTGTTTGATAATCTGGATGGAAAAAGATATGTAAAAACTTAAGAGGCCTTTAATCAATAGCCATAAGAAGGGTTCAAGAATATGTCTAAATCAATACCTCTTACCAACCGAGTTTGAGGTCTGTATTCTAAGTTATTGACCAAGGTTTTTTCCACTTGGATTTACGGCCCCAGTGAGAAGTGTGTGGGCCATAAATCTGAGCATGAAAAGTGAGGTTCCGTAAAATGTTTTTAACATCCATGGGTTCAAATAGAGGAGGAAGATTTCAATTCAATCAAACAATTTATTTTAGCAGGCTGCACAGTGAAAATATAGCTCCTTAAATTGACCAATCATAGTGCACATCCTAACTGAGAGATATAATAAATTGACCAATCACAGTGAACATTCTAACTGAGAAATACAATAAATTGATCAATAATAGTGCACATTCTAACTGAGATATAATAAATTGACCAATCATAGTGCACATTCTAACTGAGAAATAGAATAAATTGACCAATAATAGTGCACATTCTAACTGAGAGATAAAATAAATTGACCAATCATAATGCACATTCTAAACGAGAGATATAATAAATTAACCAATCATAGTGCACTTTCCAACTGAGAGATATAATAAATTGACCAATCATAGTGCACATTCTAACTGAGAGATATGATAAAATGACCAATCATGGTGTACATTCTAACTGAGATTCTAACTGTATCTCTTTATTTATAAATTCATAGCTTCTCTAGATACCATCAATGTGATACTAATAAAGACTTACACTTTCTGATCCAGAAGAGATTTCAGATGCTGAAAATCAGCATAATCCCCAGAACCACCAACAACTGTGTTATTGCCAACAGCAGTGAGTCTTGAGACCTCTCGGAATCTTGCAAGAGATCCATAAGATCCTTCAAGCACACAATATTATCAGCATTATAATTTAAAGTATTTTCTTACAAGAATAGTAGTAAAAACGGAATAACATCAAGACATTGATGAATGAAATATTGTATGTAAATAGTAAGCAAGTAAATAAATAAAAATAATGATGATGGAGGTACATTCCTGCAGAACCTGTGGTGCTGCATTGGTGGGATGTGATACAAGATAATTTGATTTCATCAACTGAGTTGATCATGTAAATTGACCACCATAGCAAGTCTTAAAGGCTACCATTATTAGTGTCAGCCCTTTATCAGAGAGAGTTTTTTTTTTAAGAAAAGGCCGATAAAACCCAGCTGCACCGCAGATGAGCACCCTGAATTTTTTTTTTGGAAAAAAAAAAGGCTTTTGAAAGAAATCAAAAAAAATCCAAAGTCGAGTCTTGAGAAGTCTTCATCCACTGTTAATCAAACATAAACTCACTATTAACATTGCAATGGAAAATAGTTTAGTCTTACCCACAATCTTAGCACTTTAATATAATGAACATGGTTTCTACTAAGCATATAATTCAAATTTGACAGGAATTTCTTTTTAAAAAGTTTTTGAAAGAAATCAAAAGAAATCCAAAGTCTAAAGGCATTAGATCAGACGCGAAAATTTCGACATTCACAACACCTTTTTCAAATGTTCCCGCAGATAAGCCGCACCCCCAATTTCTAGTGATGATTTTTGGAAAAAAGGTGCAGCTTATCTGCAGGTTTTTACGGTACTTGAAACATCAGCTTCAGAAACTCTCTACCAAGGTCAATTCACATTATCAACTCAGTTGATAAAACCTAAATAAATAAATAAGATTTCAAAATCAGTGTAATATAACCAACCTAATGTGTCTGCTGCCATAAGAATTCCGCCATCAAACTTCACACCAAGCACAGAGGTACCAGTTGTGGTGGGGTATCTGACAAAAGAATAATTGTGACAAATATCATAATATGAAGAACATTTTACAGTATGAAAAATGCTACAATCATGGAGGTACTACATGATGCCTAAATTGACGTGGGGCACCGAATCATGTTGATGGGCGATGCAAAATTATTTGGGCTAAGGAAAATTATTCTACTGACCACTTAGAGAGTTACTGTTGCTATTCAGAAACACCTGTGCGTTCCCCAAGAGTGTAGATCCCACTGAAAAATTTAATTATTTTTGTGTAACGGTATTTTTAGTTTTTGAATAGGTCCCATTAAAGAAGCATATGAATAAGTCCTGAACAACATCATCAGTGTGATTGATATATAATCACGCTAGCTCATCTACAAAATTTACCGCTTTGGTTTAATCCTTTATCAATCTAATGTTTGACGCAATGAAAAAAATTATACGCCAATTAATATCAAGAAAAACTCATGCCTTAGAACCAGTTTAAACGTATTCATTAAAAACTAAAATCTCTTGTAAAGCACATGAACCTCTGTCGAGCAAAATTGTCACTAACTACTATATAACCAGATGTTTACTCACAAAGTTCTCTTAGCCGGTGAAAATTTTTCAGCAGTTCTAGAACTACTTGGATTGCCGGGAAAGTTATAGAAAGCGCCTGGTGATGGTCCATTACTCCAAAACTGATCTTGAAATCCAGGAACATTCATTGAGGCCATGTTTCTCTTCTTTTTGCCTGAGTCATTCCCAGCATGCAATATAGTAATAAATGTTTTCTACCGGGGTGGGTTTAGTGTTTCTGCAAGCTGTTAAATGTAAGATTCAGAAGGAAAATACTGAATTTTTAGGCATCCTATGAGCTAATTAATTCATGCTTAAGAATTTTGTGAGGGAAAGTATGCTATCGAGAAATTTTCGACAATTTTTGAGTGTCTCTTTTTCATCTTTCTACTTACCCCTCCCCTCATCTCTCCGATTTGTACATTTTTCACCGCTGATTAGTGCAGGCGCAAGTACACTCGTCTCTGTTCAAAATGGCGGACAAAGTGGAGAGTCTCATCGTGGGCAGAGAAACCCGGCGAAATGCTGGAAACTTAATGTCTAAACTGATAGCAGATGAGCAAGAAGTTGATGATTTTTATAAAACAGCTTTTGGAGGTTTCGAAGAAGAATCTGGGGATGAGAAATATTCAACAGAGGAAGAAGAAGCGGACGTTGTAGACTCCGACTTTAGCGTCTCTGAGACAGATGAAGTGATAGATGATCAAGGAGATGACGAACCGGTAAAAAAGCGAAAAAAGCAGTTCATAAAGCCGTATAAAGCTCCGAAGAAAGATACTGCACCTTCGAAAGCTACTAATAAGGAACCAGAAGTGAAAAAACGGAAAAGTTTCGAGGACGCTCCACGAGAAGGTGTGAGAAAATCAACCAGGGCGCTTACAGTTGAACGCGCTGAGGCAACGAAGAATCGTTTCAAACTTGAGAAGGAGAAAAAGAATTTGCTTAAAAAGAAGCAACCGAAAAAGTTTCTCGACATGAGGCGCCTTACTCAAGAAGAACTTTTAGCAGAGGCGAAAATAACGGAAGAGGAGAACGTGGCTTCACTTCAAGCTTATCAACAACTAGAGGCCGATAAAAAGAAAACAAAAATCCAGAAGGTTGCATTAAAGGGCCCCATTATCCGCTTCCATTCTTTGTCCATGCCTGTCGTGGAAGTATCAGAGCCTTTGGTGAAGGTTGATGACAATGAAGACGAGGAAGTAAATGTAGATTCAACGAAGAGGTGCTGCAGGAATTTTTTGATTTTCACAGATGCAAAGAATTTTCCCTCTGCATACTTTCCCACTAAAAAACTCAAAGTTCCACACAGAACTTACTGTCCAGTCACAGGGTCACCAGCTCGATATCAAGACCCTGTCACTGGTTTACCATTTGCAAATGCCCAGGCTTTTAGATGCATAAGAGAGAGGTATGCAATGCAAGCAGAGGAAATGAAAGGAAAGACTTCTGAACTTGAACAAAGAAGAGCCAGGAAGTTGTAACAAGTAACTGCCTGCTTCAAACTGTACAGAATGTGAAACTGAGAAGGAAAAAAGGGAACAGTAATACCAGGTCATAAGCCCCCTTAAACTTTTTTTTTTTGTAACAATAATGAATCAGTGAATTATTTTATCACTTAATTCATATATCATTGCAAATATGGGATTATGATCTAATAGTATTTTCCATCCTGGTTTTTTTTTCTCAGCAGCAATCTTGCATAATCTTACTAAAAATTAAAATTCAATTACTCCAAATTTACATCAATGCAAGCTTAATTTTCTTTCCTTTGGTATCACTGTATTGTAGAGAGTTTTTTTCACATACAAAGGTGCAAGATTGTTCAATGTTATGATATGCAAGGAAGCACTATTCTTTAGAACTGATCATGAGTCATACATGTGAGAGTGCATATTTGAGTTCTGACTGAAGCAACAGTTCACAGATTCAAGTTGTTTACAATAATCACATGAAATATAATCACAATGTACAAATGTATCTATTGAGGATTGCCTCTACTGGTTGGAATTCAATGTGGTTGTTATTATTTCTCCAAGAGGAAATAGACATCACCAGTCACATGAAGAGTAAACCACATTCATTTATTGCTATATTATGTAGTATAATACAGTCTTAAAACGTTTAGCAGCCAAGTATTGTTTTTCACTGTTGGTGTTTTTGTTGAGAGTGTAAACCACTGTTATATTTTTGTTAAAAGCATTCTTGTGTAAGTAAAAGTAATGTCTTGTAAAAATTGGTATAACAGTCTAGTAAAAATGATTTATTTACTTAAGACACTGTTTATTGTTTTGACTTTGGGAATTAAGAAGCCAATCATAATTTCTAAAAGTAGTGGGAATATTCCAACATCCAGTGTAAATTTTGAAAGATGAGTAGTGTTGGCATGTTTTATTGGAGTAGAATACAGATACATTTATCATTCTGATAGTGACGTTTCACCTGCATTCTGTCTGCCTCCTTCAGGCAATGAATTGAGTTTTCCTTGAAAATTTTAAATAAACTGAACTGGAAGAACCAGTACTTGGAGAATGCAGGTGCAGGAACTCTTACATGAAGTCACTCAGAGTATCATTCGACCACATGGTTTGACAAAGACTGGCGCTTCAGCATCGAAACATGGTCTAAAACCTTCAGGGACTTCAAATCGCAAGACAAACGATGAAACGTAAATGTAAGAGTATAAAAATTCATGTCAAGTTCCTCTTCCAGGAACTTAATCACCTTATATAAGATTTCTACCAATGAAAATGGTTACACGGTGACGCCAAAAATGGCCTTGACTTTCTCGTCGAAATTTTTTTCGATCCATATTTTATCTGGAATTTACGCTAGATCTAAGGTTAATTGGCGAGTGTAAGAGGATTAAGAGATAAAAGTAGGAAGGGGAACTAGCCTCATAGTTAAAATTATCCGAACTACAGACCGAGTTGTTAAGAAAAAGAAACGAACCACAGACACCTATTGAGTTCCGATGCCTTTTGAGAGACCGAATCAGTCTGGAAAGGGGCAATCTGATCTATGAGAACTTTATGCTTGATTAGATTATTAAATTTTCAACTATCCCAAATTAAAATTCAGCCTTCTTTTGTCTCTGCGACAAAACAATCGTTAGACAAGACAACATATTGATTTGAAACATATATTTGAGAAATTTGGGACGCTGACAAGGAGTCAAACCCCAGACCTTTAGATTCTACGCTCCGATGCTTTACTACTGGGGTACAGAGAACTTTATGCTACTCTATTCTTTCAACTCCCAAATTAAGATTGTGCTTTTGTCTCGTATAACGTCGAATAAAAATAACTTGCGTTACAACTGTTGTGAGAATAAAAATAATTACAACGTAGTGCACACAAAACAACAACATGAAAGATATCAGCAAGTACTCACAAGAAATAACAAAAATGGAATATTTTATTAAAAATTACAAATCTCGATGAAATAACGTATTTTTGATATAAAAACTCAAATTCCTTACTTTTTTAGTCGCTTTGGTCTATTTTTTCTGATGCTTTACAACGTGTAAGTTTTTTGACTTAGTTATCAATTGTCCCCCCCTCTCTCTCTCTCTCTGAGCTAATTTAATATTCTCTTTCATGGGCCGCTCAAAACCATCGCCTTTTGGGTGATGCCGTCAACATTGCAGAGCGAGAGTCTCCAATTCTCCCCACCCAACTCCCTAACCCGTCTAGCTATGAACCAAATTTCCATTTTTTCTCACCCAAAGAAAGGAAACTTTCGAGGCTCTTACTTTCTTGAGAAAATATATCACTTGAAAGTCTTCTTTTGCGGTCGAAGGTTTGTTTTCTTCGGCTTTTATCTCTTTCTTAGTTGCAATGTCTCTTAAAAAACAGTGGTCTTAAAAAGACGATTGTCTTAAAAGATTTTTCCCAAGAATTTCAGCTGTAAGAATAGACTTAAAACAGCCGACACAACGTTTGCTCGGGTTCATGATCCCGAGCTCTTGATAGGCTTATAATTTAATAAGATTTGGTATTATTACCTTGTCAGTACTCTCCCACTGACGCAGCACCGCAGTTTCTTTAGAAACGTACCTCCTTTACAATTTAGGATATTCGCAATAATCTTGCTTTAAAAGCGATAAAAAAATCTTCATGATGTAAAAAGCGTTATAACCCGCGTTTTGAAGTTTGCGAATTTCGCACGGAATTTCCAGCTTCATGAGAATGTCTTCTATGCTGTTGTTTTTCCGAGAGTCAGGAAAAAGTGCAGAATGAAGGGTGAGCGTATCAATAATTTCCTTGTGCTCTTCTTGAAGGCCTTGAGATTTGAGGAAACTACGAATATCTTCTGAAGACGTTGAATGGGTGATCAAAAAATCAACGTGAGAAACGTTTTCTTGAAGCTTGCTTATTATATCAGTTAGTCTTGCAACCTCTGCACTTCGAAACAAAGAGACGTCGTAGCTCTCTAACTGCGTGTTATTGTTTAACAAAGGTACATTTTCCTTTACTAAGAATAGATGATAGTTTTCGCCATCCTGCTCACTTTCTAGCGAAAACACTACGTATCCAATTTGCAAGATTTTTGTGGAGTCTTGCTCAAAAAATTTTACGTTAAAAGCTAAAAATAAGGGTGATTTTTGCTCAATGACTTCATTTATCCTTTGAAGCGTATGTACTCCGTTGATGTGCCTTTGACGAGCAATGGAACGATTCTTCTGTCGCAACTGGTCATTGAAGATGACGAAATCTTTCAATGTTTTAAAGACTCGCATAATTTGCGGTGTTTTCCGGGACAATTTAACTGGTTCCACGTCGGGCAAATTCTTTGTCATTTCTGCTGCCTTGTCTATCTTTTCTCTAAAGAATGTATACCCTTTGTAGTCCAGGAAAATTCCTGCGTTGTGATCGAGATCATAGGCTACCACAAAAATCATTTCTTTCAAATGGCGATCAAAAGAATGGTTGAAATAATACTTAATTCGTTCGTAGCAGTGTTTCCCTTCTTCGCGACTGGCTCGTGTCCAGGTCTCTCTCAACGTCTCAAAACTGTACATGTATTCTGGGCAGTTTTGGCACACCATAGAACATGGTAATGTACATCTGTCTTCCAGTCGATACTTAAATTCACTCATTTTTTCATGCAAACTAAGTATACTTTACTTCCATCAGAAACGATCAATTTGTCATCTGCATTAAACCTGCAACATAAAATCATTTCATTATTCAATTTCACTTTCCGTATAGTAATCGGAAACTAACTATCTTAGAGTTGCTAATTTTGTTCTTTAATGAATTTCGTAAAATTAATTTCGTTTATCTTGAAGATGATGTGACATATTTCGCAAGACTTAATCTTAACGATTTTGCAAGAAAATTGGTTAATACTATCTAAATTTCGAAGATCCACATCTTCATTGGGAGTGCAACATATAACTTTTTCGTGAAAAAAAATCCAAAATCACAGAAGTTCTATACAGGACGAAAACAGTGCTTGCATGTTGGTTTTTTTACAGCCCCAGTACTACGATGTGACGCAAGAGCACGTCCTTTACAGTCAGAATACATATATCCCGTTCTTAAAACTTTTACAAGGATAGTTCTCTGGCATTGGTAAGGCAACGAAATTAATTAACAGCATGATCGATTTTGACAAATTGAGTTTAACATTTTGATAACTTTACGTCTAAGGTCCGAAAAAGTCTTCTTATTTTGTGGTAATGCTTTTCGACGGACTTGGAGATCGGAAACATTGTGCAATTGTAGTCCCGTCAAAACTAAGTTAAAATATCGTACTAGCTAATCACCAGCATGATTATGAGCAGCAGATATCTGAGTCTTCAAACATTATTTAAAAAATTGGAAATATCATGACTGCTTGCAGTGAAGGTTCCTTACTCGACTTACATGGCATATTAGTGAATTTCATATTAGAGGTTCTATAATGCCCGGTTTTAGTTCAGACGAAAGTAGAAGACAGCCACAGCCCAGACCAACCAGACCAGCGTACTGTGTCTGGAGCCCGGTGCTGTTTGAGCGCCGGTTAAACAGACTGCGTTTAGCTAAATATTGGACCAGGCTTGGCTTGCCAGCTATAAGATTTATCGCACACTTGCGGAACGACGTCATTTTTCAAGTATCGATTATTTAGTCCTAAGGGTTTTTATCCATTGAAAAGAGCCCAGCTGAGAATGTCTGTATGTACGCAGAGCTCATCACATTCTCGGATTAATTAGCCCTTCATCATAAGTTCAAGTCGAACGAAAATATAAAAGAATAAAACAAATGAAAAATTATGCTGTAAAAACGATTTTTACGTAGCAAGCTTTTGGGAAACGGCCGACAATCTGAGGTTTTTTTCACTTTCACTTTCACAGAGGGATACTAATTCTGAGCATGTTTTGAGATGTTTTAAAATCACCTTAAATATCTTAGCAGCTGGAAATGAAAAGAGAAATGAAAATTAAAACAGCAATAGTGAATCCTATAAGGAGCAAATGGTGAAAAAAAAAAAAAAGGATAAAATGTCACGAAGTTGAAAAGTTTTGGGTTTCAAGAACCGACTTGGACGAAGTCCTGTTTATTCGCCCTTAATTCACTTGTTTGATCTTCAGCTTGCGCGTCACAAAACAACCTACGTACAAGAGTCTCTAAGGGAGAACCTCAGAGGTTGGCAGCTCTGAAGTTTATCACCAAACTAGAACCAATAAACCAAATAAACAAGTTATAGGATGCTGCTTGGAGTGATTGAACTCCAATGAGATCGTATCCAAAGTGTGTAGCCAGTTGCACTGTTGTCATTAATAAAATTGCAATCTGTGATTAACTGTCAGTGGCAAATAATGAATCAAAATCTGTATGGAATATTTTCCACGCATGCAAAACTGCATGCATTGTCTATACACAGCGCTTACAGCGAATAACAAGCGTAGCATTTTCTTACCGGTTCGATTACCTCTTTCCAAGACTCTCGATTCTTCCTAAGTAGGTGTTTATTTATGAGACAGGATTGTGGTGAGCACAAATCAAAACAGATGAACGCTGCCTTTCGATCTAAGAGTGTGTTTTCCCTTCCTTGAATTATTCCGGCAATTTATCATGATTTTGGTCATGCATATTGTAGTTTACTTTTTTCCAAAAAACATACTTACAAACTTCACTTACTTGTAGCTCTATCAGTCCAGTTTTACAGCATTAACAGCTAATCTTGGCGTCTTAGTCGTGGAAGCAAACGAAACCACACAATTATGCATATTCAGAGTCAATTGGGGTTAACGCTATTTTAAGCACAATCAAATTCATTTGACTTTCAAAGCCCTTTTGTAATTTCTCTCAGCTTTTCCTTTGTTTCCAAGATTTCTTTGCGGTGGTATGATCGAAAATTATCGAATAACAGCGGTAGTCAACTGCAGGAAGGAGTCTTTTAATTCAAATTGAAAAAAAGGAGAAAAAAAGAGAATTGAACATGTAACAAAGCCAAAAGTAATTCTTGTAGAGTCTGGTTGGGATTACCCGGCAACTGTCAAAAAGCGCTAATGTTAATTTATTTTTTCCATTCCCAAGAAGTGGAAGAAAAACAAAAGAATAAAAGAGCGACAAATGTCAATATATTTTTTTAATTGGAAAAAGTAGCGACCAAGGAAATTTGTAAAGTGGCTGTGTAAAAGACATCAAAGATCTGAAGTGCGGTATTTTGGTAATCCATGCAGGGAGAACAGTATTAACTAAAAAAAAATTTTCATGAAAAGTCATATAAACTTCAAAGGTCTCATTTAACTGACGATACTGAGTTTCCTTAATGTTGCGGATGATGCGCTTACCGAGAATGGAATTAAGGACGTGTTGTTTCTTACAGCTGGTATCTTAGATCTTATAACTTATGCTCTTGAATTACGATTTACAAGAAAATACGAACCTCATTGTGACTATGACCTTATAAGCTAATAGCGCGTGATCAAGTGATGACCAGTTAAGAAAACCGTGATGATAATCTCTCAGTCAATCTTTTCACAAGTCCATTCCATTTCAGAGCAACTACGTTTTACCCATACAGCCCTAAAGGTTTCGTGTGTAAAAAGCTTCTCTGCAAATTTGTAAGAAATCACTCTCTTATACGATATTCTCTACATTGCGATTGGTTGTTGCTGAGTGCTGATTTAAAAGGTCATTCAAGGTTGCGTTGATCATGTAAACTGATCAATGTTCCAAAATCACTTCAGGCGGTGCTTCTAGTTCTTAACCTAATCATGTTCACACTCATCATCTGACATGTGTCACGCCACGCATCACAAAGTCTCCGACAAAGGTTAGCATAATGATATCAAAAGTTTCCATGAGGCTTCAGGATTAAAAACTATGAATTTAGCAGTCGAGAGATCTCAAGTTATAAATAAAAACTGCACACATTTAAAACTCTAATACACTTCCACCAAAAAATAAGATATTAAAAGTACACAAGCTTTGCATTGACTGTGATCAGGATAGTTTACGGTGAAAAACGTTTATGATCATGAATAACTAATATAGTTCCCATTTGGTAACGGGCAAAAATTGATTTTAAATCATTCTGGTCTCGTGTGAATGAAGTCAGATCACATCCTTATTAAAGAACTTCCTATGTAAATAATTTATTTTCAGTGGATAAATAAATATATCAAATGGAAATCAAATTCCTTTTACTTGTTATTTTTTTTGGCTATCAAGATTAAGTCACGGGATGAGATAAACATTTTTGTTCTGTCAGTCGGTGACCTGGTTACAAAAATATCTTTGATATATTGTATTCGTTTCAATGATGCAAAAATGACGTGATCTTGTAAAGTTGTTAAAAAAAAGAGAAGAAAGACCAAGAATACATTATGCACAACGAAAAAAGTTAGCTGTCGCTTTTGCATTAAATTAGGCTGAAGCCAAAAGCTCATGATGTTTCCATTTTGTTCAATTAGATTTTGCTCAGCTTTTCTTTGGTCGTTTAATACGACTGTAATTTTCAAATTTCAAGAACAATTTGTTCTTGTGAATTAATTATTCAAAGTTAGCATGATAATGGATGCATCTGAGAGTAGCTGCGTGATGAAAGCGGGTTCAAAGAATGACACATTAAGCATGTATATTATAGATTTTTACGTTGACAAATTAGTCTAATTTTATTAAAAGAGAGGGAAAAAATTAACCTGCACTGCTAGTTTTGCTGTAATATTTTCTTATTAAAGAAAAAATGAAAACTTGTTATTTTCGAAATTCAGTCAATGCGTGGATTTAACAATGCTTTAGTTGTAAGATTTTCCCTCTTTACATTCACTTTTAGACATAATTTTAATTAATCTACGTATATGGTCATTCTGAGACTTAAGAGAGATATTAGTTATGGGAATGTGTTCCAGAAGAGTTTTGCACTTAAGTTTTAATCGACAAATCGATTTCCATACGTGCACTCTGTTATTCATCCACCAGTATCTCTTAATCTACCAACATTCAAACACCGTTTTAACGCCGTAAAATTTGAGTGTTACGTGGCGTTTACAAGCACATCTTGAAAACTGTAGGGGAATTCAATCTCGGAAGTAACAAAAGATATTATTTTAGTTTAGGTTGGCCGGATGAGAACGCATGGAATAGTTTTTCGTTTAGTCAAAACATCGCACTAAAAGACGTTAAGCACCACCTGTCGGTAAAGTTACATACATTTATACGGCGTGTGGCTTCGTGTAAAGTTATAACCAGCCAATTCAATGAATTTGAAAGACTAACTGAGCTGAAAACGTTTTTTCCCAAAACGAACCCTCCATGCAGCTTTAGGAGCCGACATGCTATGAAAATTCATTATTTTAACAGCCACCTCTTGGTGTAAAACTTAAATTTATAAGTAAATTGCGGCACAGGGTTTAAACATTTGCATCAAAAGTAAACCACAGGCCTGAGTTTAAGAAGATATTCCACGATACACTTTCTACGACAGAAACTAATGGTTACGAATATTTTTTTGGCCCAACGGAAATCTTTCTAACTAACCTTGCGAATGTCCACTGTTACTCCGAAACGAAACGTAGGTTGTACATGTTGTCAACGGGCCACCACTAATTATTACAATAAAAAAGGCTTTCGACGAGGTCAGTTAAAGTGGCTTTGCATTTAA